TATTTACTCGTTCAATTTCCCACACCAGAGAGACAATACAATGTTTTGTTTACACATGTGAGTCTGATTTATTTCACTTATAAGTATGGTCCCAAGTGCATCCATTTACCTATAAAAGTCTCAAGTTTATCCTTCTTTATAGCTGACTAGTACTCCATTGTATAAAAATACATCTTTTTTTTGGTACCAAGAATCGAACCTCAGGACCTTGTGCTTGCCAGGCAGGCACTTGTGCCACTGAGCTATATTCCCGGCCCCAAAATACATCTTTCTTATCCATTCCTCAGTCGATGGGCATTTGGGTTGTTTCCAAAATTTAGCTGTTACAAATTGTGCTGCTATAAACATGGGTGCTCATACATCACTGTGGTATGATGTTTTTAATTCTGCTGGGAAGATACCCAGAAGGAGAATAGCTGGGCTAAATAGGATCTCCAATCCTTTTCTGGGGGGGGAATCTCCACACTGATTTCCACAGTGGTTGCACCAGTCTATACTCCCACCAACCGTGGAGAAGGGTTCCTTTTTCCCCACAGCGAATGTTAATTCTTAAAGCTGAGCCTCAGTGTTTTATGAAACACAGCTGTCTCAAGTTTTCCCCCAGCAATGCCTAGTGGTCTGTTTAAGGTCTTTGGAGAGAGACCATTTTGGTCTTCCTTATTTGACCTGACATACTGAGAAATCTGGCTTTGAATTCTGTGCTGTAGGTAGAGTGCTTGCCTGGCCTGTCGGGGGCCCTGAGTTCCCTCCCTAGCTCCACAAACACAAGAAAAACAATCTATCCTATTGAATTTTGTGTTTGTTCTCACTCGTTCTCGGGTCACATTTAAAGTACCCTTTTCCTCAGTGTGGAGTGCGTTCTTTCTGTCTGGCGAGTTCCAGCTCTGTTGGATACCTCGTGGGTAGCCCGCCTGTTCCCACCATGCCCACCGTGCTCTGTGTCGGGCGCGGGCCCCTTGCCCCGGCAGTGGCTCTACACTGCGGTTCCAGCAGATGCTTGGGACTGCTCAGAAACGCGACGTGTCGGGCCAGCTGCCCAGGTGCATTGCCGCTGGTGCCCACCTGGGCGTGGTGTCCCAGAGAGGTGGGCATGGTGCTGGCTGCTTCATCTGGCGGTGGCACATGTGATTTGGGGTTGGCATCAGATGCCCGCTATTCTCAGACCCCCAGACAGAATGCCTCTAGACCCACCACACAGCCCACCAGCTGGTTTTCCACCTATGGATATTTTCTTAGATGTATTTTTTTTGTTGTACATCTGCATGGAGTACAGTGTGACAGTTCCGTATGTGTGCAGAATGCGTAGCAATCACAGCAGAGAAATTGTAAGTGCACGTCCAACTCCTTAAGCATCAGTTCTTTCGTTGTTTTGAACCTTCGGACTCTCTCCTCTCCCTTCCCCTCCCCTCTTCCTCTTTTTTTTGTTTTGGATTTTTGCATCAGGGCCTCGCTATGTAACTCAAACTGTCATGCATCCCGGGGGATGTGGGGAACAGCAGGACCAGGAGGTGGCAGGGCTCATGTAGGTGAGGACCTGGCACTCGTCGCGGGCCTTGGCGCCGGCTTCCATGCTCAGTGTCGGGAAGGGCGGGCGTGGGCGCCTCCCTTCCATCCCCACAGGGCTCAGCGGCTGCCCGCTCAGGCCAGCTCTCTGGGAAAGGAATATTCACATGCAGATTGTCTGTTCAATAGTCAGTGTTAATGATGGTTACATTTAAGGGATATGAAATGGTAAAATTAAGAATTACCCAGGGCTGGGGATTTAGCTCAGCGGCACAGCACCTGCCTGGCAAGCGCAAGGTCGTGAGTTCGATTTCCGGTACCAGAAAAAAAAAAACCAAAAAAGAATTACTATAATTCCTTAGTATTACTGCACTAGTATTTAGGAGTTTAGGGAATACTATAAAATATGCAAGGTACTTTGCTGCTATTTTCTTACTAGCTTTATTGCCAAAATCAGTTTTTCAGTTTCTTTTAATTTTTAAAAATTTTTTGTATACTAAAGATTGAACCCAGGATCTTCACACTGAGCTACACCACATCCCCCAGCCCCTTTTTCTTTTTCTTTCTGTTTTGTTTTTTTTAAGACAGTCTCACTAAGTCACTGAGTTGCCTAGGCTGAGCTCAAACTTGCAGTGCTCCTGCCTCAGCCTCCCAGAGTGCCATGACTGCAGGCCTGCACCACCGTGCCCAGAAACGCTTTAGTTTCTTAGTCACAAAAATCCCTCCCCAGGGTCAGGCAAGGACCATTACTGTCTTACTGATGTATCTTGTGAGTTCTCCATGACATCTTGTTTTCTGCAACTCATTTTGAAGGTCTCCAGGATGAGGACTGTTTCCTTCGGATTTGGAGTCCCTGAGGCACCAGGTGGGGTGATGGGGCACAGTGGCTCCTGGTCAGTTGCCAGAACACTGCATGACCTGCCCCAAGCTGCCTGCTTACGTCAGTGTCCTTCCTTGCAGCCTTTTGTCATCCACGACATGGAGACGTTGTGTATGGCCGAGAAGACGCTGGTGGCCAAGATGGTGGCCAACGGCATCCAAAACAAGGAGGCCGAGGTCCGCATCTTCCACTGCTGCCAGTGCATGTCGGTGGAGACGGTCACCAACCTCACGGAGTTCGCCAAGGCCATCCCGGGCTTCGCCAGCCTGGACCTGAACGACCAGGTCACCCTGCTGAAGTACGGCGTGTACGAGGCCATCTTCACGATGCTGTCCTCCATGATGAACAAGGACGGGATGCTGGTGGCCTCCGGAAACGGCTTCATAACCCGAGAGTTCCTCAAAAACCTCCGGAAACCCTTCTGTGATATCCTGGAATCGAAGTTCGACTTCGCCATGAAGTTCAACGCCCTGGAGCTGGACGACAGCGACATTGCCCTTTTCGTGGCTGCTATCATTTGCTGCGGAGGTGAGTGGTCAGTTGAAGCTGGTGTCGGGTCGCTTGCAGCCTCCTCTCGTAAAGAACTTGATCATTGTTGAGCGGGTCGGTGCCAGCTCGAGCTCTGTCGCATGACATGGGCACTGGCATGTGGGGGGCATCTGAGCCCCAGTTGATGCTGAGTAGAATTAAAGAGAACTAGGATGCTATTGTGTAACTTAGAGTACTGTACGTACAAACACGTGTTTGTCGCCGGGCGGGCGGCACATGCCTCTAATCCCACCATTCTGGGCAACTAAGGCAGGAGAATCCAGATTTAAGTTCAGCCTGGGCAGTTTAGCAACTTAACAAGACCTTATCTCAAAATAAAAACTCAAAAAAAAGGGCTGGGGATGTAGTTCAGTGCAAACACCCTGTATTCATTCCCCAGTACCACTAAAGAAATGTTATGTAGATATAACTATGACGTACGCGTGTTAGTACAATTAGACCTGATTTAATTAGCACATCAGATGTAATTAGTATTATGATGTATAACGTTCTCCTGTTACTATTGTAACTATATAATTATGTTATATCAGTACTATAAATCCTGTTCTCTGAAGTGGCACACAGATGTTCATCCAGCTGCCGTCACTACTGGTCACGCTGGCACTGTGTCGTTATAAAGAACCCTGCAGCTGATGGGCAGTTGCACGCTCTGCTCTGCCAGGGCAGTGGATCCGGGGAGGAAGCGCTCGGCCTCTGCAGCACCAGGCTCTTGGCCCAGTGTCACCTTCCCTAAACAGCCGTCCTGAGTCTGGGAAGGTCACCTGCCAACTGTAAATCCAGCCGACCTTGCCCAGCTTGGCAGAGACCAAGGGCGGCCCCCACCTGCCACTTGCCGGAAGCCACAGTGTCCTCCAGACCACTTGCCGTGTGTGCCTACAGCCATCTGGCTGGGCAGAGTCCGGTGGAAGAGGCCCTCCTGGCGCCATGTGACCCGAGAAGGGGCAGAGCGGCTGTGCGTAATCTAGCATTGTCTCTTGGTAGGCTCAGGATGTAGCAGTGAGGGCGGGAAGCACCTGCCGAGCTGTGTATGTGTGATAGATCGCGGCTCCACCAGAGAAGCTCCAAGCATGCGCAGTCCTGTTCGTGGGGAGAGGTGGCCAGTAAGGTAGACAGGAAGCCTGTTAACGCACGGTTCAAACGGCCACCGGGTTCTTTCCATCTTTTAAAAAATTTCTCTGTTAAAAACTAGATGTAGTGGCACATGCCTATAATCCCAGCAGTCAGGAGGCTGAGGCAGGAGGATTGGCAGGAGTTCAAGGCCAGCCTGGAATACATAGACCCTGTCTCAAAAAAAAAAAAAACCCTTCACAATTATATTCACTTTATAACCATAAAACAAAGAAGATAAAAAGTCCACATCGGCAGAAGCACAAAAGATGAGACGGACTTTGGGAGGACTGCGTGGAACGTAGGTGGTCATGGCTGGGACCCATGGCCTAAGCCTGTGCCAGGGAGGCCACCCGACGTGCACGCTGGTGCTTCCGTGCCATCCTGCTCCCTGCTCTGGGGTGCCTTGCACCCTGGCAGCCCGCGTCCACCCCACCCTCAGCCTCCCTCGCCGCCCCGTATGGGAAGGCCCTAGGAGCTGCGCGTGTGTCGCACTTCCTCAGTACAGCTGAGAGCTTGCAGCCGCCTACCTGGCCGTGACCCAGGAAGACCTTCCTTTCCCGTGTTCCAGGCCAGTGAGGATAAAACTTCACCAGAATGTCACCAGGCTCTGGCTGTTGTCCGGGTTTTCCTGACAGTGGTGGTCAAGCAAATCCAATTGGAGGACCAGCTGCTGTGGGTGGAAAGTGGCGCTGAGTCTAGGAATGAGTATCAGTCCTGCCTGTCCCTGGTAGGCCCGGGACTTGGGGAAAATCTGTCCTGGATGAAGTTCACAGCATGGGGAGCTGCTCGGCCGGGGTGCCCCCGGCTGATGGGCAGTTACCAGTTATTCTCACACACAAATGTCTCTTTCTTGTTTTGACAATAGATCGGCCCGGCCTCCTAAACATAAACTACATTGAGAAAATGCAGGAGGGCATTGTGCAAGTGCTCAAGCTCCACTTGGAAAGCAACCATCCCGACGACACCTTCCTCTTCCCCAAACTCCTCCAGAAGCTGGCGGACCTGCGGCAGCTGGTGACGGAGCACGCACAGCTGGTGCAGGTCATCAAGACGGAATCAGACGCCTCGCTGCACCCGCTGCTGCAGGAGATCTACAAGGACATGTACTGAGACTGGCAGCGTGCGACAGCAGCCGCCCTGCAGGGGCGCCGAACGCCGGTGCCACTGCAGAGGAGAGACGGGAGCAGCTCAAATCTGCACCCTTTGACCTTGGAGACGGGAAACTTGTCCTGCGGCAGCCCTCACGGCAGCCAGCACTTAGAGCGCACTTGCTACTCGAGCGCTGCTGCTCAGGACCCAGGAAATGAAGGACAATCGTGAGCCACGGTCTGATTCTAACTCGCCCCATGTAATCAGTGCACGTTCGTTATATCACGTGCGTGATTTGCCATTTAATTAACGGGTAACCTCGAGATACGTGGTCTGTTCCCTCCCGACCACCCCTTCTACTGTTGTGCTCCCTCCTGATGCGGAAAACTAATCAGCACTTTTTAACAACTGTTGTAATCCTGTAAATCTAGATGTAGCCAAAGGTTAGGTATTTAAAATGCAGCAGAATATTTATTTGGATGATATCAGTCCTGTTTCCTGAATCTGAAGAAACAGCAGGCTGCTTTTTAATCGTAAGATGGAGAATTTTCCAGAACAGTTTGATAAGCTATGAACATGCAGCCGTCACGGTGTCCTTTTCAGTTCGTGGTTTTCGTGGTCCCAGGTAGTTTGTGGCGAAGCCCATTTCCAGGCTCACGTGGAAGATCCCAGGAAACTGGGTCCCAAGCGCCTCTGGGTTGTAAGCTGTGACCGGGGTAAGCAGAATTGGATGAAGCCTTCCCTCCTGCTTACTTCTGTTCCTCTCAAGCCGGAAGCAACTCAGCCAGGCTGTCTGCAGGCGTGGTAGTGATCCTAGGGCCAAGCAGAAATGATGTCTCAGTGTTCCTCTGGGCCTCCTTCGGCAGCTCCTTTATCTTTTCCTGTGTTGCCTTTTAAAACGTGACGCTTTATTGTTGTAACTCTTGGTGGTGGTGGTGGTCAGCGCTCCTGGACAGGGAGACCACCTGTGCAGCTTTACCGCCCAGGCCAGCAGGGATGGTCACCCAGAAAACGAGAGGGGCGCTGGATCCTCCACCAGGCAGTTGTGCCTATGCTCAGATTTCTCCACAGCTGGCTTTGTCTTTTTTTACAAAGATACAGTTGAGGGGCTGGGGATTTAGCTCAGTGGCACAGCGCCTGCCTGGCAAGCACAAGGTCATGAGTTCGATTCCCGGTACCGGAAAAAACCAAAAAAAAAAAAAGATATAGTTAAGTCTGTGTTTCCCACTGTATACATAAGGTAGGGTTTTGTTTTCTGCTTTTTTTTTTTTTCCAACATCTGAAATAGTTTTAGCCTTAAAGATCAACTTCCCAACCTCAGTCCATTGTTGATTACAGTGATTGGTCTAGAACCTGTGGACCTAGAGATGTTCTTTCTGTCTACCTGGTGGATAAATTGTCATATAAGAATGACTTCAGCAGTGCCCTCCCACCTACCAGGTGGTCTGATCTGCAAGTGTCTCTGCCACCATTCAGGGCACTGGGCACTTAGGTCCTGATTGTCTCTGGTGCCCTTCCTTCTTTCCTTCCTTCCCCCCTTCCTTCCTCCCCCTCTTCCCTCCCTCCCTCCTTCCTTCCTTCCTTCCTTCCTTCCTTCCTTCCTTCCTTCCTTCCTTCCTTCCAGATCCAAAGGACCTATTCAGATGCAGCAAGCAGCTGTCCAAGTGCCGTAGGACCCCAAAGCAGAGGAGACTCTTTCCTATCGGCTCCCTGTCACAGTGAACCCCTACAAGGCCAAGCCAGCCTGAGTCCCTTCCCCACCGCCCACTCCCCACACCTAGGAGTCCCCAGGGCTGTGGCCATCCAAGTCCAGGGTCCAGCGCCCAGTCTATCTTGCCCCCCTCCAGCTCTGACGTGCACTAGACAAATGCCACTCAGATACACAGTGCCTGGGGAGGGAGCTGCCAGACCCAGCCTGCCAGGAATGTCATCATCACCCCATTTAAGGATTCGTAATGTGCATGCACAGCAGCCCCTCCCATTGCGCTCTCCGTGGTGACAGCCAAACTGACCGGCGAGCCCAGCATTCGTCTACCCAGTGCTCAGCATGTGTGAACTCGATTCTCTTAGAGTCTCGTGAGACTATCGGTGATGTCCAAAGGAAGCCAGGAAGTCCTCGGACAGCGTTCTCTTGTTAGGAAGGAAAACTCCGAGTCTCAGCATCCGAGCATCAAGGGCGCTCCCGGCCACTCCGTGCTAGAATACTGAGTCACCTCCTCAGAGATTCTCAGGGCGTCAGTACTACTGGAGCGCATCTGAGTTTGCCAGGAGTCGCCAGGCAGCAGCGAGAAGCACAGGAGGCGTGGCAGCTGGCACAGAGGTCTGTACCACACGCGGAGCCCCGTCCTCCGGCAGTGAGTGCAGGACGCTGCCGGCTCCGCCAGGCTCTTCCTCCCCACCTTTCACTACCAAGAAGTGCTGGGCCCAGCCCGCCCGCTGGCCTTGGTGTCCCATGCTGGAGCGATGACGTGCAGTGAGATGACCCCTTCTATGGCAGCCGACGCAGGCTCAGGGGGTCCTCTCTATCGTCCACTGTGAGCCTTACTGCTGCCCCTCTCTGGGCACCATGGTCCAGGCACCGCGGGAGGTGAGAGCAAAGTGCATAGATGTCACAGCAGGACGCTGCCAGTTACATCAGCGGGGCCTCCTTGCTGCTGGTCTCCCCTGGACCTTCCCCAGCTCACTGATGAGATCGAAGCCGCCTCCCAAGGGGGCGCGCCCACCCGTCTGTGACTAATGGGAGTAGAGAGAAAGCCAGGACCACGATGTGAGCACATCTGAGAACGCCAAGAGAGCTGGCCTGTTCTGAAGGAATTCTTTTCACCCTCAGAGACCCCAAAGGACCAAACCACTTTGGGCACTGCGGTGGAGGGTCCAGGGAGGGCGCAGGAGCCCCAAAGAGAGCAGGACCCCCAGGCACAAGCAGGCTATTTGGCTGATGACAAGCGAACTTTAATTTAGCAGCTACTTTCCTCCCAGTGTACGTCAGTCAGCACTACAAAGGCACTGTTAGAACAAAGGCATGCAGAAAGCTCCACCCAGCCTTCGAGGTGTCCCTGCAGTCACCTTAGGGACACGGGATGCTCACGAGCGTCTGATTCGCAGCAGGCGGGCAATGGTGGGCCCTACGACTTTCCAAAGGACCCCTGCTGTGTAAAGGGAGCCCTTTGCTTAAAAGCCCAGCCCCAGGAGAGGTCCTACCAGTGCTGGAACGCAACCCTCACAGAATGGCCCACCTTGGGCCCTCTGCCCACCGCCCACTGTACCGAGCTGGTGGCCTCAGCGTGTCCCGCCTCGAGCCCCCTTTCACACCAAGGACACCAGCCCTGTTGGACACTTAGCATCCGCACACAGGACAGAGGGGGTTTTGTCCAACCTGGGGCGTCACACATCTTGGAACAACCTGTTGAACCTCAGGTTACAGATGTTACAACCTGTGCGTCTGTGGCCCCAGTGGACACTGGCCTTTTGTGGTGCCTTCGACCCAAGTGGCCTTTCACACTGTGGGCCCCAGGCACGTGTCCCACAGCTTAGCACCTAGCCTGAGCACCCCATCTGAAACGGACACACCCAGCCTGGGCATGGAGGGCCTACCTGGCGTTGCCTGTCCACCTCACCGCCTCTCTGATCTTCCTGGGACAGCGGGACAGCCGACCCCCAGCCATCCGTGCAGCCGGTGCCCGTCACCTGCAGTCAGTGCGGTGCTCCTGCAGAACGATTTCTTCAAAGACGTCCCAGTCCAGTGCTCTGGGAAACAGGCGGGCCCGGGCAACTTAGACACTTAACAAGATCCTGTCTGAGTTAGTTTTCTTTTTAAAAAGGGCCGGCGATGCAGCTCAGTGCGAAGGCTCTCATTCAGTCCCGGGTCGCAAAAAAAATTTCCTCTGTTCAGAGCAGTGGTGTGGACTCTGGTAAGACACTAGTCACAAATCAAAACCAATGCCACCCAGGGAGGGATTTCGGGGTGGAAAGTATCCAGGGACTGTTTCAATGCATTGCCGGGCCTGGGGAAGGACCGAGTCCGCCTGTGCGCCTTCCTGTGGACCGCAGAGGTGGAGGCCGCCAGACAAGCCGTCCTCAGACGGCGCCTTCCGGAAGTGAAGGTCCACGAACACCTGCCACAGGAATCGCCGAGGATCTGGGCTCCGAGGGGCTGAAGGAACAAACGGGATGAATCAGCACCGATGCCGCCGCGTCCGCTGTGCTGGTGCAGCTGAGGGACGGCTCACACGGGGGCCTGTCATCGCCACCCCATCTCAGGCCGCCTTTCCGGGGCTGAAAGGCCGCTGCCTGTGGAGACCTGAGCATGAACCCTCATGGAGGATTTTTTTTTTGTACCGGGAATCGAACTCAGGATCTTGCACTTGCCAGGCCGGCACTTGTGCCGCTGAGCCCGGCCCCCACGGAGGATTTGCTGGGATGTCTAAATATATATTTTGGTGCCAATTGAATGAGACTCAAAAATGGTCATCAGCCCCCAGCTGGCAAAACAGTTAACAACCAGAGCAATAATTTGGCCAGACTCAGAACATAGGGGACCATGATCTCTCTTTAAAACCCACAACCATACTAAAATACAAAATTGGAAGCTTTGTTAAAAAAAAAAAAAAAAAAATAGGCAATCGGCCTTCCTCCGGCTTCGGTTTAAATAACTACACAGTGGTCTCCATCACGCCCCTCAGGCGGGGCCAGCAGGCTCTTAAACTGTGCCTCAGCGGGTAGGCTGCAGGACGTGCACCCCACACCCTGCCTGTTGCACCCTGGTGCCCGAAATGGCTTCACAGAGTTCGGAACTGCTGTCTGGTGAGCCTGGCTTCTCAGGACTTGATGACTTCTTGCAATTTCAGGAGACGTGAGAAACGGTGTCGGCTGCTCCTGTCCCCCACGAGAGCACCCCCTTAGCGCGGGAGGAGGGGCCAGCTGACCAGGTCCTGGGCACATGGCCCTATCTGTCCAGAACAGACCCACTGGTTCCGTTCGGTGTTGGTCCCGAAGAACCAACCGACAAAGCCAAGTACTTCAAGGGCCCCTGGCTGTTAAACCCATTGTTTGCTAAAAGAAGTATGAAAAAAATTTTCCAGTTTGAGTCAGAAGTGAAAGTCCTCCGTGTTCTTCTCTAGAGAAGGGAATATACTGGCCACTTCCTCTCTTGCCCTCCGTTTCCCCTACCCAACATCAAATACTCCTTCATCCAGTGCGCTGATGGCGAATTGCACAGGCTGGCGCACAGCAAGCTCTGGCAGGAGCTGCACCTCCCAGCAAAAGCTGGGGGGGCACTTGGGCCTCCGAGGTGCCTGGCCTGCAGCGGGTGCTCGGAGGGAGGGCGTGCTTCCTCCCGGTCTCTGCCCGAGTTCGGTGAGGCCGGGCTGCAGGCCCTGAGGATCAATGCATGACTGATTCTTTCCTGGTAAATCAATCACTTTTGGAAAACTCCCTGTTTTAAAGGCACAGTCAGCTCCTTCTCAGGCCTAAACAAAATGTACCTCACAACGGATGCGCACCACGTAGTGCCCTTTCTGTAAGATCACAGCGTCGCTCCTCTTGCCACTTCTCGGTCTATGCTGCACAGCAAAAACAATTCAATGAACAGCTGTATCTTTAATACTGTGATTTGAGTTTTTAAAAACCATCCTAACACAAGTAGCCAATAGGCCATCATAACTCAGTGTGAATGAGAGTATTTACAAGTCACTGTTCATTGTGCCTGAAGCCCGGCTCTTGAACCTACCGGAAACAGGAAGCTGAGCTCAGACAATGGAAACCCAAGTGCATGTGGGCGCACAGGACCCTGAAGCTGTTCGTTTCTCCTGAGCCATGCAGAACTTTCTTTGTGTAAACTCCCCCCACCCCACCATATGTTAGATGCAGAAGATGTGCATGTCTGTATTCATTTCCACCAAGGAGGCCTTCGACCCCAGGGTGGCGGTCACAGACTTCACGCCAGTGTTTTAATCAAACCACTAGCTGGTCCCGTTTTGTTCATAGCGTTTGTTCTTCAGGGAATCATGACCTGCATCACCAAAGAACCTTGGCAACGAGAAACGTCCTGGTGGAAAGCATTTGCAGCCACTGGTTCTCTGGCAGCCCCCAGGTGGCCCGGCCCGAAGCACAGGGCAGAAACTGCAGGGCCCATGAGTGGCTCTTCTCCCACTTCCGGTGTCTTGGCCAAATTTCCTTTGGGTGCGTCTTGGTCTTTGTGACACCCTCTGGGAACCACTGTGCCATTGCACTCAACCCTAGGAGGGGGTCTCATGGACATGCACGAGAAGGTGCACGTCTCCAAAGCAGGACTGCGCCAGGTCCCTGCCATGTGCCAGGGTACTATTCTTAGGTGCCTTATGCTGAGTCCCGAGGAGCTGGGGGCCCTGGTTCCCTCAGCATGTGGGGCAGTTTCAACTAGGACCGGAGAGGCTTCACCAGCGTCCTCTCTAACCTGACAGCCTCCGGGGGACCGGGCTGTCCAGGACCTCAGGAATCCAGGGTGCACACAGGACGGCAAATGTAATTTCTCTGGTAACATTAACAGATCAGTTCCAAGCAATTAGAAAATGGCTGTAACATAACCTTAATTTTAAAAAAATCTTGGGTCATCTTTATTTCCCTGTTAGGAGACTGAACTGACCATATGTATTGATTTCTATCCTGAATTTATGGGAATTTGTATGTTTGGAATGACGTACTGTAAGACTGGTGAATGTAAAGAGTTAATTTCAGGGTACAGTTTTGCCTTAATTGGTTTTAAAAATTAAACTATTTTTTAAAATTATCTGGTGCATTGAGTGATGATGTGAGAATTGCTGGATGTGCATGATGAAAAAAAGGCGGGGGAATAGTAGGCATTTATAAGTAAAACCCAAGGCACGCACTTGCAAGAAAAAGCTCTTTATCCATTTTCATCAGACAGGACAGTGACCGCGCCGTGATCGTGAAGTGCAACAGCAGCTCCTCAGCACACGCTGAGCAGACACACAGCTCCCTACAGACCCCACATTTGCCACTGTGCGGGGCCAGGGCCACAGGGACATTGGCCAGCTAGGGGGCTGCGCCCGAGAGGGGGAGGGGGATTGCAAGCTAAGGAGGCCCATGCACTCCGGACTGGGGGACACACAAGGGAGCTGGTCTAGCTGAGCTAGACCAGCCATGGGACTGTCATACCCACCATGGGGACATCCCCGCCCAGGCTGTCCGCAGGGAACCTCCCCACTCCCAGCCCACCCAAAGGGCCTGCGGGGACCTCAGGTCTCCCAAGTGCTGGGTGGAAGGATTGCTTCTCAGAACATTAGCCAGGTCTCTGAGTTCAAGATTAGCACAGTTAGCATTTCAAGGGCATGAAGCCTTCTGGGACCGCTGCTGTGGTCTCCCAAGGGTGTGACATGAGCCCCTCCCCACCCCTGCCAAGCTGACTGCTGGCACCAATTTCCTCGCAGGCCAACCCCACGGGCCTTGCCCTGTATCTGCACCTGCCCCACGCGCACCCATGGTGACCTCGGAGCATGGTTTACCCAGGAGGCACCCAGGCCACAGCTCTGCCCCTGGCCAGCCACGCCTGGGGCGCCCAGCCTGCTCAGCCACAGATCTGCTCCCAGGAACAGGCAGGCACCACAGCGGGCTCTGCGTGGGCCCTGAGCTCAGGTCCCGGGACAGGCCCGGCCCGAGGACCTCATGGAGGGAGGGGCCTTCCTCTTCTCCAGGTCCTGCCGGATCTCCGCAGGGAAGGCGCCAAGGTTCTCCCGGACGCAGGGCAGACAGAACCTCTTGGAGTAGAACAGACTGCACTCCTGGAAGAAGCAAGGGAGAATTCGCCCTGCGGCATCCTCCCGCCACCCACAGGGCCTGCCTACAATGTCCCGGAAGAGCCCCAGTGGGAACAGCTGACGGGACAGAGACTCTGGGCTGGCAAAACGATGACGGCTGTGCCGCAGGCTCCCCCAGAGCCAAGCCTCCCAGAGCGCTCCTGTTCGTGCGTCACAGCAGGGACCTCGGCCTGGGCCCCGGGGACCTGGGAGCAGCAGGGCCCCGAAGGCAGGGACAGCCCCGCTGCCCCCTCGTGGCCATTCACCAGCCCTGGAACTGTGAGCCCCACCCCCCAGCACACAGCGCCAAGCTCAGGATTCCAGCACTCCCAGCAACGGGGGTGGCCATGTGATAGCCCAGTCAGGGCTCTCACCAGCGGCTCTGTGTGCCACCTCCTGGTCACTCCCCTCTAAGGACGGGCACACATGTGCTCCCTTGTCCCTTCCTACGTATGGGCTGGGACATAAATGTGATGGTGGGAGCTGCGACTGCCGTGGTGTGTCTGAGCAGATGTGTGTTGCTGATGGCAAGGTGCCTGGCACTCTGATGCTCTAGGACCCGTGTCCTCTGTTCTATGGGCCCTGCCCCCCGAGGACCCGCACCCCTGCCCCCTGGAGCTGGGAAGGCCAGGACCCCACCCCCAGGGCAGCGGCCCAACCCCGCTTACCCACCGGGCCCACGCACACCAGCCTGCCGCACACACTGCACTGTGCACCGAGGACCAGGAACCTGTCCCTGTCCGGTGAGAAGGGGTCCTTCATGACGTAGCTCTCCTCCAGGAGGCTGCAGGGACAGGGCCACGGCTCAGTGGCAGACACGGCCTGACCCTGCAGGCCGCCAGGAGCTCAGATCAAATGGCAGGGGGGTTCATCCACAGGGACCCCCCTTCCCCTCCCCCGTGACCACGGCCGGAGCCGGCTCACGGAGCAGGCACAAGGCCATGAAGGGAGACTGGGTACCGTCCCCACCCTCACAGCCCTGGAGGCTGTGTGTCAGGACAAGGCCACAGGGACACCAGCCCACCCAGGCCAGAGGAAGCTGCCTGGGCCCCTGACACCGTGCCCCACGCGAGGACACCCTGGTCGGCCCTCCCCATGCGGCCCCTGATATGGACCAGCTGGCAGTGGAGAAGCAAGCCCAGGGCCACCCGCATATGGAAGTCAGTCCCCATGCCGGTTCCCACCAGCGCAGGGACGGTGAGCAAGACAGACATCCTGCCCAGCAAGTGCCACCAACGGGATGGCACCAAGGCGCACAGCCACCAGGGCTCTTCCTCTGGGCAGCGCCAGCCTGGCCTTAGGCAGCCCAGGAGCGCCGCCTGCAGGGAGTGGCGGGGCCTGAGTGGAGGGGTGTCCGTCACTGGGCAGGGCGGGGCCATGGGGGCGGGGCCTAGGTGGGCGGGGCCTGCAGCCCTGAGCCCCGCCCCGCCCTGCCTCCCTGGGTCACGCTTCTGGCGTCCAGAGCCCGGGCTACTCACACGACAGACTGGGTGTTGGGGGGCTTCTGCCCCACGTAGCTGTAGGGCGCCGTCAGGCCACAGAGCTGGCACTCGAACACTCCCAGGGGACGGCGCTCGGCCTCAGACGCCATCTGCACGATCAGAGACAGTATCACCTTCGGAAGCTAGGCCGCCCACCCCAAAGCTCCCCGCCCTGCGCTGCTGCGCACCCTCAGAACGCCAGGCCCTAGCGGGCGGGACTGCAGAGCGCGCGCTGGCCGTGGCCTGGACCTCAAGCTAGAGACGCCTAAGTCGTACAGCTTATTCTCTAACCCCCAAATTGAAATCAGTAACAGAACAACTGGGAAATCTCGCGATATTTGGAAATTTATAAACCGCTTCTAAAGAAACTGTAGTTCAAAGAAGAAATTAAAAAATAGATTGAACTAAATGGAAATAAAAATACGTAGAATGTAGTTTAAGCTGTACTTAGAGGGAAAGTCATAGCATTAAATGTTTACGTTAGAAAAGAATGTTTAAATCAAGTATCCAGATGTGGTGGTGCAGGCCTACTACAATCCCAACACTCTGGGAAACTGAGGCAGGAGGACCCAAGTTTGAGCCCATCCAGGACAATTTACCAAGACCCTGCCTCCGAATTTAAAAAAAAGTTCTGTTGTTTTAAGGGTTAGGGATATAGCTCAGTGCAAAGGCCCTAGGTTCAATCCCCAATACTGAAAAAAAATCACGTAAGTGATGATTTAAGAAATTAGCAAAAGTCAAAATATACCCACTATACGTAGAAAAAATATAATAAAAATAGAAAAATACAGACAAACAAAATAAAAACCAATAAAACCAAAGTGGCTTATTCCAAAAGTTCAGTCAAAGTGACCTTTAATTAGATTGACTGAGCTGGGGATATAGCTCAGCAGCACAAGTGCCTACCTGGCAAGTGAGATGTCCTGAGTTCGATTCCTGGTACCCCCCCTCAAAAAACAAATTAAAGTTGACTGAGAAAAACACAAAGATATGAATGACTAATCTCAGAGATAAGAATACCACTAAGACTAGAGACATTAAATGGATAATAAAGGAATGCTATGAACAATTTTCAACTGAAAATTTTTGGCCAATTAGATCAGAAGGACAGATTTCTTGACAAAAATACCAATTATTAAAAGTGCATGACGTGATGGCACACACCGGTAATCCCAGTTGTCAGAAGGCTGAGGCAGGAGGATCACTGTGTGAGTTTAAGGCCAGCCTGGGGTACAAACTGAGTTCAAGACCAGCTTGGACTAGATAGTAAGACCTTGTCTCAAAAAACAAACAAACAAATCAAAAGTAACTCAAGAAACAGGAAACCTGGATAACCCTACTATCTACTAAGAAAATTAAATTCATAATTAAAACTTCTCCCAGAAATGAAATAAAAGAACTTTTTAAAAAATGAGATGCCTGGATGGTTTGAATGGCAAATTCTTCCACGCACTTCAGCAGGAAGACTCCTATACAGACTTCTGGAAACTAAGGACCACCCCCGCAGGGTTAGGAAGTCAGGAGTCCACAGACACGGAACCCCCAGGGTTATCCGAGATGATGAACTAAGCGGGACTACCAGGGAACCCAAGACCCACACTCTCGTGGGCGTAAACACACAAATCCTAACAGACAGCGGCCAGCTGGATTCGGTCATACACCATACGTATGAGGACTCCTGTGAGAACGAACGGAGTGGTTCCGGGAACACAAGGCTGGTTTACCATTCGCCAAGCAATGACTACAATTCGTGCCAGAGACCAAATAAAGGGAGAAAACCACAGTCAGTGCAACAAATGCAGAGAAAGCCTGGCAAGCTATGTCCAGCCCTCCTGCATCACAGCAAAGTGGCTTTGTGACTGCTACACGTGGAACTCCCTGCTTTGGCATGCGAGCCCCACCTAACTCGGCACCCCATTCCCACCCAGGCCATGGTCCGGGGCCACTTCCTGTCCTGCAGAACCTGTACCCTCACCGCCTGGCTTTTGCCCTGCTGTCCCTTCTGTCCCTTCCACCCAAAGGCCTTTTCCTTATCCCAGGTCTCGGGTTTCCCCCTCCGGCTGCAGTCAAGACTTTTATCTCTGGTTTTGAATATATTTCTATGGGTTTTTTGTTTTGTTTTTTGAAGTTATTTGTTCTGATGATGTTTCTTTAGGCGAATTCCTTAATCTGTGATTGATATCGCTCATTACTTTTAGAAAATTTGACTACTTCTCCTGCCCCATTTTTATCTTTCTGCTGAGATTCCAACTGCAAATTGCTGCTGCGCTATGTGTGCATACTGGCCTTGAACTCACAGCAATCTCCTGCCTCAGCCTCCTTAGTACAAGCGTGCACCACCATGCCCAGCATTCGCTCTTTTCTTTGTTTCAGTTTGGGTGATTTCTATCAACCTGTGTTCACTGATTTTTTTTTTTTCCTTAGCTACGGCAGATCAGCCCATGTGCCTTTTTTTGAGACAGGGTCTCGCTATGCAGTTCAGGCAGGCCTGAAACTATGTAGCCCGGGCTGGCCTTGAACTCAGAATGACCCTCCTTCTTTCCCTGTAGCGCCCATCGCACACTGAAGTTAGGGTGGGCACGAAGTCTCCTGTTCCCTGGGGTTCTGCGACCTCACCTTCCTTTGGTGCTCAATCTATCGGCCCGGTTGGCACCGCCCTATGCCCTCTGTTGGGTCTCAGATGTCCAGGAAGTGGTCCCCGTGACTGGCACTGCCTGGTGGGGTCAAGAAAAGTTAACCCATGGGCCATCGAGCTTTGGCTCTCCCCGCACGGTTTCTACTCGTCTTTAGCAGTTGTCATTCTACACAACAGCATCACCCAGCCCCTGCTGAGCCGGGTCCCCTGCTCCGGACCTGGCAGAATGCTGTACGACCAGCAGTAGCATGAGCTGTGGAATTAGGCAGCCGAGATGCAAGTCTCCGAGGCACGGGTTCCCAGCGGCTGTTTCCCTCGGTACTGGGAACTGAACCCAGGGTCTTCCCAACAAGTTACATCCGCAGCCCGTTTTTTATTTTTTTATTTCGAGACAGCATGTGGCTAAGTGGGTAAACTGCCGCGGTTGGGCTTGAATGTGCGATCCTCCCGCCTCGGCCTCCTGGGGTGATGCGATTACAGGCTGCTCCCAAACGACCTTTAGAAAGTGAGCGTTCTAGCTGGGGTTGTGCGGTCCGGATCTTAACTGGAGGGCGCGGTGCGCGCTGCAGGCCACAGAGCGGGACAATCCCGGGACAACCCCTCCGGCCGTCTCTCGCCCGCACAGCTCCCTGCGCGGAGGGTCTCGGGGTCACCGGGGTTCCGGAGAACAGGCGACACCCCAGGGATGGGACCCCCAGCCAGCCAGCCCTTCGGCCTTGCCTCCCGAAAGTCGGTCAGAGTCTGAAGCTAACCCCCGCGAGCACTCACCGCCTCCGCGCGGCCCCGCGGCCCGCAGCGCGTGCGCGGCCCCGCCCAGGCCCCGCCCAGGCCCCTCCGCGCGTGCGGGGGCGGGACTTCCGGCGCCTTCCGCTTATGCCGCGTCCTTCCGGTTGCCGCGCTGTGTGATCTTCCAGGCTGAGATCGTTCTCGAGCTGAGCGTCCGGGCCAAGAGCTTCGCCTCCGGCAGCCCCGGGCGCTGGATTCCTCCTGGGCTTTCCACCGCGCTCCGCAGAGCCGGAGTCGCTGGCGCAGGGCCTGCGGGTGGCGGGGTGGCGCCGGGACGAGGATGCGATGTTAGCGCGCGCTGCCGTCTCCTGCATGGCGGCGTCCATTGGTGCAGAGCGCCCCAGCCCCCTGCCACCTGTGCCCAGCTGTGCGGCCTCAGGACGTGGCGGCGCTCCCCAAGACGCGGGGTGGCCTGCGGCGCCCCTGCTGGTGTGCGCCTGCCCTCTTCACCCTGCCGGGCTTCTCCCGCCTGCGCAGCAGCCGCGCCAGCTGCGCCTGTTTCCCCTGCGCCTGGGGACTCGGATCTGCTCCTACCCCAGAGTGCCCGGCCCCCCTTGCGCCTTCCGTGGGCGAGGGTCCCAGGCTCTGAGCCCCGTGGGCCGGGCCTGTGGGCTGCACGCCCAGCGGCCCCAGCCGCTCTTCCCTAACGCAGGCTCTTCCCTCCGGCCCGGGGAAGATGGTGCGTGCTGTCTTTTCCCCGGGGAGGTAAGGGTTTAGCTCTGTGAGAGAGGTCGCCTGCCGCAGAGCTGCAGCCCGCAGTCTTCTCCAGCGCTCCTCCCACCCGCCTTGGACGTTTTCCTCTCGTAGCGGGGTCCTCCGTTCCCAGGCCCGGGAGGGATGTGCGCTGTCCCTTATAGACCAGAGTTCACCCTTAAGTTGATAAACCACATTTAAAGGAATGTTGCTCAGTTGCGTTAGATTGTGGGCTGGGACTTACACCTTTGGGCACCTGGGAGGTAAGATAGACAATTTAGTGATACCAGAGCTAGCACCACTCTTAGACCTAGGCAGAAATTAGCCAGCAGTGTAGATACGACTTCAGCTGTGCGGCAATGACATTCTTTACTTCTGTTCAGAGATTATATATTAAATTCAAAGTTTACGTTTTAGTTCTGTTTTCTGGTTCTGCCCCAAGGTGGAATATTTTGATGAAGCATTTTAGATTTGACATAGAACCACTCAGATACGTGATAGTAATGCCAGGAAGGCTAAAACAGATTTTAGATAAATTATCCATGTGCTATAAGAGCTACATGATATAATACTGAAAGAAAAAATCATGGCCTATGGTGGAACAAAAGTTACATTTAAAAACCGAGATGTCAGCCGGGTGTGGTGGCGCATGCCTGTAATCCCAGCACTCGGGAGGATCGCTGTGAGTTCGAGGCCACCCTGGGCTAGAAAGTGAGCTCAAGGCCGGCCTGAACTGCACAGGGAGACCCTGTCTCAAAAAGACAAAAAAAAAAAAACAAAACCCAAGATGCCCACGTTTACTAGAAAAAGTTTATGAAAAACCGAATTCCAAAAGGACTGAAAATACTTCCTAAAATCTTAGACAAGGGTTTGTCAAAATAAACTACATGTGACATAGCACTAAAGTGATGTCAGGGTACAATCGCTTGTTAGAGCTTAGTTCTAGAATGTCCACAAAAGGCTCGTGTGTTAAATAAAGGCTTCGTCCCTGGTGTTGTGTGTTCAGAGACAGGGCTTGGGGGAAGTGACTGAGCAGAAGCGCTCTGGTTTCGTCAGTGGATTAACCCGCAGGTAGATCCATAATTGGATGGGCTATCAGGATGTGATGTAATCTCAGATGGGAGGTGTCCGTGGGGCATGGCCTGGAAGGTGAGGGTGTACCTTGTCCCTGCTCCATTCTACCCGTCTCCCTCCCTCTGCCACAAAGTGAGCCTCAAGCCGTGGGCTGAGACCTCGGAAGCTGTCTCAGCCTACCATTGAGCCACAAAACACATTTTCCCCTTCAGGCTGTTTCTCTCAGATGTCTTTTCACAGCAGTGATAAACTGCCAAACGTGGTAGTGATGTTAGAACCAAGATCAGAAACACTTGCTGGTATCTGAAGATTTGTGTGTGAATAATCCTGGAACTAATTTCTGTGAGATTATTTTCTGCCTGTCAGAGGTCAAGGTGTAATCTGTGTTGAAAGACTTGAACAAAATGAGGAGCAATCTACTGCAATTTTCAAGTTTTAAAAAGTATCCCCCAAAAAAACTCAGTATTGACAAATGTGAAGAAAAAGGTAAACACTAACATAAGAAAGTGCTAATAGCAAAATGCTGTCATGATAACATGAGAAATATGTTGTAATATTTTCTGCAGTCCTGGTAATCTTTCATAGATACCTTCTTATCGGTGTTTAAATGTGATATTGAAGTTCATGGTTCAATTCTCAGTCTGAAGCTGATGAAGTCATTGCTGATTGCTAAATGTGGGAGCGTGCCCAGGTGCACCACCCAGAGAGTGCATGTGTCTGGGCCTCACCTGCTAGTGGTCTTCACCCCCTATGAGGCTGGCGCCACACACAGCCGGAGCTTAAACCCTGCAGCCTATGGTTCAGTGGCTGAGGGCTTCTCACTGGGATGCAGCTGGCCGCTGTCAGTGAAGAGCAATCGTTTGGGCCCACATTTCCACCTTCTCAGTCTGCTCAGATACCAGGTGGCTGAGAGAGGTCCAAGGAATGTGAGCTCCGGGAAGGACAGTCGGCCACCAGGGACCGGGCCACCCCCTATGACACTGCCAGGGGAGTAAGAACATGCAGAGCTGCCCCCCCGACACTCGCTGTGTTGGCCTTGGGTGAGTCGTCCATCTTGTCTTCACTGGAGGGATTGCTCCTGAGGCTGAAATTCCTTTAAGCCTCACAGAAGAAGTTTCACATTTAATTCTGATAAAACGTAAAGTGTCATCTACATAAACGAATATGCTTCTGAGTGAATATATGACAGCTGTTAGCCCTTATTGCGCTCAAACAATGAACCACGTTTTTCTCAATTCTAAATAACCCACCACAGGCCAGGGATATAGCTCAGTGGCACAAGCACCTGCCTGGCAAGCACAAGGTCCTGAGTTCGATTCCCGGTACCATAAATAAATAATCCACCACATCATAAACAACTGTAATGGTTGATACATTGTGTCAACTTGAGAATTGAGTTTAGAAGTTGGTTCACAGGTTGTGGGTTACTGTTATCGAGAATTGAGTTTAGAGATTTACTAAATGACTCAGCAGAGGGCCAGGGTCCTCACTTCCTAATCCTGAGCTTGTGGAAGAGGAAGGCAAGGAGATGGTGTGGGCAGATGGCCGGCATACAATATAAGGGGGAAAAGAGGCTTGCTCTCCCCTCCCTTTTGCTCTTGTTGCTTTTGCTGTCTTCTGCCACCTTGGACAGTTGCCCCTGTGCCAGGCCTCCCTGCCTTGGATTATGGGCTGAAACCTTCACAGATGAGAAAAAAGTAACCTACACAAAATTTTTTGCCAGAGAAGTGGGGTTGTTGCTGTGACTGTACCTGACCATGTGGTTCAAGAGCCTTTGGGAGTGGCTTGTGGGAAGAGATTAGAAAGGTTTGGAGATGTCACCTGAAAGGGTAGAGCTGGAAAGCCTTAAGCTGTTCTGTATGGGAGATTCTGGTCAGAGCTCAGAAGACCAGAAATTTCAAGGCACTCTAATGGTGAGGTGGTGGCATGGCTGCCGGTGGTAGCTTTTAGCCAGATCTGTATTGAGAATCAAGAGCAGAGAGCCCAGCAGGATGATTTAAAATGTGAGTTTGGCCAGAAAGGACACTCCAGTACAAAGACAGAGTTGAGGAGATCTCGATTGCTCGGAAGGAACAGGAGAATATAAAAGATAACCTGAGGGCATCAAAAGAAGCCGCAAGTCTCCGCCCTTTGCAGCCTCAAAACTGCAAAAGTGAAAGACTGCTTTGAGGAGAAAGCCATAGAGCACCATATTCCAGAATGGCAGCAGCATGGAAATTTGTTCCTCAAAATTGAATTCACAATGCCCAGTGACTGAGGCACTCAACCCCTACAGGCACGAGAGAGGAAAGCCTGGCAACTGCTCCAGCTGGCAGCAGACCTTGGCATCATCCACATGGTGCTAGCTTTAGGTGCATGCAGAATGCCAGAATTATGGGCTTAAAACAGCTTCCACCTCGATTTCAGAAGGCATGGAAGGCCAGGCAGTGTGCCCCTGAGAGGGAAGTGTGTGAAGCTGTGAGTGTGAAGCCAAAGGTGCAGTGGAGATGCCAGAAGTTTGGGAAAGCCAGGAATGTGGATTTTCTGAGGAAAGCTGCAAGGAGGGAGCAAAGCGGGTCTAAGAGAGAAGCCGTGAACACTACAACCACTAGAAGTGCGATGGGGTGAAATCACGCAAGCCTTTTGGAATTTACAACTTGCCACAGATTGCCTCAGATACTTGTCCTGCTGGATTGTGGACTTGTTTTGGCCCCAGCCCTTTGTATCCCCGTTTGTAACTTTTGTATTGAAAATATTCAGCTTGTACCATTGGATATTGGAAGTGTTTAACTTTGTTTTCATTTTAGTACAGGGGTTTGCGCTAAGAGTTTGCCTAACATCTCAGAGGAGACAGGACGTGGACTTTTCAGCAGTACTGAACTATTAGGACTTTGGCAACTCTCGTAGATGAGCTAAATGCCCTTTGCATAAAGGGATGTGCATGAATCTTTTGGGGGCCAAGGGCAAAATGTTATGGTCCTAATGTAATATAATGTTCATAAACCTAATACTGGCTCTTAAAGACTGTTAAACCTGTGTTAAAATGTTCAACAAAAGTTAAAATGTTCTGAAACCTCCACAAACTATGAGCTGAATAAACTTTTCCTTCCTTAATGATAAGAATAAGAAAAAAAAAAAAAATAAGCATGTCTTTGTATTGGGAAACCAGTTTAAAGAAATGTGTCCAGGGCCTGGGGATTTAGCTCAGCAGCACAGTGCCTCCCTGGCAAGCGCAAGGTCGTGAGTTCGATTCCCGGTACCAGGAAAAAAAAAAAAAGAAGAAATATGTCCGTTGCCAAGTTGACAAAGGGTGGATTATAATGGTTGATACATTGTGTCAACTTGGATAAGTTTAGAAGCTTATCTAAGTGACTCAGCAGGGGACCAGGGTCCTTACTTCCTAATCCTGAGCTTGTGGAAGAGGAAGGCAAGGAGATGGTATGGGCAGATGGCCGGCATACAACATAAGGGGAAAAACAAGCTTGCTCTCCCCTCCCCTTTTTGCTCTTGTTGCTTTTGCTGTCTTCTGCCACCTTGAGCTGTTGCCCCTGTGCCAGGCCTCCCTGCCTTGGAGCCAGCTGATTATGAACTGAAACCTCCATAAACTATGAGCTGAATAAACTTTTCCTTCCTTCATTCTGGGTGTCAGGTATTTTGTCTCAGCAAATGAGAAAAGAGTAACCAACACAACAACCAAATGCCCAAATCCTGGATGCATACGTGGCTATATTCAGCATGTACAACATGCACTATATTTCAGTGAGAACCCATCCACGCCTCTTCCTTCATAAAGGCAGGTCTCTTACTCAGAAACATTACAACAGTTTACTTGAACTGCAGGAGCCTCAAAGAATAGTGGGAAGTTCAGACTTCTGACCCCTGCATTCCAATGCCCCCGTCCCTGCATTCCCAAGCTCAAGAGCAAGTCCTGGCGCTCCCCACAGGGTTCCCTGGCGCTCCCCACAGGGTTCCCTGGCACTGGCCCACCAGGCATGGGGGAGGGGAGGCTCCTCAGCCCTGGCTCAAAAAGGGGAGGGGTGTTCAGGAAGGCTGAGGCCATTGGCTAAACCAGAGACTGCTCTGCCTGGACAAGTCCAAATGGGACCTGGTTAGCTCCTCCCCTCAGAACCAGCCATTCCAACCCCTCTACACTGCTGCAGGCTGCTAAGGAGTGAGTGCAGCCGCTGAACCAGGAGTCACCCATCCCCAGCTAGAAGGAAGTCAGTCCAGGAACCCCACACTGTGACCCTCCCCTCTCCCTGAGCACTCCGTGCCTGCTTCCTGCGCTCAGGAGCAGAGCCAGAGTGGGGGTGCTTCCCACATGAGAGTGCGCCGTGTAGGAGGCATGACTGAGCCACAGACCATTCCTGAACCCCCATACAGTGTGCGTTCGGGGAGGCTCTGGCGTGTGGTTCTTGAAGTCACCACTGATCAAACAACAAGGTAAACCATTTTCTTCCCATTAATGTTTCGGGTCTTCAGCCCCAGGTGCCGGCAGCTATTCTTCTCTGGCTGCCCGTACAGCATGTCGATGAAGAACTCAGACTCATCTCTGGCCCTAGGGTCGAGGGTCAGAAAGCTAAAGACCCTTCTTAGCTTGTGATACAGGTAAGACATGACTTCCACCTCATCCGACGGTTCTTCGTACACGGGCTGCTTCATGTCCTCGTACGCAGACAAGATCATGGCCTGAAACAAGTTGATCAAGAGGCAGACCATCACCAGCAGGAAAGAGGAGAGGAACAGGCCCCCAAGAGCCCTGTTACTGGAAAAGTCAGTGTTCTGAAAAGCTAAGACGCAGTAGGAGAATATTGTCTGAGTGGTGTGAATCAAGTTACTGTAGTTCCACTCATGTTGGCCGAATACCAGGTAACCAAAGACCATGTACACAAAGAAGTACACGGACACCACAACGGCCATGTGACAGATGCCAGGAAGGGCAGCCTGGATGACCCTCTGGGCCAGACGCACATCATAGAAGAATCTGGAATACCTGAGGGTCTTCAAGATGGTCAGAAATAACAGAAAAGCCAGAATTATCCTCATGGTGTGATCTACTTGGGAAACTGCGTGGAAAGGAATGAAGTCATGTGGACTGGACAAGTAAAACTGGATCATGCCAGCAGCCAAGAAATACTTCCTGAAGAAGAGCGTGACCAACACAGTAAATATACATTTTAAAGCGAAGTTGAGCAGGTTGTACACGCTTTTCATGTAAGAGGCTCGCTCTTGCGTGATGACGTAGCCCTCGTCGACAACGTAGGCTAAGAAGAAAATGAGAATGGCCACATACAGGTAGATTTCTGCCCATGATTCGCTGTGGAGCTCAGCAAGGGAGAAGGCGTGTGTGGAGATGCTGGCATTGACAACTCCTAGCTGAGACACCTCAAATATGACGGAAATGCTGCAGAACAGACTGACATCCGGATTGAAGGTGGTTAGTTCCACAATCACAGCCCATGTCTTCTCATCAAGCCAACTGCTTTCTTGCAGCTCTCTGAGCCTCAGTGTGGAATTAAGCTGCTGCTGTTCTGGGAAAAAATAGAATACATACCCTCCGGATCCATAGGTCTCTAACAGTCCATAGGAATAATACACCCATGTCTTTCCCTGAGGTTTGTAAGTGAACCCATCAGTGTTCCTGTCCATAGCCTGCTTATTGACTTCACTCCAGAACCTAGAGTAGTTTCTCGTGTCCTCCGGGTCAGCGCCATACTTGGGATGACAGTGAATTTCTCCCGCCATGCTGTTCTGCATGAAACGTTTAGCAAGTGGACACGTTTTTCCAGTAGGTTTTGCTCTCACTTGTCTCATGCGTGGAAGCCCCAAGATCTTGGAGGAGCTGTCGGGAAGGAAGGTCGGGTTCTGGTCGTTGTGGAACAGAGGCAGGAGCACGAGGTTGAGCCACTTGTAGATGTCCTCTAGCTTTGTCACGGCAGCAAGGTCAGTGGAGAAGCGGTCGAGGATGAACTTGTTGTAGTAGAAGCTGTCAGTGTGGCGCAGCAGGATGATGAAGAGGAACAGAAGGGCCAGGAAGATGCAGTGGGTCACGATGTAGCTCACGAACAACACAGCTCTTCTCCTGATCCTCTTCCTCCTTCTGAATATCCTGACTTCATCTTCCGTGAGAGGCTGGTACATCCTCGAGCCGCGCAGGTGGGCGATGTGCTCCTGGAGCTTCTGCACTTCATCTGGACTCATCCTCATCCCCTGCAGCCTGATCTCCATATACTGATGCTTAGTGGACCACGCCAGGTCTTTACAGTACTTGGGCTTATTTGTCCTGATGCCTGACTCAAGTATAATCTTCAGCGGCTGCACCAGAAAAACTGACTCACAGAATGAGCAAAATGATGCAAAGAGCCATTCTACTGACTTGTCATAGCTGTAAGTCAGGCCGTAAAATAAGATAAAGAACGAGGATACGGTACACGTGGTGAGCACAAAGAACCATGCTATGTAAACAGACCACTGAGGCAGGGTGAGCCAGGGCTGGGTCTGACGGCGTTCAGGATCCTGTTGGGAGGAGGGCACTCCAGAAGGGACATCTTGAGTGTCTTCTGCGTTTCTGTTATGGACATTTGTATTGGTCTCTGCTTTCTCAGGCTGGTGCGCTGCCTCAGTGGCCACCTGGACAGAAGCCTTTGGCCGCCCGGGGGAAACCTTAAAAGTGGGCTCTGAGTCTTCACTGGTGCCCCCCTTGGCGGCTTCACACGCATACCACTTGCACAAGCGCTCCTCCCAGCATCCACTGTCTTCCAATGTCAGAGGTTGCTTTTGAGGAACCACCTCATCTAGATCCACTTGGGGTTTTTTCTGGGAATGGGAGAAGAAAAAAGTTATTAACACTTGCACCGGGATGGTGATTAAGACACTTTCAACTGCTATCATCATTGCTCTGACGTAGCGCCCGTCTCTTGACGCAACCTGCTCGTGCCTGTGCAGATTGAAGAACACACTATTACAAAAAAGAGAGCTTAGCAATGTTGCTAAGCAACAGGACAACCTTTGGAGTCTACTGAATGGCTTGGCGACAAAACCAGTGAAAACCGAGAACCACACATGGTGTGTCCTGAGCTTATAAGTCAGATCAATGAGGAAGAAGTCTTTCCTTTTCACAGGATCATCTGGACCCAAAACATGAAATGTTCTGTTCAAAGTGGTGTCAATAGAAAGCCACTTGCGGCACATGAACAGCCAAATGCGGCCGCTAAACAGATTCTCCACCTTGATTCGGCTCAAATACCAGCTAGGCGCCTTGCCCTCATTGCTGTGCCACACTCGAATGGAACGGATGTCCCCCAAGTCCCTTTTTGTCGTCAGAAGAAAAGTGCTGATGCTTCCTCGGAAGAGAGTTCCAAAGTGTGGGTGGCTTAACCAATGCACGTCGCTGGTGCCCTCTGTGCCCCTAAGCTGGACAAAGACGTTGGCCGTGGTTCCAGCCCCACAGCGACTTCCTGTAAAGACAGTGACCAGGTAGCACACGCTATCATAGGGATCGTTATCAGGCAGGACAACCACACAGTCCCGAACAAGTTGGTCGATCTCATTCCTGCGCAAGGCCCAGGAAGCCAGAACTGTGTAGATGAGCATAATGAAAAGCACAGCGAGGAGGGTCACAGGGTTGTGCTGACGGGCCGGTGTGACCGTCCACCGTAGATCCACAGGGTTAGGGACGGAGGTCACCTTGGCCATCACATAGTGCATAGGCAGGGGAACACGAGTCGGATTCCTCAGCTGCCGCCCGGGCCTCCCTCCGTCCCTGCAGGTACAGTGCACTTTGTCCCAGGTGGTCTTCTCGCCCAGCATGCAAGCGTCTTCTCTCCACTCGCTCTGGCTCCTGTACATGTCCAAGCAGCGGGCGCTGAAGACAGAAATTCTCACTAGCTTGTCAGTGGGCTCCAGGACAAAGCTCGGGGCCTGCAGGACCACAGATATGTTGTACTTGGGCGACTGGCTGTGCCAAGCCATGACCTGCAGCAGGGACAGGGGCAGGCAGACCACTCGAGCCACCCTGACTGCACAGGCCGGGTCAAACAGGCCACTCTGGGTGACAAGTGGAGGCATGTCATGGGGCACCAAGAAGGTGGCCACCAGGTGGGTGGGGGTGACATGACGGCCCACATATACCAACACTGTCAACAGCACAGTCACTTCTGTCACGATGTGGACCAGCACCTCCCTAACTCCTCTGCTGTCCACCTCCAAGCTAAACCCCCCTGTTGTCATCTTCGAGGAGCCAGCGACCTCACGGTCAGGTCCCACTGTGAGATTAAAAGTCGCACGGGTCAGGTTTTTTCTGGTGAGGTATACTTCCACCGTGTCAGGCATGATCTCTACCACAGTCCCGTTATCCGTGGCCCCCGTCATCCTGAACCCGTCCACCTCCGTCGAAATGCTTTCTGGGTAACTTAACCAAGGAAACGGCTCATGTGTGAACTCACAGACCACCACAGAAACTGGAGCATTTGCAGCCAGACTAGGAACCCTGCTTGCATTTAGTATGGCATGGAACCAGTTTTGGCCGTGTTTGTCTTTTCTGAAGGCCTGGGCAACATCCCACTTTGCAACTTTCTCCACATACATGTTAAGGCCGGGAGCCCGTAGCACGGTGGCTTCACTCCCTGGCACTTTATGAGCCAATATCGTGTCTGACAGAGATTCCACTACATAGGAAGGATCTTCAACCGCTTCATGAGGAGTAGCCCGTTTAAGTAGATTAGACAAACTCATTAATATTCCAGCGCTCACCATTTCTATTTGTTCGGAGCTGAAGTGCTTGTCTTCCCGGTGATACATTTGCAGGGCTTGATTTGCTTGCCATAGTCTCACTGTGGCACGTTTCTGAGCAACTTGGGTGACTTCAGAGGGTTCCTGGGTTAATGTGGCAATAGCCATCACCACCTGGCCCACTTCCTCCAGAGTCCTTAGGGGAAGCGCGAAGGACTGATTGATCAGATGCTCCCGGAGGTGGGCTTTGCCATCGCTGAGAGTTTGCTCAGTTTTCATGCTACCCAATACGGAAGCTACCACATTCATTAAGCAACTTGCAAGTAACCAGTGCTGTCCAGCAAGCGAGGTAGACAGAAGTGACATTGGTCCCGTGGTGACATTGAGGAGCTGCTGCCACACGGTCCTGGCGGAGCTGATGTCTGTAGGAGGCCACACGGGGACGGAGAGAGTGACCCGGGAAAAAGCTCCCAGGGAGTCGTAAACCTGAGCAGAGATCTTCAAGGCATAATGATGTGCAGAGGACCCAACAGGGAGAAAGGAGGGGGGTGTTGTGGCCCGTGTCCCCCAATACAGGATGGTCCCCAGCGTGTTCTCTTTCACCAAAGCCATGTCACCAGCACTGCCCAAATCAGAAGCTGTTATTTTATATGTAAGAGGGTGGTGCTTATCCTCAAAATGACTGCATTTCACAACAAACTTAGTAAACATTGCGATTCCTTCCCCTGGATGCACTTGGCACGCCCCGACTTGAGGGCCGCGGTTGATGATAAAGGAATGTCTGAATTCCAAGGTCACACCGCTCCAACCCCTCAGATACACAGAAACCCAAAACTGCGCTTCCAGAAAACTCTGGAAGGCAAAGGCTTTCACAGATAGATAAGCACTGTTCCTCCCTGTTATGGTTTGCCGGGTCCAGTCAAATGCCACCTCCTTACCCGACGCAGAAAAGATGGACCAGCTGTAGACATCCCGCCGGCCACAACTTGTGCAGTTCAGAAACAAGAAAAACCTGCGAGATACAGCTAACATTCGATCACAGTTTTCAATACATGAAAGGAGTGCTATGGGTGTTGGTCCTCGCAGCACATGGACCCTTTTGTCAGAAAACACTGCTTTGTGACCCTTCTGTGTCACCATTCTGAAATAGTACACACGGTCCCCTCTAAGCGTCTCTGGTGAAAGTCTCAGTACGCGGCCAGAGGCCCATGGCCAGTGCAGACTGACTTGATCTGGGTGACAGACTTCCTGGTCTGTCCCTGTTACTTGATCGCCAGCGAAGTTTCCTGCATTGGTGGTACAGTACCAGGAGAAACGGAGTCCCTCTACTGGGGCGTCTGCATCTGGGTCCGAGGACATGGCTCCATTCAGAATCAGCTCATCTGAGAAATTAACTGTGAGGCCGGCATCTCTAAGGGGAGCCCTCCGGGGGCTCCTAACAGGTCCCGTGGAGATGGAATCTGAGTCTCTCCCCGGCAAAGCTTTGGCACCCGGGGTGCTGAGGGCCACTGTGACATTAAACACGCTCAGGTTCGGAGGCAGAGAAGCCCCGGGGACGTGCAGGGTGGGCAGGCGCGCCCAGGCTTGCAGCTGCGGAGCGCGCCGTGGGAGGACGCTGTTCCCGAGGGGTGCTTCTGCCTTCCTGCGCCGCAGCGCCGGGCCCTGCGCCCTGCCGCGGACGATCTTCACCTGCTGGAAGCGACAGAGGCCCACTGCGGCTCTGCCGTCGGAGCGGGTGGCCGGGCGCCCCGGGGGACTCCCGCTGGCGTTGGGGCGCGGCGCAGACTGGGCCGGGCGGGGCGGGGCCGCGCGACACCCGGACTCGCCGCGGTCCCTCGGGAGGACGTTATCCTCGGGGGCCACGCGGGGCCGCAGGCCTGGACGAGCTGGGCGGAAGCGCAGCCGGAGCCCCGGGGTGCCTCCAGGGGCCCCCGATGGCCAGGCCGGCGCCCCGCGAGAGGTGGAGGCCGAAGGGAAGCAGCCCAGACCCAGGCCCAGGCCCAGGAGGAGCAGCGTGGGCCCAGGTCGCATGGCGCCGCCCGGGAGGCAGAGGCCTAGCGCGCGGGACCCAACGGCGGGGCGTGGCTCGGGCGCGAGGGGTCAGAGGTCACGAGGTGGGGGTGGGGAAGGCACTTGGGGCGCTCTCAGAGACAAGGAGGTCCGGGAACCATCGGGACGCCAGGGTCCCAGCAGTGGGGGACGTGGGGTCGCAGGGACAGTGGGGCACCCCTCCCCCACCTCTGTTCCCACCCTTGTGTACCCCAGGACCAAGGATGGATGAAGAAAGTTAGTTCCCCTCCCTCTGGTCCACCAGCAGCTAGGGTCCTGCGCAGACGCCCACCCCCTTGGGCAAAGGATGGCAGTCCAGAGCGACTGTGAGCACCCGAGGGCCAGGCAAGGTCTGGCTTTGTGGTGCTTACTTGGGTTGACTTCCTTGTACTTTTTAAAATTGCCACCGCTCCTCACCAAGAACACGTCTCTGGCTGGCGAGGGTCCTTGTTTCAGAGAGATGGAACTTAAACCCAAGGGGATCAGCACACACTGACAGGAAATAGGCTTTCATTGGAAAGTCAGAGCTGAGGAATCCGAGCTGGAGGAACTGAAAGTGAAGAAGCTCTGTGGAAAGGCAAGGGGGGCCCTAAGAGGGAGAGCAAGGAGAAGGGACAACCCCGGCGGGCACACGGGGCGATAGAGAGGTGGGAGACCTGGCTGGTTCAAACAAAGCGGGCGGGGCTTGCGGACTTGCTAGTTCAGTCCAAGCGGGGAGAGCCTGGTTGACCATTGCCTGGGTTCCACCTTTGCGCACGTGCTGCGGGAGCCCAGCCCGCACTTCTTTCTTCGTGACTGTTTCTCTTTTTGGAGCCTCAGTCTTAGGAGGCTGTGCTGGAAGTCAAGGTGACTGTGATACAGGGGCCAGAAACTCCCAGCCTGGAAGATAGCTGGGACGAGTTCGTGTTCTCTAAAATCGAAGAATGAATTTTAGGAACAACGGAGGTTAAGAGCAGAATATATTCATTGGGGGAAAGAAAGCGTCTGTCCGAGAGAGAGACAGAAGGGGGCCTGAGTGGGTTGCCAAGGACCTTGCCCTTCCCAGGGATTTTATAGAGCAAAACCACAGGTGAGGCGAGTCCAAGGTAGGGGGAAAATGGGAACTCTGCAAGGTGGGCATGAAGTGGACAAAGCTATGGTCAGCTAATGAGACTACAAATGTAATTGTTCAGGTAAAATTGATTAAATCGGGATCAAATGGGGAAGCAAGTCACCTAGCAAGCGGGCATGAATACAGAACAGGGGCTTTGACGGTAGGGGGTTGGGCTAGTGACTCTTCCTGACTTTTTCAAGGTGATTGACAACTATTTAGAATATCAGTTGGCCTGGGGAAAGAGCTCAGTGGCATAAGAGCCTGTCTGGCAAGCACAAGGGCCTGAGTTCAATTCCTAGTACCAAAAAAAAAATCAATCCCTGAGGTCCATCTCTAGGGAGGGATATGGGTGCATTTGTTTCATCTTTCGCCTTGAGGTCTGGCCCACAGTGGAAGTGCCTGTCTCTCCCACAATTGCAGGGTGTCTTGTCTTCCGTACTGGCTCCTTCTAGGGCCCAGCCCTGACTGCCTGTATTTCTATCTACTCAATTTCCTACAGCAGCCACGAGGTTGGGGCCATGACTCGAGCCTAGCTGAATGTCCCTGTAAAACTCCTATCTCGGTGCCCTGTCTTGAAGGCAGGTGAGGTAGGTTGTGCGAATTCAGGGTTCCTCTACTTTTTTTCACCAACCTTTAGACTGACGCTCCCTAAATGATTAACATGCCTCTCTGTGCAGAGCAGAGAAGGGATCTGAGCCAAGTTTGAAGGGAATAAAGGACCCAACACAAAGGGCAAGATTCGTTCGGCTTTTAGTTTCCTATTGTGCTTTTGTAGGCCCAAGTAAAGAGACACTATTTTGTTTTGTTTTGTTTTAGTAAAAATGGCTTTTACGTTCCGGAGTGCCTCAGATGAAAACAAATCAGGCCCAAGTTAAGGGCCTAGGAATTTGTTTGTTCTCTGTCCATGTGGTGGCCTCTGGAGAAAGATTGTGTGACAACAGTAAAAAAAAGTGGCATCTGTAAACCAGAAAGGAGGCCAAGAACTATCATCCTGCTATGGCTGGGTCAAAAATGTCCCCAGAAGGCTCATGTGTCCAGAGGTGGAGCTTGGGAAGGCGGTTGCACCACGGAGGTGCTAATTAATGGATTAGTATGCTCAGTTCCTAGCAGACTGGTGTGTTAGAGGGAGGGGCCTAACTGGAGGAATCGGGTCCCTGCGGGTGTAACTCAGAAGGGTCTATCTCCTCCCTGGCTCTTTCCTCCCCTCTGTGCTTCCTGGCCACCATGAGGTGAGCGGCTTCCCTACACCACGTCCTTCTGCCCCGGCGTTTCAGCCTTGCTGCAGGATTAGAAGCCACAGAGCCAGGGACCAAGAGAAACCTTCCCTCCTTCCAGTGCTTTCTGCCAAGCACTTTGGTCACAGTGGTGAAAAACTTGCACGCACCCTGGTCTTGGACTTCCAGCCTCCAGACCGTGAGAAATAAACCTGTGTTGTCTGAGCCACGAAGTCTGTGGCATCCTAGAATGACAGCAGAGCTGACCACATGGAGGGGAAATATCTAGGGTTAGGGAACTCAGGCTGGGGTGCACCAGGGCTCCTTACCTTTGTTTTGCAAACCTTTAGACAGACACTCCCTAAATGATTAATGTGGGGCTGGGGATTTAGCTCAGCGGCAAGGCGCCTGCCTGGCAAGTGCAAGGTTGTGAGTTCGATTCCTGGTACCGGGAAAAAAAAAAAAAGATACCTAAATGATTAATGTGCCTCTGTGCAGAGCTGAGAAGGGATTTGGGCCAAGTTTTAAGGGAATAAAGGACCCAACGTGAAGGGCAAGATTTGTTCTGCCTTTAGTTATCTCTTTTTTTTTTCTGGTACCGGGAATCAAACTCACGACCTTGCGCTTGTCAGGCAGGTGCTGTGCTGCTGAGCTAAATCCCCAGCCCCCTGCCTTTAGTTATCTCTTAGGCACCTGTAAGCCCCATGTGGGGAGAAGTCCACAGGCCGTAGCATCCCCCGGGTTTAGAGGTCAAGGGAAGGTCAAGCTGGAGAAGGAAGGGCAGGGTGGGGAACGTGGGAAGGATGGGGGTCCTTAAAGCCGTGGGGAGAGTCTCTCAAGGCATGGAGCGGCCAACTGTGTCAATGTCACTGAGGCCACCGTAGCTAAGATGATGGCGGAAGTGGCCGCTGTTCTTGGGAACAGAGTGGAGAAGCCTGCACACAGAGAAGAAGGAGACCAGCCTGAGGGACCAGGAGGGCAAGGCGCATTTTAATTGATTACAAAAGATCCAAGATGTGCAAGGAGATATTTTCCAAAAGCATAAGCCCCCCAAGTGCTCACATGCCAGCCAAAAAACAGAGCAGTGCCCATGTGCCTGCCCCCACCCCGGGAGCCGTCAGCCCAGCCGGGCCCACAGCTGTCAGACCCCGACTTATTGGCTTTCCATACAGGGACCAGCCCTTAGCAATGGATTGCTCTGCACGCTATTAAACCTTCGTGCTGCACGTGTTGTACAGCTGTTGATGGGGTCCCTTTTGCTGAGTCATGCAGCATCAGCACCTTGTTTTCTCACCAGCCAGCTTGGGCCTGAGGCAGCATGCTACACTACTCTCCTACCCTGGTCCTCAAGGTCGTTTTCTAGATTTCCCCGCTACAGAGAGTACAGATTGATTTCTTTTTTTTTTTTTTTTTCCAGTACCGGGAATCGAACTCACAACCTTGCGCTTGCCAGGCAGGTGCTGTGCCGCTGAGCTAAATCCCCAGCCCCCAGGTTGTTTTTTTTAGATTGGTTTCCTCCAAGAAGTAACCAGTACACTGAATAAGCAGATTTTTTTTTTTTTTTTTTGAGACTCAGTCTACCTATATAGCTCAAGCGGGACTTGAACTCACTAGGTAGCCCAGGTTGGCCTCGAACTCATGGCAGTCCTCCTGCTTCAGCCTCCTCAGTGCTGAGATTACAGACCCATACCATTGTGCAGGGAGATCTCCAATTTAAAAAAAAAAAAATGTATATTCCCTCTCCCTATGTCCAGCCCATTCAGATTCACCTTGTGAGGCCAGTTCCCTCCTGCCCACTGGATATTAAAGTGCTCTGCTTTCCATCAGGTTTTTTGTCCAGTAATTCAACATGTGCATGTCCATGGAATAGTTACACTCTTACTTCATTCTCCCTTACCTCTTCTGCCACCAGTTCTGCCCCCCACGACAGAAGTGAAGGAGGAAGAGAGAGAACAGAGTAGTAACGTCACAGGGCTGCCCACATCGGCAAGGTGGACCACTTCTAGGAGGACACATGGGCCCTGCTGAGGGTCTCACTGAAGGTCTTTCCCCTGTGGTCCTTCAATTCATCCCCTGACGTCCTTCATCCACCCCCTACGAGCCCACTAAGCTCACTATCCTTCTAGATGACGCTCCTTGGGCAAGACCTGCTGCCCCACTGGGCCACCCTGAGGGCAGAGGAAAGACAGGCACCCTTGCTCCGCTCAGCTGGGAGTGTGACCCTGCTCCTGCTATGTGGCCGGCTCTGTCAAGAGACACAGGCCAAGGGGCTCAGCAAGGTCCCGCTGTCTGCAGGGATTAGGGGAAGGCGACCTGGCCTCTCATGATAATCTCCAGAGACACTCTGCTGTCTCTCTAGCCTCTGCCCTTGTGCCCTGAGAAGGTGTCCACAAGGGTGACCTGGCTTCCTCCAGTTTCTCTTGGCCGTCAGGGCGTCCTGGTCATGCAGAAGGAAATGGAGATTTGAGCTCTGGGAATCTTCACCATTGACCACCCAGCTGCTGCCAGTTTTGTCACCCAAGTGATAGGTGGTTTGCACTGGGCTGAGGGAAAGAGTGACAGGGAGGTAGGGGTGGCAGAGCTGACTGGAAAAGTGGCAGGGACCTGTCAATGACAAGACTCCAGGACAATGCCAGGACCCCGTAGGTAGAACCTCTCCGAGCCCCATGAGATGCGGACAACCTAAAGAAGACCAGACACTGCACGGAGCTCACTATCCTGCCTTCCCATGGTAGCCCACGCTGCGGTTCCCAGACACAGTGTGTACTTTTATTTTTGTGTTTCTCTTCTTCTCATGTTCTGTCCAAGTTCGCTCTGCAGAGCTGGTTTCTGCCATAAGCATTCACCCCGCAATTTTCAAATATAAACTTTTGGCACCATTGTTGGTTTGTCTCATCCAATTCTTTGTTGGAGGCAAGAAGGGCCAGAATACTTCTGACTGGCACGCCATGTCCAAAGAAACTACCTGATTGTAAGGAGAGGTAGAAACAGCCACACTAAATTAAGAATTTAAAGTGATACCCCCCCCAAATCAACCAGACAAACAAAAAAGTGCAGACCCAGTGGTACGCAGCCTATTTCCAATGTTTTCCAACCATTTCTTCCTCTACTTCCAAAATATTTTTGTCACTCCCGAAGAAAGCTCCCTAACCATTAGCAGTCACCCATTCCCTCCTCCCCCAGCCCTGGCCACCAACAGTCTCCCTTTTGTCTCTAGGGACTTGTCTTCCCCGCATTTTGTGTACACATAATCGCCCAGCATGTGGCCTTTTGCACCTGGCTCCTTTCACCTAGCAAGAGCAGGACCGAACCTTCAAGGCGTTCCCCTCACTAAGGGTGTACCTTTGGAGAAATGTCAGTTCAACCTTTCCCTGTTTCTCGCTGGGCTGTTTGTTATTTTGCTGTTGAGTTGTAAGAATTCATATGTTGTTTGCAAGTATTTTCTCTCATTCCATCTTTTCTCTTTCCCCTGTCTATTAATTGGATCGAGTCCAGTTTAGCTACTTTGTTGGTGCTGGTTGTTCTTTTGGCACTGTATCTAAGAATCCATTGCCACATCCAGGGTCATGAAGATTTACCCCTTGGTTTTCTTCTAAGTAGGTCGTCTTTTCAGTTCTTACATAAAGCAGCATTTTCATACAATATTTCTGAAAGTGATAACTATTGCATAATCTCCATGAGCAATAAAGTCGCAACATTTTAGATGAAGACTGGCTCTGACCGGGCACTTTACAACTGGAGAGTTGTCAGGGCGAGATTAACCCGGGGGAGCGGCTGGGTGGGACTGGGGAGTTGGCAGGGGCGAGATTAACTCGGGGAGAGGGCTTGGTGGGAGCAGGGTTGTGGCTGGTGGCGCAGCACCAGTGCCGTCCCGCCCAGGGGAAGGAAGCAGTGGGTCCTCTGCAAGTCCTTGGACGGGGACTGGACGGGGCCCAGGGCAGCGGGAGTGGGGGGGACACGGGGAAGCCAGACCAGATGTCAACCCCAAGTGACCTCGTGAATTTCTGTTGCGCGCGAGGCTTTCCAAGGGAAGCTACTTGGACCTTGAAAGTGACCACCGTCCCAGAGTTCCCTGCTTCCCCAGGGCACCCAGGAGGGTCTCCTGCAGGGGCAAAGAGGAGGGTGGGAAGGCATTCCCAGCCCTGCCCATCCCCTGGACTGTGATGGGAGGCAGGTCCGGGCCCCTGGGTTCACACCAAAGCCGCTGCTTCCCGCAGCCCCGGAGCGGGAGCCCGGGGTCACCCTCGGGGGAGCGCACCGCGAACCAGGGCGCAGCTGAGTAGGGGGAGTGGCCGACCCGGGTTCTAGCCAGTAGAAGAGCCTGGGGCCCCTGAGCCCCGCCCCAACGCCCCGCCCCGAGCCACAGCCAAGCCCTGAACCCCGGCCAACCCGGGCCAGTTTCCGCCAAGCCGCGGAGGTGAGAGATCGCCTTCCCCGAACCCCGAGCCCCGTGCCGGATCTCGTGGACCATGGCCGTATCCTTGCCGCTGCGCGACTGCCAGGTACTCGAGGCCGCCCCGGCCGGGTCCCCCTTAGCCCGGGGGTGGCCCTTGCGGAGCGGGGCGGGGCGGGGCAGGAGAGTGTGACCTGCGGGCGACCCGGGATCCAGCGGAGTTGCTGCCCGTGGGACTCGCTGGGGGCGGGGGGCGGCTGAGGCCCTAGGCGAGAAGGGCACTGTGCACCCCCTGTGGTGGGCTCCCCACCCGGGAGACCCCAGGACCTCGGGAAAAGCTTGCTCACGCGGCAGGGTCTCCTTGAGCCCGCCCGGGGTGGAGATCCTGAGCCCGTTCTGCAGATGAGGACAATGAGGGGTGTGAGGACTTCACTTAGCCGCTTGAGACCTTGGCCAAGAGGAAAGGGAAATTTCTCTGCCGGGGGTCATTGCCCTGTGCCCCCCAGAGAGTGCACAAGTGGGCACTCAGGTGGACGGAGGTCTGACTGGTCCACGCAGTGGCAGACTTGTACACCGGGCGGCCAGGTGGGAGGCCACCCTCCTCCAGAGTGGTCTTCAGGGGTGGGTCTTGCTCTGCCTGCCAGCCCTCGCCTCCTGGTGACCCAGGACCCCAGTGCACACTTGGAGCCACCCCACGGGGTCCCACTGTGCCCATTTCACAGAGGGGCACCCAGGGTCTGAGAAGGTCTTTCCGGCGGTCATACAGCCTTTTGGAGGCTGCTGGGATTTGGATTGGGTACCTGTCTGTGAAGTCTGAGAGTCCTCACGTGCCAGGCAAGGCCGCAGTTTGCAGAAGTCCCAGCAAGGCACTGGGGACCTGCAGGGCATGTTGGGGTGGGGTTTGTGTAGTGTGGGGCGCTCCATGGGACAAAGCCTGGTATGCCTTTGTTGCTGCAGGCATGGAAGGATGCCAAGCTCCCGCTCTCCACCACGAGCAACGAAGCCTGCAAGCTGTTTGATGCCACCGTGACCCAGGTAGGCCTGCCAGGGATGCCACAGCCCCGCCTGTGAGGCCGACGATGAGGGCTTTTTAAGCTGTGCTATGTGTTTGCCTGTGTGCTGCAGTAAAATCCAGCTTTGGGTGCTGGAGGACAGAGGAACCTGTGGAAACATCTTGCCGGCCACAGGACAGCGGAGAGGCCTCTGCAGGTGCCCTCTTCCCAGGGTTCTCTGGTATGTCCTTCTCCAGGGCAGGACATACCACATCTGTACAGGTGGAGAAGAGGACACCTGTACGGATGTGGTACGTCCTGCCCTGGAGCTCTTTTGTGAATGCGCTCCTCCCACGTGTGTCTGGGCCAAGAATTTCCCCCTGCATTCCTGGTGAAGGATCCTGTAGCTTCAGAGGTAAGGCTCCAGTTTAACAGAGGCACAGATAGCTGAGCTGACTTGAGTTGAAGGTGAGATCTCTTGAAAGGACCCAGGAAGCCCCAGGGTACCCAAACTGAACTCAGAATGGGTGAAATGCCATCAGCCATGCCGGGGCACGTCTCCTGCCCCCAGCTTGTCCTTGCTGAGGGCCCGACTATGTGCTTTTGAGCTGTTTGGTGTTTCACGGCCCACTTGCCCATCCCGTGCATTGCCGGCTTCTGTCGAATACTCCATTTGTCACAGGCCACCTTCCTGGACTCAGCAGCCCCTCAGCCTCCCAGCCTGTGCCTGCCTGCCCTGGTCATTGCTGGCTCTGTGCTGTCCTGCCTTGAAGCACAGGCTCTTTGAATCTCTGTGCCAGCTCCCTTATATCTTCTGAAAAACCAGGTGCTAGTTCTGTGTAGCTATAGGTTAGACAGGACTTTTTTTTTTTTGGTACCAGGAATCAAACTCAGGTCCTTGCACTTTTCAGGCAGGTGCTGTGCTGCTGAGCTATATCCTCAGCCCTAGGTTAGACAACTGAAAGGGCAAATTTGAAAATCACCTGAGGGGCTGGGGTGTAGCTCAGTGGTAGAGCACTTGTCCAGCATGTGCAAAGCCCCGGGTTCCATCCCCTGCACCACAAAAAAATCCAAATGCATTATCAGTGGCTTCATCTTAGTTTCTTTTCTTGTTGGTAAGATAAATACCCAACACCCAAAGTTAATGGAGGAAAGGTTTATTTAGCTCACACTATGTAGCAGTTTCAGCTTACTCGGCTGGCTCCAAGGCAGGGTGGCATGGCAGAGGAGAAACAGCTCATAGAAGGCAGCAAGCAGCAAGTGACAAACAGCAAACAGTGACCCTCTCTCTGTCCCTTATCTCTCCCCTAGGTTCCCCACCATTAGGGCGGGCAGCACTCACATCCAGGGTGGGGCAGCCTTAATCCTAGCATTGCACCATGATTCAATCCCAGCTTCATGTCCTTGATCCCAGCAGCACATACCCTAGATCCAGCCACCTCCAAAAAACCCCACCTACAGCCACATGAGGCTTTGAGGGGACAAGCCGTAACAGGTTTCAAGATTAAAAAAAAAAAAGGTATTTGTGTTCATCCATTTTCTAGTGTTATAGCAGAATAACTGAGGGTGAGTAATTTATGAAGTAAAGAGGCTTGTTTAGCTAACATTCTGCAGTTCAAGAGCACGGTGCCAGCATCTGCTTGGCCCCATGGTAGAAGCATAAGAGAGGTGGGCACCAAGGCATTGCCCACCTTGTAGCAGGCTGCTCTTGAGAAAACTGACCTGGTCCTGTGAAGACCCCAGCACCTGATACTGCTCCCCTAGCAGCTGACTTGCAGCAGGAGTTTTGGTTAGGACAAACTGCATCTGCACCATAGCAGTGTGTAAAAAAGACTGGAGGCAGATACACCAAATGATCAAAAATGGTGATGAATTTTCAGCCTTTGTTTCTCTGTCTCTCTCCACTCCTGGGGATGGAACCCAGGGCCTTTGCACTGAACTCCACCCCAGCTCTTTTTTTTTTTTTTTTTTTTTTTAAATCTTGGGACAGAGTCTCAGTAAGTTGCCCCAGCTGGACTCAAACTTGTGATCCTCCTGCCTCAGCCTCCCAGAGTGCTGGGCACATGACTGTGCAACACTACACCCAGCTGAGTACTTTTTAAGTAGTACACATAAGAAGCAGGAATTGGGGTGAGTGGTTTCAAGGCACCTCTTAGGGGTGATGAAGTGGATGTGTGGCAGGTCACCTGTCAGGAGGAACCTGCTTTTTGATGTTTCTTCTTTGGAAATGGGGGTACCCCCTGCCTGAGAAAGTGTACCCCAAGTTATGTGTATTTAATCTCTTCCTAGATCAAGTAAGTCATACTTTCTTTAAGTCTAAAAAATTCTCAGTATTTTGGGACAAAAAGGAACCTGGGCCTGGGGTAGAGCTTGCTGGCAGGACCTGTGCTTGGCGTGTACAAGGCCCTGGGTCTGATCCTTAGTGAAAAAAAAAATACAAAAATCTGGATTTAGATTAAGGCGCTCTCCTTGGGGACAGCTCCCTTTTGTCCTTCTCGTTTCAGTATGTAAAATGGGCCAATGACCAGAGTCTCGGCGGCATGGAGGGCTGCCTGGCAAAGCTCAAAGCAGCAGATCCTAACTTTGGTGAGTGGAGTTTCCTGGGTAGTGGAGCCCAGGTCAGGGGTCGGGGTCCTCTTGTTCCCTGGCCAGTTGGGTTGGGGTGGAGACTGGGCTGGTCTTGGCATGGAAGGAGGAACGGTGATGTGACCATTGCATCCTAGGAGGGTGCCAGGTCTCAAACTCCCATCGATTCCACTGAGGATACTGTTCCCACTTCTCAGATGAGGAAGTTGAGGCACACTGAGGGAAAGACGTGCACTCACATCTGCCTGAATCCCAAGCCCAGGGCCCTGGAGCGCAGGAGATGTCACTGTGGCCCTTGGGGACTAGGGACCTCCCCCCGAGCCAGAGGCTGGGGAGGAGGCAGGACGGTGGGTGACAGAGGTTGACACAAGGCCAGCCTGTGTGAGGCAGGCTCAGGCAGGCCACAGGCCCCTCGGAGCACCCCCGAGGGGCTGTGTCCTGGGGGTGCAGCAGCGCCAGCTGTGAGCTGTAGGCAGCCCCCACCCAGCCCAGCTGGTGGGAGTGGGGATGCTGAGGATGCTGGCATTGCCCTGCACAGCATGTTAGAAAACTGTCACTGCTGCTTAGAGCGCTGCCCTCCCTTCCCCTACACACTGGAGACCGGGGCTGAGGCATGGACTCTGCCCGGGGCGCTGTACACGGTCAACCTGCCCGCAGCCCAGCTGGCAGCTTCTGCCTGCAGGTTGCCCGGGACCATCTGAGTCACCAGCTGTTCCCATCCTTCTGCCAGTCATGGGCCATGTCATCTCCAATGGCCTCGTGCTCATTGGCACCGGAAACTCGGTGAAGCTGGACAAAGAGCTGGACCTGGCTATGAAGACCATGGTGGAGATTTCGAAAACCCAGCCGCTGACGCAGAGGGAGCAGCTGCATGTGTCTGCAGTGGAGACATTTGCCAAGGGGTGAGGGACGCTCAGGGGCTGTGTGGCACGATGCCATGACTGTCCCAGTGCCCTGGGGAAAGAGGCCGCTTTGGAGCGACCCAGTCCCACCTCAGGAGATGTCTGGTTGAAGGTCACATCCGCCCAGGCTCTGCCTTGGCTGAGAGTCAAGCGAGGAAGCAGTTGGCTAAGATTCCCTATCTAGTGTTCAAAGCTACTGACAGTGTTTTGTTCAATACATGGCTTATTATTTTAATTGCAAAACTGAGAGGACACTGTATCTCCCAGAGATATCTAGAAGAGAAGAGAGAAAACATTCACCCGTATGCTTCTTGTCTCAACACACTGTGGAAGGCAATGTTCTCTCGTGGTGACAAAATACCCGAGGAAATCAGCTTATAAAGAGGGAAGGTGCATTCTGGGTCAAGTCCACAGTTGCTTGGTCCTGTTGCTCTTGGGGCCATGGTGAGGTAGATGGCACAAGGGGCTGCTCATGTCATGGCAGCCGGAAACAGGAAAATAGGAAGGGGCGAGGGTCTCAGTGTCCCTTTAGGGGTACGTCCCCAGGCACCTGTCTCTCTCTGTCTCTCTCTGTCTCTCTCTGTCTCTCTCTGTCTCTCTCTGTCTCTCTGTCTCTCTCTCTCTCTCTCTCTCTCTCACACACACACACACACACACACACACACACACACCTTTTTTCCAGTGCTGGGCACTGAACCCAGGGCTTCACCCACATAGGTAAATGCTCCACCACTGAGCTATGTGCCCAGCTCCTACTGTGGTTTTTAAACTTGTTCAGGGCAGACAGTGACAGGAAGTCCCTCAAACTCCCCGTATGTGTGCCCTTCACGCTCAGCATGCTGAGAACACTCTCTTGGCTTCCAGGAACTTCCCAAAAGCCTGTGAGCTGTGGGAGGAGATTCTTCGGGACCACCCGACAGACATGTTGGCCCTGAAGTTTGCCCATGACGGCTACTTTTACCTGGGTTACCAGGAACAGATGCGCGATTCTGTTGCTCGAGTTTACCCCTTTTGGACACCTGATGTCCCCCTTAGCAGGTATGGACTGGTTGGAAACGGTATCATTTTTATTTCTTATTCTCTGTTTTCTGTCCTAAAATAGCCACTCCTTTGGTTTTGCCCTAAAAATACAGACTACTGTTGTTTTTCTCCTGGTTCTTTAAAGATGAAAAACTTCCTTTTCTTTTTTCTTTTTCTTTTTCTTTTTTTTTTTTTTTTGTCTTTTTGAGACAGGGTCTCACTATGCAGTTCAGGCTGGCCTTGAGCTCACTTTGTAGCCTAGGCAGATCTCGAACTCGCAACAATCCTCCTGCCTCAGCCTCCTGAATGCTGGAATTACAGGCGTGTGTCACCACACCTGGCTTCCTTTTCTTTTTGAGATAGGGTCTCATTTTGTCTCAGGCTGGTTTTAAACTCACTATGTAGCCCAGGCTAGCCTTGAACTCAAGGTGATCCTCCTGAGTGCTGGAATCCACAGGCGTGTGCCACCACGCCTGGCTAAAAGGCTTCTTTTCTTCATTTGATTTTCATCCCATCTTGTGAATGAGGTAGCACCATTATGTGTCAGGACAGGATTGTTTTGCTGCAGTAACAAGCATCCCCTAGATCTTGTTCTTTGATGCTGCTTCAGTGCTTATTACAGAAAAGGTTTGTTGCTCATCATACTCCATGCTTACCTTAAGAGGATCAAGCGCTCTGCAGCCCTGACTTTGTCTCCGTTCACAATCCCAGCTGGTGAGCAGCGGCCTCTGGACACTCCAGGTGCTATGAGGAAGAAGAGAGCCCCTGAGGGGCTCACTGCAGCAGTTCGGGGCTCAGAATGAAAGGGACACCCTTGGTGCAGTCCCAAGTCATTGGCCGGAACTGCCCATGTGACCTGGTCCCCTCCTACAAGAGCAGGAAGCAGGGAGAGAAGGAGGCCTGGAAGGCTGTGCGTGGCCGGAGATCACTCAGGGTTGACTGGACTGCAGTGTAATCATAGGACGGCGAGGAGGTGCAGCAGAGGAAGGGGATGAAGTGGTATGAATGGGCCGGGCTCTCGGGGGAAACCACTAGCGCCTCCCTCTCTCTCTCATCTGTGTCAGCTTCTGTCCCCTCCTCCATCATTTTGTTGTAGTTACAAAATCCTCTAGGTCTTACAGGAGAGAGGGAGAGGGAGGGGTTTGTTTGAAGAAATTGCCTGATGTGATTGTAGGGCTTAGTAATTCCAAGACCTGACATCTGTGGGGCGAGGGGCAGGCTGACGAGCCCTGTGGAAGTCTGTGTTACAGCCTCGGATCTGGAAGCAGAGTTTCTTCCTCCTTCAGGGATCGCAGTCTTTCTTCAAAGGCCCTTTGCCTGTTGGGTGAAGCCCACCCACATGACTTTGATTCAGAGTCTACTGATTTAAATATTAATCACATCTAAAAACACCGTCACAGCAACACCTACACTAGTGACCAAACAGGTGGACACCATGCACCAGCCAAGCCGACACATAGAATTAACTATCACAAGAGAAAACTAATAAGCCAGGCACGGTGGCACATGCCTGCAATCCCAACATTCTGGGAGGCCAAAGCAGGAAGATTGCAAGTTCAAGTGTATCCTGGGCAACCTAGTGACCACCAAGATCCTGCTTCAAAATAAAAAATAAAAAAGACTGGGAATATAGTTCAGGATGAAGGCCTTGGGTTCAATCCCTTGTACCGAAGAAAAAAAAAGAAGAAGAAGACCTACTAGTACCTACACTGTAAGCATGCAATAAATGTATTTTTAAAAGACACATCTGGAAGCTCCTGCTGAACATTGCTTGGGTGACTTTCAAAAGTCTGTGCATGTTACCGAGTTGGGGACTTGTCCAAGTTGTTGATGTCCTGGGCAAAGAATTGAGCAGGACACCCAAAAGAAGGATGGAGAGCAGAGATTTGTGTACAGGTGAAAGTACTCTAAACCAGGCGTGGTGGCGCACACCTGTAATCCCGGCACTGAGGAAGTTGAGACAGGAGGATCGTTGTGAGTTCGAGACCAGCCTGGGCCAGCCTGAACTGCATAGTGAGACCCTGTCTCAAAAAGACAAAAAAAAGAAAGAAAGAAAGAAAGTACTCTGCAAGGTGGGACCAGGCCAGAGAGGGAGTCACGGTGCCAAGGGGGCTTGGAGCTAAGGGTTTGCAGCATTAGGGTGTGGGGTGGGGTTAAGGAGTTGGTCTGAGGTTTGACCCCACCAATGAAGTTTGACGCAGCCTTTCTGTGGGGCACTGGAGCTTTTGATCTTTTCAGACTCTCAGAGGAACTGTCACCACAGCCAGAGCCCTCGGGGTCAAATCTGCATGGTCAGTGACTGGTAGTTAGGACTGGGACCTCGCATGCCCGGAACTTAATGTGTGTAAGCTGAGTTACCTGCTCTTCTCTTCCCATTGTGCTGAGAACTGGGCTTTCTGGTCCTGGCCAGTGTTTAACTCAGAAGGTGGCTCAAGCCCAGCAATTGGCTCTGGTACAGGCCTTCTCTCCTTTCCTAGCCATTTTCTTGGTTACCTCTTGCTTCTAATCCAGCTCAGAAAGCAGGCGGAGGGATCCTCCCTTCTTTCTCGGGCTTTTCTGTGGCTACCTCCTGCCTGACAGGTAGTCAGTGTTAAAGGCGGAGTCTCAGACAGAAGCACCTGGCTCGAGCTTGTTTGCACTTGGCTCCTAAAAGCCTCAGGGAGCGGGAAAGCCCCTCTGTCCTGTGTGCCCACCCCGGAGCTCAGTGCCAGTGCTTCCTGGTGAGAAGCAGGTCTTCCGGCCCCTCCTCCCTGGGCCAGGCTCTGTGCCAGGCGGAGAATGAGTTAAGGGATGGTGCCGGCCTCTGGGACCTCTGGCCCGGGCCCTGGCCTGGCTGTCAGGGTGCCCCTAGCCTGGGCAGAGTACAGAGCTGTACACCGTGCTGCAGAGGCAAAGGAGAGGCCCGTGGGCTGCGCCAGGCAGGAGGGAGAGGAGCTCAGCAGCCTCCATGGAGACAGGAAGTAAGGTCACGGAGGAGGGGCCTGCTGCAGAGACAGCTCTGGGCTTGGGAACCATAGCGCCCTCGGAACCACGGAGTCGCTGAGATCCCAGGGTCAGGGGTGGGCTGGAGTGTGCGCCAGGCTGTCGCGGTGGTTCTGTAGCGAAAAGCAAAATGCATTCACTGGCGGTTCTGGAGACCAGAAGTCTGAACCCTCGTGTGAGCGGAGCTCAGTCTCTCCAAAGGTCCTGGAAGGCACTTCCTGGCCACTTCCGGCCTCTGCTGTGGCTGGTGGCCTCTGTGTGTCTGGGGGCTCACTACTCTGGTTTCTGCCTCCGTCTTTACCTGCCGTCCCCTCGCCGTGGCTCTCCCTGTCTTCGTGTGGCCTTTCTGTAAGGACAGCGGTTATTGTAGGGGGCCACCTCAACTTGGTCACATCTCCGGAGGCCCCCTTTCCTGTACAGAGCTGAATTAGGACTGACATGCCTCCTTGGGGGCACCTTGCAGCCTACCACGTTCCACTGAGGCACTGTTCTGTTTCCAGCTATGTGAAAGGCCTCTACTCTTTTGGACTGATGGAAACCCACTTCTACGATCAGGCAGAAAAACTTGCCAAAGAGGTAAGTGGTCCCTTCTCAAGGTGTGCGACCTTTCAGAGTGGCCACCAAGTGGGGCAGAGCACACAGAGCCACCCTTGGCTGTGACGCAGCCCGGCCCCCACCTCTGAGCGTCCTTGAGAGATTGGGGGAGGCTCGGTCAGTGTGGGCAGCTGCCACCTGCAGGGCTGCTGCTCGTGACCCCAGAACCCCCCAGGCTGTGCTCCCACAGTGTGTGGAGCCACACCAGCGGAGCACTCGACAGTTTCAGCAGGGTAAACTGAGGCCCCGGGCAGCAGGATGGCACACTGCAGGTAGCTCAGCTGTGCACGGGAGGCTGTGGGTTTGGCGGCTGAGCCCTGGCTTTGGAAGCATCCTGGGCGAGCACTCGGCCTCCCTAAGCTTTGGTTTGTACATTTGTGAAGCAGGCAGCTATGCCCTCCGCATGGCTGCGTTGGCATCAGGCTAGTGTGCCCCAGGTGCCCAGGGAGGGGGCTGGTGTTGGGCTCGTGGTTACTCCGAGTCGGGGTGCAGTCCCCACACAGCCTTGCTCCCCGGCCAGGCAGTCTGGCCTGTGGCTGCATCTCCACCCTGCCCGGGCCTGCAGGCTCTCTCCATCGAGCCCACGGACGCGTGGTCTGTGCACACCGTGGCACACGTGCACGAGATGAGGGCGGAGGTCAAGGCCGGGACGGAGTTCATGCAGCGCTCGGAAAGCCAGTGGAAGGTATGGCCGTGTGGGTGGATCTCCCTCCTGGGCAGCTTGGGCGGGCGGTGTCCTGGGTTGGGCTGAGGCTTCATGAGCAGGGGTCAGAGCTGTGGCTTAGGGTTGGGGAGCCGGGCCCAGCATGGAGCCAAAGACAGGTAGTGCTAGGATGGGCCTTGGCCTGAGGCCTTGGGCTGCAGTGGGAATGGATCAGAAGGTTGGTGGGAAAGGAGTTTGACGAGGGCAGGGACCAGGAGTCGCCTGAGCTCTGCCATGGGGCTGCGTGTGGGCCGGTGAAGTGGCCTTGGATCGTGGGGTGCAGCCAGGGTGGGGGTCTGTGGGTGGTGGTGTCTGCAGGACTGACGTGTGTGGGAGAAGTTCCGGGCCATCCAGACCCCCAGGGTCCTGCCAACTTTTCCCATGGCAGACCCACTCTGTGGTCACGGTGCCTACTCTGGTGCCCGACTTCGCCCAGTCCTGTGTGGACCTTTGCTTGATGGTGGCCCGTCCTCTTCCATGGGTGTCTGTTGTCCCCAGCTGAGACTGGCACACAGTCTGACCACCTGGCCAGCTGCCCTGGCTGCCCTGCCCTTCCGTGTGCCATGGCAGGCTCCCAGAGTCTCTCCTGGGACCTGGCACCACATAGCAGACGCTCAGTGATGGGAATGGCCAGGAGCCAGGGAGGACCCAGCAGTCACCGCTGACCCTCTGCACAGCTCCCTGGCCCTGGACAGTCCCATGGGGGTGCGGCTTCTGGGCAGGCAGGGTCCTGTCCTCAGGTGGGCTAGCAGGGTGGGGACGGCTGAGCATTGTGAACCCATCAGGGTCGTGTGCAGGTTTTCCTAAGGATCCGCACACTCTGGAAGCTGGAGAGGCCCAGGGACAGCCTGAGCCAGGCCCTGGGGCATCAGGAACCGGAGGCCAGTGTGGCCAACGCCCTGGAGTTCCCCAGTGGGAACTGTGATTTCTTCAGGGCATGGGGGGACACTGAGGCTGGGGGGGCACTGGTGGGGCCCAGTGCTATGGGTTGAGGGGCTGGGGCTGGGGCTGTGCGGGGACCCCGCTCCCCAGGTTCCACTGCACTCCCCTACAGGACAGCGTGATTCTGCTCCATCCTGAGCAAGATTGTGATCTCTCTGTGCCTCGGTTTCTTCTTCTTTACTTTGAGAGGCCCTGGCCCCAAACGAGTCCCATGGGTGTTGGTTCCAACACAGCCAAGGACGGGAGTATTGCAGACCGGGCCATTGCCGTCTGTCTCAGGCACTTTCCCATCGGAACCCAGTACTGACCCCTCCAGCTTAGAAAAGGAGAGCTCGTTCTGCCTCGAAGCTTCGGTCTGTGGCCACCTGGCTCCAAGGCAGGAACGGCCTGGCATAGGGGCCTGGTGCAGAACAGCTGCTCACAGCGCCGGCCCAGCGGCCAGGAAGCAGAGAGGGAGGGAGGAGCCAGGCGGGGACGCAGCCTTTCAGGTCCCCCGCAGCAGCTGCCCCTAACCAGACCCCGCCTCCCGGAGCAGCTGTGTCCATCCCATGAATCAATCACTTTTCACAAGCCCCGCCTATGAGCACGGAGGCTCTGGAGGACCTTGAGATATAAGCCATGGCACCTCCCAAGTGTCCCCCCGTCCCCGGGGCCCTGGTGTGGGTGACATGGCCTGCGCTCACTTTCCTCCACCTGCACCTGCCTTGTGCATTTGCCTGCTGAGCACGGAGCCCAGCTGAGTCTGGTCTGCGCTGCAGGCCTCTGCCCCGCCCGGGGAGCCCCCAGCTGGAAAGACTAATGCGTCACACACCTCCGGCTGCCTCAGCCTCCTGGGCCAAGGCAAGGAACAGTCGTGGCTGCCCCAGTGCAGAGGGCGATGAGGTGGTGTGGAGATGCCTAGGCAGGCAGGTGCCTGGACAGACAGGTGCCAGTTTCCTGCCTCAGCACAAACCCACGCGTGCCGGTCTGCACAGGCTGCCCCGTCTTCCTTTAATTCTCTTTTATCTTTCCGCAGGACTCCGACATGCTTGCTTGCCACAATTACTGGCACTGGGCCCTGTACCTGATTGAGAAGGTAAGAGGGCAGTCTCGCCTCACACAGACATCGCAGCAGAGAGGATTTCTAGTGTCTGCTGTGGTCTGTGGGAACCGTCCAAGCGTGGGGCCCTGTGTTGTGTCCCACTGACTGCGTACAAGTGGGATGGAAAGCTATGATGAATGTTTAAGTGAAAAAAATTATTGCAGTTAGAGACACATGGCATGGGTCTCTCTCAAAATCCTCTCCACTGCTTTGAATACACTCATTGCATCGCCCTGGCCACTTTCTGCAGCAGTTCTGGAGTCCTCTTTCCTGAGTGTCTTTATGAGGTGTGATCAAAAATACAGTGGCTGCTGCTGCCAAGCACCATCCAACGGAAAGGCAGGCTCTCGAAAACACGACGCTGTGTCCTCGGCCACCGGATCTGGGACCGCGTGACTTCCAGCCTTTCCCCGAAGTCAAAATGAGCACAGAAGGTGAAGGTCTGGAATCCATTCAGCGCACGGAGGCGGCCACGATGGTGCAGCTAAAGACGCTCAGAAAAGAGGACATCGAGAGTGCTTCAGAAAGTACAAAGAACAACAGAACACACAAGTCCAGTGCGAGGGGGAGGATTCTGATGGCGATTCATGGGGGTGGGTCTAATACTGTAAAAAATTTTTTTAAATTTAAGAACATCCTATATATTTTGATCATACCTTGTAGGTACTTCCCTGCTGCTGGGATGCAGAGCTCAGCCTTCTCCCCGTAGACCAGACCTGAAGGGGTCATGGGATCTCCCGGAGGAACAGGGGTGCGGGGTTGTTGCTTGGGAGCCCCCTCAGCCCTTGTGATTTCCTCGAGCACCCCATTCATCGGGGTGCTCCTTGGCAGTACTGTTGACCACAGAGGAAGACGGAGGGTCCCCAAATGTCTAGTGGGGAAAATGCACGCAGATGAGGATCCTGTCAGGACAGAATGTGGGGATACGTTGTCCAGGAGGAGGCAGAGAGCCACAGCATGTACAACAGGGAAATAAGTATCTGTTCCCAGGGACTGGGGATTTAGCTCAGCAGCAAAAGCACCTGCCTGGCAAGCGCAAGGTCGTGAATTCAGTTCCCGGTACCAGAGAAAAACCAAAACCAAAAAAAAAGTATCTGTTCCCTACCGACGGGGAATCTCACAGCAGGCAACATAGCCATGCTCATGCAGTTGGACTATCCCTTACCCCAAAGGCCTTGGACCGGGAGTGTTTCAGATTTAGGAGCTTTAGAGGCTGGGGATTTAGCTCAGCGGCAGAGCGCCTGCCTGGCAAGCGCAAGGTCGTGAGTTCGATTTCTGGTTCCGGAAGAAAAACAAAAACAAAACAAAGCAAAACAAAACAAACAAAAAACCAGATTTAGGAGCTTTGTGGATTTGGGAACATTTGCCCACACATGAGATATCCTGAGGATGGGATCCTTCCTAGTCACTTTCTCTTTGTTAGGACAAAATACTGGACACCAGCAACGTAAAGGACAGGTTTATTTCAATTGTGTTTCTGTCTAAGGTCGCTGGCTCCACAGAAGAAACAGCACGGCAGGGGCTCCTGGCAGAGGGGAGCTGCCCAAGGCATGGCGCACAGGAGGCAGAGAGGGAGGGAGGAGCTGGAAGGGAGATGGAGCTTCTAGGCCACGCCCCCGGAACAGCCTCCTCCGACCAGGCCCCGCCTCTGACCAGGCTCCACCTCCTAGCAGTATATTTACCTGTAAACTCCTCTGTGGACTAATCAGTGATGAGTAGAGAGCCCCCATGATCCTGTCGCTTCCCGGAAACCTTGCCTATGAGTGCCTGAGGCTTTGAGGGGACATCTAGATAGTTCAGATTTGTAGCCAGGGGCCTGTAATCCTAGCACTCTGGGAGGCTGAGGCAGGAGGATGGGAAAGTTCAAACATAGTCTGAGCAATTTAGCAACTTTGAGACCCTGTCTTAAAAGTTAAAAATAAAAAGGGTAGGGGTACAGTTCAGGATAAAGGCCCTGGGTTCAATCCCCATTACCACAAGAGAAAAGTTCTTGTGCTTTGGCTTAGGGCGTCCCACCCGGAATTAACTCCTGGCAGGAGATTGATGCTGTCACGGAAACCCCAGCTTCAGTGGCAGCCTTGGGTCCTGCTGCCTCTGTGCTGGGTGTGGAGGTGGCCGCCCCTCCCACGCCTGCCCTGCACTCTGAGCTCCCGTGGCCTGCTCCATGAAGAAAGCTAGGCCACGTGTGTAGGGGGCGATGTGTGCAGCATCTTCTCAGCGTGGCGCCCCACTATCTCCAGTGCTGACCTTGGCTTCTTCCTGTTGCCAGGGTGAGTACGAGGCGGCGCTGACCATCTACGATGACCACGTAAGTGCTGTGCGCTGTGTCTGCTTGTGTCTGCAGCTCGCCTTCGGCTCTGATGACAAATCTCGGAGCTCCTCCCCATTGTCCCTGCCAGGAAGCACAGCTGAGCCACAACCCAGTTCTTGCGCAAGGCCTCCGCGTGGCTCTTGCCAAGAGCCACGTTCCGCTGTCTCTGTTAACCCTGAGGTGGCCGCAGATGAGTGTCCAAGGTGACCATCTCCATTGCAGCCTTTAGAGCACTCTCGGTGAGAGTGCTGATCTGTGGGGAGGCCTTTGTTGTTACCATGACAACACACACAAGGGAGAACTAAGTACCAGCTTGGCACTGAGCACACCTGCCTTGCTGTGCCTCCGTGCCCACCCGTCCCCAGAACTCTGCCACCCTCTCAAACTGACCCTCTGTATCCCATCCCTGCTCCATCCCTTGGTGTTCTTTTGTTTTGTTTTGTTTTTGGTTTTTCTCCGGACCGGGAACCGAACTCACAGCCTTGCGCTTGCCAGGCAGGCGCTTTGCCGCTGAGCTAAATCCCCAGCCCCTCCTTGGTGTTCTTTTGAAAGGAAAAAATCCCCAGTGAGGGCTTAGTACAAAGATCCTGGGACCCAGTGCATTGGAAGAAACCCACAGTGATCCAAACCCTAACCTTGACCCTAACCCTAACCCTAACCCTAACCCTAACCCTAACCCTAACCCTAACCCTAACCCAGGCAGGACTTCCCGGGGAGCAGGGACGGTGCCCTGCGCTGAGGCTCTGGGCTGGGGGGTGCCAGGGCCTGCGATGTGCCCCAGACATGTAGCATAGCGGGTCCCATCTTCAGGGCTGGCACCTGTAGCTGTCAGAGCCCTCGGTGAGGGTGACGGTCCAGGGATGATGGCAGTGGCTCTTTTGCTGAAGGCTTGCTCTGTGCTGGCCGATTTCTGGCCCAGACAGTTGTCCCCATGGGCTCCTTGTCATCCATCCCTGGGGCCCTTGTCTTGCAGATCCTGCCCCGCCTGAAGGGCAGAGGTTCCGTGCTGGACGTGGTGGACAGCTGCTCCATGCTCTTCCGCCTCCAGATGGAAGGTAGCGCGTCTCTGCCTCCCGCTCCACTCTCACCCCCAGGGCCATCTGGGAGGTGTAGGGCCAGGCTGTGCTGCCTCCCAGGTCCCAGCTGCACAGCTCCCTCTTATCCGCCCCCCAGGGTTGCACCGGCCCCCTCCTCCCTTCTTCCAGCTCCTACCTCCCCGTCCCGTGGTGGCCTCAGCTCTGCGCCCGCCGTCCCCTGCTGTTCCCACACCCTGCCCGCTTGGCCTCCAGCGTCTAAGTGGCGCCTTTCCTAGGACTTCAGAAGCGAGAGCTCCCCAACTCCCTGACCATGCAGTTTCTCATCCTTGTCACCTCGCCCTCTGTGGGTGACCCAGACTGGGCTGGCTATGGCTCTGCAGGCCTTGATGGCTTCCCGCCGGCTGCCCGAGTGCTGGATGGGTCTGCCCTCTCCCCGGGACTCCTGAGAGCCAAACTTGTGCCTCCTGGGCCCGGACCGGGCCCCGTGGGGTTGGGGGCACGTGAGGCTGGGGGAGGGCAGGGCAGCTTCGTGGTGGAGTGAGATGTGAACTGGGGAGACGTGGAGGGTTTGGCAGGCAGGGAGGAGGAGGCAGGGGTGTGAGATGCAGAGGGTGTGGCCTGGCAGGGATGAATGTTGGAGGGCAGAGAGAGGAGCTGAGTGGTGGGAGCAGGGTGCCAGTGTGTGGAAGGGCACGGCCGGGGCAGGGGGAGCTGCGGAGGGACGAGTCAGCAGAGTCCTGGCATGGGGAGGAGCCGGGGACCCTCGAGGAGGCCACGGCCATAATATCCACGCCTGTGGGGAGAGAAGTAGGAGACAGAACCAGCCACCGTTGGTGCAGAACTGTGTGGCCCAGGAGAGCCTGCGGGAGGGGTGCGTCCCCCATGCCCCGAGACCCTGCTGCCCCGAGCAGAAGCTGTCTGTGTGCAGAGGGGTGGCGAGGAAGGGGCAGGGGACCCTGGACCAGAAATCCAGACCCACAGGGAGAGGATGTTATTTATGAATGCAACGTTTTTATTGAGGTCCTGCCATGTGTCAGGTGCTGTTCTTGAGTGAACCACCTACTGGAAGAGTTTAAAAGTGTGTTTGGCGCTGAACCAGGTGCACACCTGTCATCCCAGAACTCTGGGAGGCTGAGGCAGGAAGATTGCAAGTTTGAGGACACATGGGTGAAGGAGCCGGGTGCAGAATGGGCTTCCAGTTGCACACAAATCCTGGTGTCCTTCCTGTGTCCCAGGGGTGTCCGTGGGCCAGCGGTGGCAGGATGTCCTGCCTGTGACACGGCCTCACACCCAGGACCACATCCTGCTCTTCAATGATGCCCACTTCCTGATGGCCTCCCTGGGCGCCCAGGACCGGCAGACCACGCAGGACCTGCTGACTGGCCTGCAGGAAGCCAGCAAGTACGCAGGAACCAGGGCCCCGAGACTGGGTGGGGCTGACCCCAGCCGCCAGGAGGGCAAGGGTGGGCACAGCGTTGGGCTGCTTGGAGAGGAAGGGCTTATCTCACGGGGGTGCACTTGGCGTCCCCACACTCAGAGCTGCCCCTCTGTCCCCATGGTGGGCATGAAAGCCAGTGTTGGCGTGGATCCTATGGGACACAGTGGTCCTGGAGCCAGAGGCAGTACCTGCTGTGTACAAGTCCTGAGACCCTGGGGAAGGACATCTCTGCTCTGAGCCAGTTTCCTTACGTGTGAACTGAGATTGTGACTGCCTGGGGCCTATACGGAGGGCCTACCAGGCTTACGCCACTGTTGCCATAGCATCCTGGTGACAGTGGTAACCCTAAAGTTCATGCCCAGGCTTGGCTGGCATTGTCTGCCATCTTGTCCTCTCTGTGAGGTTGGCACTGTCAGATGGGCAGACTGAGGCCAGGAGTTGGGGTCCTGTCTGGTCCCAGGCCAGTTCCAAGCCAGACCTGAGTTTAGAGCCCATGTCCTGCTGTGCTGGGCTTCACCCTATCAGAGCGTTACCTTATGGCTGTGACAAGCCCCACTGCAGCATGGTGCCCAGGCAGGAGGGGACCTTCTGGAGGTGGCACTAAGGCTCTCCCTCTGGAGCAGGTCCCCAGGGGAGAACTGCCAGCACCAGCTGGCCCGAGACGTGGGGCTGCCCCTGTGCCTGGCCATGGTGGAGTTCAAGGACGGGAACCCAGACCGCGCACTGGAGCTGCTCCTGCCCATCCGCTACCGCATTGTCCAGATGGGGGGCAGCGATGCCCAGGTGAGTGGCCAGCCGCCGGCTGTGCCGGGAACCCTCACCTCTCCCAGGTGCTGGTGCCCACGAGACAGGCCTGGGTATCCCTGGCTCTCACCCTGCCTCCCGGAAAGCACGTCATCCAGGGTGGGGCCACAGGCTGCCCTGTGCTGGGGTGTTGGGGCTGGAGCTCACACAGGCCACACCGCAGGCACCTGACTCGCCCACTGACATTGCAGAGAGATGTCTTCAACCAGATGCTGATCCACGCAGCCTTGAACTGCACCTCCAGCGCCCACAGGAACGTGGCCCGGTGAGCGACTGGCTTCCAGCGCCCGGCGCAGGCAGGCTCCCCACACCCGGGCTGCTCCCAGGGGCCACCCTCTGGGTGGGCTGCTCCCGCCCTGAGGTTTCAGAGATGTGAGACCACCAAGAAACTTGGTTCTCCTTTGTGAGCAGGCTCAGACTGACTGCAGGAACCAGCCAGCCCCACTCCAACCTCCACCTCCCCAGCCCGCTCCCCCTCTTAGCCCTGTAGAGCTGAGGTCCACAAAGAGCCCCTGGGCCTTTGCACAGGCTGAGCCTGCTGTCTGGCACACCTGCATGCCTTCCCACCTGCAGCTGCCCACGGTTCCTATAGGCCCTGGCTCATGTTGTCCTGCCTGTGCTGGGGGTGGGAGGCAGGGGTGAACGGAGGGCACAGGCCCTGGCTGTGTGGAGCCTGTCTGGAGTGGGGAGTAGGCAGGGAGTAGCTCCTAACAGGGGTCTGTGAAACTGTGCACTGCAGCCTCTCCACAGCGTGGTGGAGGCCGTGAGTGGGGAGATATCAGGTGCCCCTTAAAGGCCACTGAGGCGAGCCCAGGGGATGTGTTCCAGGCGATTGGGCCCTCCCAGGGGCAGGGTGAGTGGTGCAGGGGACGGTGGGCTGCACGGGCACCTGGTAGATGGTGACCATGCAGTGCCCTCTGCCGCCATGCAGGGCCTGTGCCCCGCCAAGGTCACACACCAGGACCTTCTCCCTGAAACTAGACTCCACCCTCCACATTCCATGAGGTCCCAATAATGCCATAAAATTAGGACGTCAGTGAGTGACCTGTTGATGAAGTCAGCACCCCATGTTCCCGCACCTTCGCAAAACCCATCCTTTGACCCTGGGGGCTTCTGGGGGACCCCTGAGATCCAACATGCCTGTCCCTGGTGGCCCACCCCAGCCCCAACTCTGCCCGCTGCACAGGGCTCCTGCTGTCTCTTATCTGGGGTCTGCCTTGGTCGTGGTGGGTGCCATGAAGAACATCGCAGCCCGGGTGGCTGACCCTGGGACAGGGCTGCGTCACGCGGGTGGAGGCTGCAGGCCCAGGACAGAGGCCCGCAGGGTTGGCTTCTGGCAAGGCCTCAGCCTGGCTGGCACACAGCGCCCTCCTGTGGGTACTCAGAGAGAATTCTCTCATGCTGTTTCTTACAAGGACACAAATCCCGTCCTGAGGGCACCAGGCCATCTCCTTCCAGTGCCCCAGCTCCTGATACTGTACGCTGCTGAGGACTGGGGCCTCAGCACGCGGACTTGGGAAACGCTGGCGTTCAGCGCACAGCTGGGCCTCTGCCTCGCACACCCTCTCCACTTCCTTTCTTTAACCTGGGCCCCCTCCCCGTCCTGCCACTTGCCTCCTGCCCTCTGCCATCTCACCCCTCCTGTCCCTAGCTTTAGGCTGTGGTGAGGTTGAGCCATGGCTTTCCCTGAGACAGACCAGGCCACAGTGGGGTCCCCACCCCGGGACCGCCCCTCCCCGCCACATCGTGGAATCTCGGTTTTCGCTCTGAGGTGGACTCAAAGTGCTGCTGCTGACGTCCCTGCCCTGGTCCCTGTGGTGCCAGGACTTGGCTCTTCACTCCCCAGCTGAGCCCAGGACTCCCGCCTCGGCCCATCCCGTCCCCTCTGCTCCTCAGCCTGGGCAACCGCAGGCCAAGGCCCTTCTGGAAGGTCCTACAGCAGCCTGTATGTTCCCACAGGAGCCTTCTGATGGAGCGCGACGCCTTGAAGCCCAACTCGCCCCTGACCGAGCGGCTCATCCGCAAGGCGGCCGCCGTCCACCTCATGTAGTGACCGGCGGATGGGTGCAGGGCTGCACGGGCCTGGGGTGGCCTCCCTGCACTAGAACAGCCCTGCTGGGTTAGGGTCAGGAGACAGGCCTGCTTGTTTGGGTTGGCAGAGTTTTACAGAGAGGGAGAGCAAATTAATTTTCAATGTGATTTAGAATTTTCTTCCAATCCTTGCTAAGGTCCAGTGTGCATTTTTGTGGGTGGGATTAGCCCTGTACTTGCTACACAAGTGCTCTATTGCTCAGCTGCAATACCCCTCAAGCACTTTTTGAGATAGGGTCTCACTCAGTGACCCAAGCTAGCTTCGAACTTGCAATCTTCCTGCCTCAGCCTCCCAAGTAGCTGGAATTAAAGCAATGTACTACCACCACTGCTGCCAATGTGCTTTTTTCTCTTGTGATATTGAGGATTGAACCCAAGTCCTTCTCACCCAGCCCCTCACCCCACCTTTCATTTTTGAGATCGTGTCCCACTGAGGGAGCCAGGGATATAGCTCAGTGGCCCAGTGCCTGCCTGGCAAGTGTGAGGTCATGAGTTCAATTCCCAGTACCAAAAAAAAAAAAAAAAAAAAAGAAGAAGAGAAAAAACTGTAGTCTCTAGTGTCCCACTGAGTTGCTCAGGCTGGGCTCAAATTTGCTCTTCTCCTGCCTCAGCCTACCAAATAGCTAGGATTACAGAAATGAAGCACTACGCCTGGCATCAGTCAGAACCAACACGGAGGCTGCTGTGTCTACCTGTGTTGTCACTGTATTTTCCCACGGGCACAATCGTACCTCTTCCTGGTTGTTCAAGGGCTGGAAGGCAGCGCCCACTAGCCTGGCTCACCCTGCATGGGATGCCCTTGGGATAAACCCTCTCATTTAGTCTTCCAGATGTGCCTCATGGGTCATGTTGGCCCCCTTTTCAGGGGAGTGTTAGTGCAGCCACCTGTACCCCTGGGAGAGGGGTCCCCACCTTGACGCCTTTGGCCTCAGTCCAGACTGTGGCCGGAGCGCCCTCTTTACTGATGAGACAGCCAGGAGCGGCTCCCGCTGCCCAGCCGGAGGGACCTGGTCCAGCCCCGAGGGCTCTGGTGCTGCGGATCGACTGGGGCTTGTTTCTCTGCCTGACCTGCATGGGGTACAGACACTGGGTATCCGGCTTGTAAACTTTGATTCTAAGCTTGTGCTCTTGTAGGGTGTGGGGACTGGGCTCAGGGCTGCTCTGTTGTAGTAAAAACCAAAGATCTGACACATGACTTGAACAAGATTTGAGCCTCTGTCTCCTGCTTCTCCATTGCAGCCTGGCCAGGCTGTCCCTCCCAGGTGTGCTGGCCCAGGCCTGCTGCTGTCAGCTTTCCTGTGAGGGGAGTTCTGGGGCGGAGATGGTCTTCAAGTTCTTTTAGCTCTTACAGAAGTCAGGTAGGGCCTGCGGGGCTGGGAGGGGGCAGGTGTCCTGGGTCGGGGAGGAGGCCTCCAAAGCTATTAGGTCCCTGGGGTTTGCTCAAACCTGAGCAGATTCCTGGGATTTCAATAAAATTCACTGGTTTCACTGACTTGTGGGCGCCTCTGAGCAATTTTTTGTGTTCCAGGCCTGTGGCTGGGTCCTGGAAGACAGGCTTCTCCCTGAACTTGAGTGGGTGGGACAGCCAGCAAAGAAAAATGAGAAATTACACTTGGAGTTCAAGAGAGGTGTCATCTCTACCAGAAGCTAGGGACACATCCCAAGGGGCAGCCTGGCTGGGATCTTTTTAACTGTTGCCAAGCAAGACATGATGAGGTCCAGGAAGAGGGCACCCTGGCCCCTCCTCCTCGAAGCCTTCCATCCTGCCACTCCCTCCATCCCCTATAGGCTGATGGAAGTGCCTCCCCTGCGCCCCACAGCCTGTGGCACCAATGTGTGTCACTTCACCCTTGTCCCCCGCTGGGATCCCGAGGTCACAGACGATGTCTGGGTCCCCGGCACCCCTAGCGCACTGAGCTGTCAGAGTTGGTGAATGGATGCCTTAAGTGGGCAGAATGCTGCCTGGGAAAGGAACTACAAGGGACAGTCCAATGATAAGAAAAAGAGGTCAGTAGGAAAGGAATGAGGATACATGTTGGAGTAGCAGCAACATTATTACTCACCGGTGCTGTTTAGTGAACACCTACTATGTGCTGGCACAATAAGAGGGGTGGATAGTGGGGTCCCACTACCCCCAGCAGGCATCCCCTGGGCTGCAGGGATCCAACCTGGAAGAGACCTGGAGTCTTGGGCCATCCTCCCTCCTGCCACAATGGTCCTGCACCTCCCTCTGGTCTGTGACTTGGGCAAGCCTGGCCCTTGCAACCCCAGGTTTAGTGTAAGTGGCACTGAACTGACTGACTGATCATCACCCCTGGCAGGTGACTAGGAGCTTGAAGCTCCTGCACCAGTGGGCCCAACAAAAGCCAGTCTGCCTGAGGTGAGCAAACCCTGAAGTGGACAGGTGACAGCCCAACCTGATGACCTCTTGTAAGTCCTTATTTCTATCCAAGCCAATCTTGGACTTCCCTGTTCCCTGAGCCGATAAAGCCTCCGCTTTCCGAAGCCAAGTTGAGGGTGTTAGTTGACCTCAAAGGCTCCTGGTTGATGCTCTCGGCTGGGACATATGCACCGGGGTCTGCCTGTCGCGGTCACTCTTCTCCAGTTAAGATCCTGAGCAAGATCCACTTAGCAGGATCCTGTCTCGAAATTAAAAAAATACAAAAGCACTAGGGACGTGGCTCAGCGCGAAGGCCCCCGGTTCAATCTTCATTACAGCCAAGGAAAAGAAGAAAATGAAAATATCCTGAGCAAAGGAAGGAATGCACTCAGCACGGAGCCCAAGGTCAGAGGCTCAGTGTGAGACAGGAAGGTCAAGGGGGGGGCCCAGATGCAACGCATCAGGTTGCCAGGACAAGCCAAAGAGGACAGTAGTGAGTAGCAAGTCCTTCCACGAAGTTGACCCCTTTACCGCACACAGCCCTCACGGTCTCAGCCCACAGCCCGACGCCCAGCGGGAGACGCCGAGCCCTGCCCTTCAGGAGTTCTCCCCCTCCAGGGCGGGGAACTTGGGATCGAGAGACTTCCGGGTGATTGCGCACGCGTCGTGCAGAACCAATCGTCTGCGCGTGCGCACGAAACCCTTCCGGATGTTCTGACTACAACCCCCAAGGTGCACTGCGTCCGGCGAGACCTATTCAAATAGACCAATCGGTGGTCCGTGCCGCTTCCCGGCGCGGCGTTTAAACCCCCGACGGCAGTGTATCCAGCGTCTCCAACCTGCAGGGTGAAGGGTGAGGCCTCATACCTAACCGGGCGCGGCCCGGTGGGCAGGGGGTGGGCCCTGTGGGCACAGGGTGGTGCCTACCCTTCTCGGGCGGGGCGGCCGCGCGTCCCGGAAGCCGGACCTGGGCTCGAGCCGGGACCCCGCGCTTGGGACGGGGAGCAGAAGGGCTGGGGTGCTGCGGCCCGCCGCTGGGAATTCGTTATTCCCCCGCCCGGCTCGGAGCGGCCGCCGCCTCCCGCCCAGTGGCGCGCGATCCTTTCCAGTGGCCGCCACCCCACCTTTTCCTCGCCCGGAGCTGCCCACGGCCGTTAGCCCTCTCTGTCCGGGGTGTGCTGCCCGGGCTTGCGCTGGGCCAGGGACCTGGGCTCAGCCGCCTACTCACTTTCCCACTTCCTCCTGCAGCGGCTCCTGACAGCTCCCTCCGCGGAAAGAGGGGCCGGCGGCCGCGCGGCTGCAGCCAGACGGCGGGGAGGCGGAGATGGATGTTACCAAGAAGGAAGGTAAATCCCCGTTGCTGCCGTGCTGGGCTTCAGGGACCTCAGTAAAGACGGTCGTTGATTTACTGGTTCTGTGAGATTTTACTCATTCCTTGACCCTGTTAGTGAGTGAGCCTGGCCCATAACTTCCCTTTCTTTTTTCTGACCTTGTGTGGTTTGTTAATCAAGATGAGGGTACAGGGTACATATAAGGGTACAGGGTCACAAAATAATTTACAGTTGCCCCTTAGTAGCCTTGGGGGATCAGTTCCAGGATCCCTGGGTGCCAAAATCCACAAATACGCAAGTGTCTTATATACAGTGACAATGTTTGCATATAATCATGCATACTCCCATACTGTACATTTACGATAATTTCTAGATTACTTGTAATACCAGTGGAATGCAAATGCTATGTAAATAGTCATTACACTATGTTTAGTGAATGATGACGAAAACCCCCTAAAGCCTCATGCAGTCCTGGGGCAGGCTTCTAGAGTTTATGATTGATTCCTGGTCCAGTGCTGGGATTATGAGTGTGAGAGCTACACCCACCCCAGGAGGGTAGTTTGCATACAGTGTCAGGGAGGGAAAGAGGCTTGCTCTTGGCCACTCTTCCCTTTTGCTCTGGTTGCTTTGCTGTCTTCCACTGCCATAAACTGTTGCCCTCTGCCATGTGCCACCCTGCCTTGGAGCCAGCAGATTATGGACTGAAGCCTCCACAAACCGTGAGCTAAATAAACCTTTCCTTCCTTAATTCTGGGTGTCAGGTATTTTGTCTCAGCAACGAGAGAGAAAAGTAACCAAGACAGCCTGTATGTGTTGTTACAGATGCAATTTTTTTCTCAAGTACTTTCCGTCCACTCTTGGTGAAATCCATGGGTGCGGAATCCAAGGATATGGAGGACATGTTAAGGCCGTGCCCTCTTTTTCTCTTAAAGCATCTTGCCACCCTTTTTTCCTTTGGTCCTCCCGACTTCCACGTGGGGCTGTACACTGGGCACCCAAGTGTCCTTAACTTCTTTCTCCATTTTGCAGAAGCAGCCTTGGAAACTTTCCATCAAAGTAAACAGCCTCTTGATTTGCCCAGCTGTCCAAGCTGAGAGCCCGCCCATTTGCATCCAATCACCAATTACTGTCATTTCCGCCTTCTGAATGTAATGTGGATTCACCCACTGTCTTTCAGCTCCATCCAGATGCCCTGGTCTCAGCCGCCGTGCCTCACCTGTGCCTATCTGTGTAGTTTTCACTTTGCCCAACATGAACGTTTGTAACTTCAACGGCCATCACTGCTTCCTTGCTGATGTCCTTTTTTATTTTCTCAGAAGTGCCCCCCACCTCCACCTTAGGCTTTTGCATGCCTGGTGGCCCTGGAGGGCAGATAGCATGTACATCTGGTCTGCGTGGCACCTGGTAGGGGCTGCGGCCTGTTGTCGATGCTCACAGGTTTGCAGAATGATAGAGTCAGCCAGCACAAGGCCACTCGGAGCCAGACTCAGCCCCTGGAGCGGAATACTGCTTCCCTGACCTCTGCCTCACGGTGCTGTCTTTCTACAGCAGCCCTTTGGAAGTTTCTGGAAGTAACTGATCAAACTGGCTTCCCAGGTTCAGATTCTGAAAAGTCAAGCGTTACCTCTCATATCAGTCCCTTAGTCACTCCTTTGCTCTCTCCAAGGGCCAGTGTAGTCATCAGTGTCCTTCCAGGCATAGTTTGTGTAAATTTCAGCAGTATTTACAATGTTGACTGCATCTCCCTTCTACGGCATATAGAATCCTGTCTTGCTTCTGGTTTTTTAAAATTTAATTTTTTTCTTTTTTTGAACCATGAATCAAACTTAGGGTCCTTGAGCTTGCCAGGCAGACCCCTTGCTGCTGAGGTATATACATCCTCAGCCCCCACATGGAATCTTTTTTCTTTCTGGTACCGGTAATTGACCTCAGAACCTTGCACTTGCCAGGCAGGTCCTGTGCCACTGAGCTATAGCCGACCCTAATTTTACTTTATTTTATTTTTTAGGGACAGGATCTTGCTGTGTAGCCCAGGCTGGTCTCAGATTCATGCAGTCCTCCTGCCTCAGCTTTCTAAGTATAGTACTGGGATGACAGGCGTGCACTACCATGCCTGGCTGCTTCTGGTTTTTTTACATTTAGTTTATCTGAATGGTAGTTGTGTGTCACATAAGAAGGAGCATCGTTCTCTCTGTCCTTCCCGTGCGGCACTCCATCTTGGGTGTGTGCTTGGCATTCCTGTCATGCTCTTACACAATCTGCAAATGTTACTGCGCACACACACACTTGCACACCCGTGATTGTCTGTAGGCTCGCTGGGCCGACAGGCCTGTGCCCTCTGAGACAGGCACTGACTGCTCCAAGCTGGGCACTGACCAGACCCACAGCCTCACTTGCAGCTAATCATTTGACTTTTGCCAATCTAATAGATGAAAAGTGGGGTCTCAGCATAAGTTTGTTTCTCATTGCCTTTATGTTTGAGCAAGACTAAGCTTTTTATTTTTTGTCTTTTTGAGACAGGGTCTCACTCTGCAGTTCAGGCTGGCCTTGAGCTCACTTTGTAGCCCAGGCTGGTCTCAAACTCGCAACAATTCTCCTGCCTCAGCCTCCTGAGTGCTGGGATTACAGGCGTGCACCACCACATCCGGCAAGACTGAGCTTCTTGACTTATTTTTAAGAACATTTTATTTCCGTGAGTTTTATCTGTTCATATACTTTCTGTCTTCCATTAGGTCATTATTTGTTTTCTGAGCAACTTGTAGGTGATCGTCATAAATTAGCCTTTTATGTGATCAGCTGCAAATGCTATTTTCCCTGATTTTTGCTTTTGTTAACTTTGCTTGTTGTGATTTTTGCCATGTAGTGATTTCACAAACTTTTCTCTATTTGAAGATCAATGTTTGACTGGGACTTCCTGTGTGGCATCACAGTTAGGCCTTTTTAAAATTTTTTAATTTTTTAATTTTCTTCCGGTAACGGGAATCGAACCCACGACTTTGCACTTGCCAGGCAGGCTCTGTGCTGCTGAGCTAGATCCCCAGCCCTGACAGTTAGGCCTCTGTGGTTCTCATTCCTGTGGGGTTTCCTCATCTTATGTCTGTAACCATGGCATCTGTGCACTGTGATATTTTACCTTGGCCATCTTTCCTGTGACCCTGCTGGGTAATGTGTCCGGAGCAGTGTGAAGGTCGTGGTGCCTGCAGACCTTCCCTGTGCCTGGTTTTAGTGAAATTGCTTTTGCAGTTTTCCCTGAAGCCCTGTGCTGGCTCCTGAGCTGACTGACACACAAATGGTGGTCATCGATATTGTTCGTTGGTATTTTTGTGATTTTCTTCCTTCGAGGCACATGACAGAATAATGTCCCCCGCTCACTCAAAGTTAGGTTTGGCTTGGGTGGCCGGTGAAATGGGAATGTTGTGTTGGCTGTGGCCCTCTGGCTAGATGTCTTCAAAACTTCTTGAAACTTGCTCTTTGGCCTCATCCAGCTGTGGAGACCAGAAGGGGTCCTGAGGGGTGGGGCTTTGCCAGCCTGGGATCTGGGAGCCCTGAGAAATACGTGGTCACTGCTTTAGCCACTGGGGATCTGGGGTGGTTTGTCACACCATGAGCTACCCGTCCCCGCTGATGTCTTCTGTCTTTAGAAGCAACCCTTCTGATGTTTTCCCCCTTGTGTTGGTTACTTTTCTTTTGTTGCTGAGACAAAATACCCAACGCCCCAAATTAAGGAAGGAAAGGTTTGTTTAGCTCACAGTCTGGAGTTTCAGTCCATACTCGGCTGGCTGCAAGACAGGGTGGGTGGCACATGGCAGAGGCAACAGTTCCTGGCAGCAGAACACAGCAAAAGAAAGGGAGGAGCGGAGGCAAGCCAGCCTCCTTCCCTCCCTTAACACTGTATGGAGGCTACCCACCCTAGGGCGGGTGTAGCGCTCACCCATAATCCCATTGGATCGTGAGTCAATCAAAAACTCCAGAAGCCACCCCATGACTGCATGAGGCTTTGGGGGACAGCTAGACACAAGCCATAACACCCCTGAACCTAATTTTGGCTATTGAACTGAGATGGTTACTTCCTTCTAGGGTAAAATATGTGTTACCTTTTTGTTAAGAGCCTTTAAAATCAAGAGTATATGTTATATTTCACCATGTGTTTCCTCAATATATAAACCTCACAACTTTTCTTTGGGGCTGCTATACGGTGGTTACACTGCCAGGTCATGTAAAGTTAAAGCACCTTACAGTCCTGGCATGAAGTGAAGCTGATCATAATTTACTGTTAGTCTTTTAGTGTCACTGGATTCTCTTGGCTAATATTATAGTGAGACCGGTCGGTAGCGTTCCTCTCCTCCTTCCTCAGTACTGGGATGCAACCCAGGGCCTTCGAACTGAGCCACATCACGAACCTTTCTTTTTTTCTCTTTTTGAGACAGGGTCTCGCTGTGCAGTTCAGGCTGGCCTTGAGCTCACTTTGTAGTCCAGGCTGGTCTTGAACTCAGAACAGTCCTCCTGCCTCAGCCTCCCAAGTGCTGGGACTGCAGGCATGTGCCACCGCGCCCAGCCCAGCCTTTTTTTTTTGAGACAGGAGCTTGCTAAGGTGCCCAGGCTGGGCTCCAACTTTTGACCTTCCTGTGTCAGCCTCTCAGGATGCTGGGATCACAGGTGTGTGCCACCGCACCAACTTTGTAGGGTTCTTTATTGAAAAACATTTACAGGTTTTTAGTGTCACTGTGTTTGCTTCATAGAAATATGGTGAAGGTTTATTTTCTCCGGTTTTCTGGAGCAATGTGAATGATACGGAGTGACATATTCTTTAAAGATTTCATAGAATTATCTGTCCTATGAAACCAGATGAGACTTTTTTTAAAGAGGATAGCTCTTTAATATATTTCTTCAGTTCTTTATGACAATTGAGCTGTTAGAATTTACTTTGTTTTCTGGATTCAGCTTTATAAATCTGTAAGTTTAAATAATTTAAATTAAAAAGTTAAATATTTTCCTAGAAAATGGCCCATTTCAGCTGGATCTATAGGTTTTTGTACATGGAGCTAAGGGAACTAGTTTATGAACCCTCTACTTCCCTCACTGGAGGGTTCCCCGTTCTATGTGTTGGTGCTTTTTTACCCGTACCCCCTTTTTTGGTGTTGAGACAGAACCCAGAGCCTCACGTATACTAAGCACAAGCTCTACCACAAAGCCATACCCCCAGTCTTTCTGTTTTTCCTTGATTAAGTGAAACTATCTAGCTGATTAGGACCTCATTAGGATATATTTTCAAATTCTATATCAGAACTGGAGGTTAAATTTAAGACCTTGCGATGAAGTTTAGGCTGGCCTTCAACTCATGACAATCCTCCTGCCTCAGCCTCACACCTGGCGTTATTTTTTATATTGACGCAGGGTCTTATTAAATCAGCTGCTTAAACTGGGCTTGAACTTGTGATCCTCCTTGCTCCAAGAGTGCTGGATTTTAGGCATGTGCCATCACAGCCAGCAGAATTCTCCAGTTCTGATAAATATGCCACATTAGTGATTAAGACCAAGTGAGAGGTGATTTGTGAGAGTGCAGTGTGAACGCTACGGTACTGAAGTTCCGGTTCACTGCATTTCACCAGGCCTTCACTGGACCCTGGAAGTGAGGGGTGTATTAGGTATTTTTTTTTTTTATCTCAGAGGCACTTCCAGCCATCTGGGGCTGCCAGTCAAGAGGGACTTACAGAGACTATCCCCGGGACAGTGGTGGGGACAGTCCAGCTGCTCGGGAGCCCTGGTATGGGGGCTGGCAGAGGGAACAGTTGTCCCAGCCGAGATCTACCAACCCGGAGCCAGGGATCTGGTAGAGGGAGTCGGACAGATGGACAGACAGGGCCAGTAGAGGCAGGCTGTGCTGGGAATGGGGGTCCTTCCCCCGCGTTTGGGTAGTGCTTGAATTAACTGTTGAGAAGCGAATAGGTGTTCTGTAGCTGTAAGAGGGCAAGTGAACTCCAGGGACATTGAGGCAGGTAGTTTATTGAAAATATTCTCTACCTGCAAATGACTCAGCTCTTCTGGAAGAAAACCAGCTGAGTGATTCAGTGAATGCATTTTAGATCAGATTACAAAACAAGGCACTGGGCTTTGGGATGGCTTTGCAAACTTGGAATGTCTGCTGCAGTTTTAAAAGAACATGGAAAAATTAAGATAATCTGGTGTTCCCTAAAAAAAAAAATCTAGTGCTCCCTATAAAATGATAACAGTTTAAATAAAAAGAGTTTATGCTTCTGGGGGTGAAATTTTGTTGTAGCTCTGGTAGCTGTAGAGGGTGGTACTGTTTTCTTGTTTTACCTTAGCCCTAAAATAACAGTGGACTTTCTCCCCCAGATGTTCTTCTCTTGGCCAATGAAGAGTTTGACTTCGATCTCTCGTTGTCTTCTTCGAGGTGAGCGAATGAGTTTTGTTCCCTTGCCTTGGACACGGCACGCTCGCTGATGCCTTTGGTCGAGTGCCAGCGTTTTTTATCATTAGAATCTTTTTCTTCCCAAATAGTGCAAATGAAGATGACGAGGTCTTTTTTGGACCAGTTGGGCATAAAGAGCGATGCATTGCTGCCAGCCTGGAGTTAAACGACCGGGTCCCTGCACCGCCTGCCTCCGCCTCTGCCTCCGCCTCGGCCTCGGCCTGCGACTGGAGCCCGCTCACCGCGGAGAAGTTCGTGGAAGTGTACAAGGAGGCGCACCTGCTGGCTCTGCAGATCGAGAGCCAGAGCAGGACCCAGGCGACCCCCGCTGCCCAGCCTGAGAAACCCGGGAGCCAGGCCATGGAAAGTTTCATCCAGGAATCAAAGCTAAAAATGAGCCTCTTTGAGAAGGAACAGGAAACTGAGAAAAGCCCCAGGTCACTTAAAAGAGAAACGTACTGCCTGTCAGACAGCCCCTTGGTGGGGACACCGCTCTTGGGAGGGCAGCCTGCCTCGGCCGAGCCCCTGCACCCGGCCCCAGCCCCGGCCCCCGCCAGCCCAGCCCCCAGGGGCCCCGGCCCAGCGCAGAGGCTGCAGCCCTTGGCTCAGGCTTTGCCTAGAGACCCGCAGCCTGCTCACCCTCCGGGTCAGGCCAGGCCTCAGAAGAGGGTGCTCAGCAAGCTGCCGCTGCCCCGAGTTTTGGCTACAAGAGGACGGCACCTTTACCTGGCTGCAGAGAAGGTAGGACCACAGGGAGAACGCTTCCCGGGGACGCAGACCACCGCTTCCCCGCTCCTGGTCCTTGCCCTGCTTCAGGGACCACGGGGAGAAACCTGGAGGTGCAGGCTGGGCTTCACCCCTGGGGCTCTGAATACCTGGCACTTTTCACGGGAGGGGGCCCTTCCTGGGGACAGCCTCGCCTCATCTCCCTGGCGTTACGTGAAGACAAGCTGTCCTGGGAGGTGGCAGTTGACACTGCCACGTTGGGGTACAGTCAGCCGCCTGTGGGAAGCTGGGAGTCCCAGAGGCAGGGGGGCAGGAGGCGGGTACATGTCAGGCCATGACCACAACTCGCTTCCAGGTTTGTCCGATGGGGTTCTTGCCAAGGGGCGGGGCGGCTGCCCTGTGACTGAGGAGGGACCCAGCTGGGACCCAGCTCTGCCCTGGCCCAGGCAGCAGTTCAAGGACTGCTAGGGTGTGGGGACACCCAGCAAGGGCCTAGGAGCCCCCTCCCCAGCTGCAGACCCCTCTCCCCAGCACCAGCTGTGCTCGGAGCCCAGAGCACTCCCCGTGGATCCCAGTGGTGGCACATACGGACCATGGGTGCGATCTGCGTCCCCTGTCATGGACAGGGGCGGCATTCTCAGGTGCAGTGTATGTGGGTGTGGCAGGACCTGTGTGTGGAGCCTGGGGCATGGGGTGGGGCACAGGTTCACAGCAGCATTACGCTAGACCTGCCGCCCACCCAGGTGGCCACTGACTGATGCGTGACCAGTGGCATGTGGCATGTGGCACATGCAGGCCACACAGGCCTACAGTACCAAAGCATGCCGCTCTGTGGCTGGCCTTAGCACACGTGCTCAGTGACAGAAGTCAGGCAGAGGAAGTCGGGTAGTGCGTGAGTGACACGTGATTCCATTCCACCACGTGGTCGCGCTGGTCAAACTGGAGAGATAGCAAGCAGCTGAGTGGCTGCCGGGGTGGCCAGGGGTTGCGGAGGGGCCAGGTGTGACTGCTAAGGGGTCGCGGTTTCTTTGAGCTTGTGGCGAAGGTTGTGCGGACAGCAAATACCCTAAGAACCACTGAGTATACTCCAACACGGTGGCTTTAGCGCCATGTGAAGTAGATCTCTTTTTTTGTTTGTTTGTTTCTTGGTACTGGGGATTGAACCTAGGACTTTGCACCGAGCTACATCCCCAGCCCTTTTTCGATTTTTTTGTTTTGTTTTCTGTCTTTTTGAGATAGGGGCTCACTGTGAAGTTCAGGCTGGCCTTAAACTCACTTTGTAGCCCCCTTAAAAGAGAAACGTACTTGAACTCCACAATGATCCTCCTGCCTCAGCCTCCAGAGTGCTGGGAATATAGGCGTGAGCCACCACGCCCAGCCTTTCCAAGTTTTCAAGACAGCATTGCGCTAAATTTGGCACGTGAAATCTTCCGCCTCAGCCTCCAAAATACCGGGATTGCAGGCCCGTGCTTCCAAGCTGGGCTTATTTCAGCTTTTAAGGTGCTATAAAGGAAAACAGCTGCTGCCATGCCACCCTGACTCAGAGTGCCCACGGCTTTCACTTTCGCGTAAACATAGAGCACTTCTGTGAATGTCCTTGGACCTGAACGTGTAAGGAATTTATTCTTTGTTTGACTTCAAGGGCCAGAAGGTGCCTTCCAGCAGGACCCAGGCCTTGCTGCAGCTAGGCACTGTGGGGGCTGCTGAGGACTGCATGGGCCTTGTTCGGCATTTTCGGTGTGTGCACCGGGTCCCTCATGTGGTCATTAAGCAAGGATCTGCCTGAGGAGTAGCCTTCCAGGTCCCTGTCCTACTGTCCTGCGGTTATTTCACACTGTTTAATGAGGGGCCAGGTCCGTCCCCGGTGCATGCCTGGTCATCTGGTGAGGGTGATCGGCCTGCTCCCCTAACCCTAGCTGACGGGTGCAGAGCTGGGTCGCATTTGGGAGTGGAGCCTGGAGTGGCTCTGAACGGACCCTTGGGGGGCCTGGGCCTTCTGCGTCTACACAGTCCTCACGGTTCACATTGACCTTTTAGCCCAAGAAAGAGGCACCAGCGAGTCCCTCCCAGGGGAAAGTCCTGAGCCAAAGGCAGCCACACAGTGCTGGGTTCCCGGACAGACGCCGCGCGGCCCGGGATGCTGCCGGCAGCCTCGGGGGCCACGGCGCGCGATCGCTCCCCGTCCCCAGCAAGGTGGGTCCATCGGGGCTGCAGGGACCTGCGTGGGTGGGAGCAAGGCGGCAGCTTGTGCCTTGACGGCAGTCAGGGTGGGAGCGGGGAAAGGGCCCACCAGATGCGGCTTGGTGAGAAACCTGTGCGAGCCGAGGCCGCCTGTGGGTGTGGTGGTGCCCCTTGCTCTCTCACGGGGCGTCCACAGCCCTCACAGCCACAGCAGCTGCCCCTACGTGCCCACTACCGCCCGGCGTGGGTGTCAGCTGAGCTCCACTGAGAGTCCCTCTGGGCTTTGTTAAAGTTGCCGGAGCTGGGCCGAGACCCGTGGACTCAGGAGGTCTGAGCTGGTCCCCAGGGTGGCCCTCAGGCAGACCTGTGAAGCCATTCCTTGTGGGCCGTTGGCCCATGTACCCTGGATTCAACCAACCGTAGATTGAAAATATTCTGAAAAATAAGGTTGGATCTCTGCTGAACATGTAAAGACTCTCCTGTGCCACTGAGTTTATCCTGGGCCTGCAGACCTTAGCACTACACTATAAACAGTGGCGAATAGTTTCCACAGCATTTACATTTCAGTAGGGTCATGAGGCATCTAGAGCCGATTTGAAGTATATGGGAGGGAGAGTGTGTGCAGATCACACTGCTGTGTGCAGGGGAGTGAGGGTCGGGAGCTGACCGAGGCAGACCCCCAGGCACCCCCACACTTACTTACCTACGTACCTTGCAAGTCAGGATGATAATTATTACGTTATTTTAAAGATGTTTTTGAGACCCTGCTTTTGCAGAAGTAAATATGGCTGGAAGTGACCTCTGCCCGTTCTGTCTCGTGACCCCGCCGCAGGTGGGACTGAAGAAGGGCCTGGGAAAGCCCGCCGGCTGCGCTGGCAGCGCCACGAGGAGGTCCTGCTCCTCCTCCTCCTCCCGCTCCTCCTCAGGCTCCGCCTCGGCCAGTGCCTGCTCATCCCCAGTCGCAGACAAAGGTGAGCAACGGCGTCCGTGCGGTGGAGACTGTGCAGAGGACTTGCTGTGGGCTGTGGGCTGCTCTGGGCACTGTCCCTGTCCCCAGCCTCGGGTGCTCCTGCCAGCAAGATAGGCAGCTTCGGGTGGGGCACATGCAACCGTAAAACACAAGTGTACACCCAGTACTGAGACACAGAGGAGGCGTGCACCAGCCTGGTGTTCATGTCCTGAGACACTGGTGCCGGTCGTGACCGTCCACATCGCCTGGAGGGCAAGGCCCGGTGACTCCCAGGTGTGGCTGAATCCCCACTTCCGCCCCTAGTCACGCCGGCCGCCTGCTCGTCTTGCCGAGCCAAGGCTGCCATCTAGTGGTAAGGGGAGGAATCCCTTGGTGACGGATATAAGTATGATTTGCCCTTAAGAGCCAAAGTCTGAAGTCAGGGGTGGTGGTGCACACCTGTAATCCCAGCATGCCAGGAGGCTGAGGCAGGGGATTGTTGAGAGTTTGAGACCAGCCTGGGCTACAAAGTGAGCCTAAGGCCAGCCTGAACTGCATAGGGAGACCCTGTCTCAAAAAGACCAAAAAAAGAACTGAAATCTGAGCAAGAGGGAACAGCACGTGCCCTGCTGTCAGCACTGAGGGGGCCTGAGGTGGGAGGATTGCTAGTCTGAGTCCGGCCTGGGCAACTTAGCAAGACCCTGTCTCAAAGTAAAAGAGGCTAAGATGTGGCTCAGTGGTAGAGCACCCTGGGTTAACCCCCAGGACTGCCAAAAAGAAAGAAAAATAAATAAATAGAAGAGCTAAAGCCCGGGCAGGGCATGTGGCCCAGGAGGAGAGCACTTGCCTAGCATGCCAAGCACTGGGCTTGATGCCCAGGACCGCAGAAACGCAGGAGGAGCAGACCCTCTTCAGATTCTGTCTGCGGCGCAGACCGGCCGTGGTCCGGGTGGTGCCCGAAGCGGGAACTCTTGGAGGAGACCGGTCTGGTTGGACCCTGACCCTGCCGCTGTGTCCTGACCTCACACCCGCGGTGACAGCGTCCACCTGGTAGGGTTCCTGTGAGCCTTGGAAACTCCCTGCCGCGCCGGCCCTCCCTGGCACACGGGCCTGTGCAGCCAAGCGAAGTGCCTCTGGGCGCATCTTGTCCACTTGCTCGGACACTGTGCCGCTTCGGTGACTGTTTCTGTGGATAGCCGTGTTTATCTCAGCATCGCACACGGCAGAGCCACGAGGGTCGCGTGGGACTGTGGGTGGAAAGGGGCCTTGCGTGGTTGTTATGCACTACGTGGAAGCGATGGCATTAGTTCAAGGTTTTCAAGGTTATCCTTAAGAATCTTTGACCAGGTCAAATGTGGTGGTGGTGCACCCAGGCCTGTGATTCCAGCACTCAGGAGGCTGAGGCAGGAGGATTGCCATGAGTTCAAGGCCAGCTTAGACTACGTAGTAAGACCCTGTCTCAAAAAAAAAAAAAAGATCCTTGACCAGATTGATATATGTGCTGAGTATATAGCTAGCTGAATGTTTATCAACCTAGTTTGTTATTCTTTTCTGTTGTTTGTTTTTGAGACAGAGTTTCGCTGTGCATTTCAGGCTGGCCTCAAATTTGCAGCAATCCTCCTGCCTCAGCCTCCCGAGTGCTGGGATTACAGGCATGGACCACCACACCTGGTTTTCATTCCATTTTAAATTGTGTTTGATTAGTATAACTGTGCCTCCTTCTTGTAATTCAAAGCACTCAACTAGTAGTAATTGCTGCTTCTTCCCCTACTGGGGCGGGGGTCCTCCATCTACACTGCCACTTCCCTCTGCTTGGCTAGGGAAGAGTTCTGCTGCCAACATAACAAAGACAGGTCCCCCACCCTTGGTACTGGGGGCTGAACCCAAGGCCTCTGCACTGAGCTCTAGCCTCAGCCCTGTTATTTTTTAAATTTTTTTTTTTTGTACCAGGAATTAAACTCAGGACCTTGTGCTTGCCAGGCAGGCACTGTGCCAGTGAGCTATATCCCTGGCCCTGTTTTTTAAATTCTGAGATAGAATCTTCCTAAGCCACAAAGTTGCTCAGGCTGGGCTTGAACTAGATCCTCCTGCCTCAGCCTTGAAGAGTGCTGGGGTTACAGGCATGTGCCACCACGCCCAGCTGAGTGGGAGAGTTTAACCTTGTGGATACTTATTCCATTCTTTTTTGGTCTTTTTGAGACAGGGTGTTGCTGTGCAGTTCAGGCTGGCCTTGAGCTCACCTAGTAGCCCAGGCTGGTCTCGAACTCACAAGTATCGTGGTAATTAAGCTGGTGAATTAGAAGGTGCTGGCACTCAGGGAAGCTGCAGGCAGCCCGGCCGTGGTGCTGCCCTTGATGATTCTCTGGGGCCCTGTGTCGATGTACCGGCGGCGGGGCACCTGCCTGTGTGGTAGACGGTGGGTGTCTTGGTTTAGAAACAACGTACACTTGATGACACCCGGCTGTCACGTGTGTCCTCTTGCAGCAGAGCCAGGCAAACTGCCCAGCACCAGCAAGTCGGGCAGGCCGGGCCCCGCCTCTCCGAGCCAGGCTCTGCCCGAAGCAGGGGTGTCCTGCAGCCAGGCCGGAAGGAGCGATGCTGCCACTGCGTCCTCAGTGCCCCCCATAGCTCCCCCAAGCCAGCCCCGGACCCCGGAAAGCTCCATTTGGTCAGCATCTTCTGAACTGAATAGAACTCGAAGCATAGCACGGCGAGACTCCTGTCCGAACTCCAGGACGAGGGTTGTGCCCACCCCTGCCAATCCATTTAAAGTGCCCAGGTTTTCCATCGGTGAGTACTTAATGAGTTTTAATGTGGCTTGTTCTTTTGTCTTTTTGAGACAGGGTCTCGCTGTGCAGTTCAGGCTGGCCTTGAGCTCACTTAGTATCCCAGGCTGGTCTCGAACTCACAGCAAAGATCCTCCTGCCTCAACCTCCCGAGTGCTGGGATCACGGGTATGTACCACCATGCCCGGCTTTAGCGTGTTTCTAAAATACTGGAGAAACCCTTTCTTGGCCCCAACGTGGTCATGCCCCCCCCACTCACCTTGCCCTCCTGGTCACAGTCACATTTCTGGTGCCCCGCCCTTCCTCCCCGCCCAGTGTGGTCTGCGTCGAAGCCCTCGGTAGGGGCTGAGTTGCACGTGCAGCATGAGTGCCCATCTGTCTCCTCAAGGCGCTTGTGTCGGACCCCTTCGTGATGCTTGTCTTTGTCTTTCCCTCTGGGGACTCGGTTTCCCACTGCTGTGCTGAGGCCAGAACGGTGCGTTCGCTCTGGAAGGAGCTGAGCTGGGTCTGGCAGGGAGGCGTGCGCAGAGGGCCGGGCCCCTTCGCGCCTCTCCTTGAGCTCGCAGGGCCGGGTCCGGCAGGGCCGCTCCTTTGGGGTTAGCACTTCCCACTCCAGCTGGCTGTGCGCTCCGCTGGCGTGTGGCTGTTCCCAGCCCGGGTGCTCCGGTCACGGCCCCGCTTGTCTGCTCACTGCCCTGGGGGCTTGTCCTGCACAGGCGCTGCCCGCTGTGTGGCCAGAGAAGAACCCTTCTCTCTGTGGCACTTCCTCTCCCACCCTCCACCCTCTCGCTCCAGCGCCTGGGTCCCCCGGCTCCCCTGGCCCCAGCTACTCTCCTGGTCAGGGAGCCTGCCCTCCCCCAGGGCCTGCCCGCCTCCAGGGCGTTGTGTGCCTGGCAGGGTGACGGTGGCGTTCAGTGGTGGTCCACGAAGTACTGGGACACCGTCGTGCCACTGTTGTGTGCCACAGGAAGCTCTGTTCTGCTCTGCAGGCTGCGGCTGTCCTCTCACAGCCCTGGCCCCTCACAGCCCTGGCCCAGCCCTGTCGCGGTAGGAGCCGTCCTGCAGAAACTTGATAGGTACCAGCTACAAATCCAAAAGGGAAGACACAGAACAGAACAGAACGAGCATAACAAACGTGGTCTGTGTGGCGGCCTGGAACCACGGTCCCGGGCGAATGCCCCACGCGACCGGCGCCAGACCTGCCGTCCTCCTTCCTGTGTGGCTGGCTGTGTTTCCGGACACAGCGTGCAGCACTGCAGCAGCGCAGAGGGGTTTTTGTTTTCGTGTGATTGTCCCAGGACTGGGCCGGGCAAGACGGTGCTGTCAGAGAGCCCTGTGCCTGTAACGTCAACAAGAAGTTGTGTTGGGGATGTGGCCAAAGTCCCGGACTCAGGTCGGGCCTGTCCACTCACTCGCGGTAGCTAGGGAAGGGACGACTAGGGCTGCAGTGTTACCCTGCCGGGGGAGAAGATGAAGGAAACATAAACAGGAAAACGGCAGGGGTAGGAGCGCATTGAGACCCGGAATCTGCTACGGCGTCAGTTTCCTGCCCCGTTCTGGGCTTTGAATGTCATGGTGATGCCACCCGTGGCTTGCTGATTTTCCTGTGTGACCCATGCGGGCACCAGGCACGGGCGTGTTGTCCCTTGGAATTTGGAGCCGGTCACCCGTCCTAGTACGAGGGGCTTTAGGAGGGAGCAGCCCGTGATCTCAGTGATCTGGGGACGTCTGGGCTGGCGGAGACTTGCTGGAGAATTTCGGATCCGGCCTAGCTGACGACAGGAGATGACAGGAGATAGAACCCTGCACGAGTGCAGTTGTAGTCTGTGACAGGTGTGTTACCGGGTTTTTTGTTTGTTTTTTCAGTTTTTTTTTTTTTTTTTGAGACAGAGTCTCACTGTGTAACCCAGGCTGGCCTCAAACTCATGGCAATCCTCCTGCCTCAGCCTCCGATCCTCCTGCTTCAGCTTCTAAAGTGCTGGGATTACAGACATGCACCAACACTCCCAGCTTAAGTAATTTTTCTCTCTACAGTAATACCAACTTCTACCAAAGGTAACACAAGAAAAGCCAATTTGTCTTTAACCGAGGTCAGCTTTGGCTGGACTGCTTAACATCCGAGCAGCAAGAACTGAGACTTGCCAGACTTGGAAGCCTTGGGGTGCTGAGAGCCGGTGTGAGACCCCAGGGTACAGAGCTCCCCCTCGGGCCCAGGGCTGCGGGAGGTGGTGGTCTGCATACAGCAAGGCGGGGACTCGAACTCGGGCATCCCAGCAATGCTTTCAGGTAGGCCCGGCTTCCACTGCAGCCTAGAATGAGGACAGCAGGTTCTTATCTAGCTTACACAGGGAACTGTGCTGCCATGAAAAATATGGATAGGTTTGTTTTTTTTTTAATGTGGGAGGAATTGATTAGGGAGGAAAAAGTAAATTATTTCCACCTGTTTACAGAAAGCTATTTGCTCAAATGACCATAAACTGGGCTGGGGATGCGGCTCAGTGGGTGCAGTGCCTGCGCAAGGCCCCGAGTTTGATCCCCAGTACCAGAAAAATAAACTAAAAAACCAAATTACTGTAAACTGTAAAGAAGCTTCAGAAGCTTCTTTAAACCTAGAAAACAAAAAAGAGTAACCCCTCAGGTAAATGGCCTAAAACCACGGATTTTACCCATTTCTCAGCCTTGTTCCCTGGTTCCTGCTGGGTTGCTGAGCAGTAGCTTGCCCGAGGTTTCTGTGCAGAGCTCCGGGAATCCATGTGCTCGGCCGCGGTAGCTCCGGGTCCCAGCGCAGCCGTTTCCATGGCTGTAATGGTGAACGCTCTTAGCGGGGAATCAGAACTTTGGTGGGCAAAAGACACTTTGCTGGAGCCCGGCAGTTGACAAGGAGCTCAGAGCTCTTCAGGGCATGCGGCATTGAGAGGACGGTCAAGAGCCACAGCGCCACACCGGGCACCCGGCTTGGGTAATACCTGTACCACGCTTAGACTCTCGCGCCAATGGTATGTGCACGTGAGCACACTGACAGAAGGCTGAGCATCAGCGTGGTGAGCGCAGCCTTGAGTTTACGCATAGCCACCCTTGGCTCTGTGTTAGCTGACTGGGAATGACTCAGAAATGTAGATATCCGTGACTTCGTAACTTTAAGACTTGAAAATACAAGTGAATTTCACTTACAACATTTATCCCACTTACATTCACCTGATGCATTGTTAACAGTTAAACCTCGATTACCTGGAAACTGGGATGTGAGACATACATTGTTGTTATTTTATGTCTTTGCCAAAGACCCCCAGGGGTTCAGTCTGCGAGCTGAGGAGGGGAACACACACACACACACACACACAGCCCCGTCCACCCGGGCAAAGCGTGCACAGACAGCGCTGAAGACCGCCGCATTCTGTTCCTACAAGGTCTGCTTCCTCCTGACTAGCAGGTGTCGGGACAGTTACTGGGACCCTAACGCTAAGTGTGTGTGAGCCAGCCTGCGTGGAGGTCTCCGAGGGGTTTTACGTCCTTGTAGGCACCGTGTGGCGCACGTAGCATGTGCAGCACAGACATGTACACTAAGATCTTTCACTCCTGTTTTAGGATTCAGTCATGAGACAGAGAAATGTGGTCATACCAATTCATCAGTTAAGAGGATGGTTGGACCCAATTTATATTTCTGACTGAATGAGACAAGTTAAGGTCACCCATTCACATGGCTGAACTTGGAGATTTCTGTTTGCCCGACAGGTCATCCTGGGATGGCTGTGGACCAGATTTTGGTAAATTGATTCTGTCCTGGTAGCAGCTGGATTTAAACAACTTCTTTACCTTCCTACCCTTTCTCTCTTTTTTTTTTTTTTTTTTTTTTTTTTTTTTTAAAGACAGGGTCTCACAATGTCTTTCAGGCTGGCCTTGAACTCATTGTATAGGCCAAGCTGACCTCAAACTCACAATGATCCTCCTGCCTCAGCCTCCCCAGTGCTGGGATTATAGGGTGCACCACCACCCCCGGCTTCCCTTTTTCCATCTTCAGTTTAAATTTAACAAACCTCCAGGTGACCTTGAATTTTGTAACAAAATTATCTTTTTGCCAGTTCCGTTTGCCTAAGTAATCATTGTGTGTGGAAACATTTTTACAAGCGCTTTTTAAAAGATTATTTGTAGTAGTTTGTTTTTTTTTTCCCTGACCTATGTGGCAGACAAAACAGGTTTTACACTGCATAGAGAGGTCCTTTATATTGCTCTGAGCTCACGGTTAGGCCAACGCATCAGGGAGGCTTAACAGAAGGCAGAATATTTTGTAAACCACTGTTTGCCGAGCAGGGTTTCAGTTCTGGAAGGGGTAACTCAGGAGGCTAGGCTACCACGGAGCTGCCGTCCATCGCAAAGCCATCGTTTGAAAGGTCGCCCCTTCGCCCACGGCAGCCGAAATGGCCCGCGGAAAAGCTGTAAGCAGGCTTCTTGCCCTGTTTTTATCTCTGTTTGTCTTACCTTAGTATCGGCAAACGTGGTAAAGCTGGTGGCTGCTGTTGGGCGGGCGCGGGTGAGGGCCTTTCCCTTCCTTCCTGCCCTCCTGGCTTTCCTGGTCTGTTTCTTGTGCTCCACTTTCATCCTGGCGGCCTTCCCAGATATCTGGAAGACGCTGGCATTGCTGGCCAGCGCCCGCTGCGCAAGACCCCTGCCCACTCCCCGAGTTCCCGTGGGTGCAGTGAGGTGTCGCTGAGTGTCCCTGTGCCAGCGCTCTTAGGGACAGGGGCTGCCGGGATCAGACAGAGCCTCTTCTTGTGGAATTTATGTTTAACAGGAGAAGACACAAACGGTCACCCAGCAAACTCAGTTTCGGATTGCAAGTGTGATAGTGAAATGAGAAGGAGGGCGTTACCATCCCTGCTTCGCGCTGGGGAGGAATTTAGGCAGAGCAGAGCAGTCCTCTCACTCTTGTCAGGAGCGGCGTGGGAGCCAGAGCCGAGCTGGGGTGCAGCGTGGTGACGGCGTTTGCGTGAGACCCACACACCCCTGCGCGCAGAGGGAGATTTCTGGGGAGAGGAAGTGGCGCTTGTGAAGGTCCTGAGGCGGAAGAGCACTTAACAAGCTCCGAGGCGGAATGAAGACGAGAGGGGAGGGGTGGGGTTACAGCAGCGGGGAGTAGATTCTTCTACAAGCCCCAAGTGCCGGGTCATAATCAGTCGATGTCCGTGTTCCTCCCCTGCCGTAGTGCAGGCAGGCCTCGCGGATCTGGTAAGCTGCTCCTCGGTCTCGGGGACCCGGCCTCTGTCTTGCCCAGTGATGAGCAGCTGTCCTTCCTCACGGTCCCTGTGGGTGCACCGGCTGCAGGCCACGCGTCTCCTTCCCCCACACGGCATTTCCTGCGGGCCGTCTGCCATTTCCGACCGTGTCCCGCTGGTCAGGATCGGCCACACGACCCTGCTTCTCGGCAGAGGCCAGGAGAATAGTCTGTCTTCTGCATCCAGCTACAGCGTCTGACCGTGAAGAAGGCTTCTGAACCCAGCCTGACAACCTCAACCCGCCTGACGGACAGGGGAGGAATCACAGAGCTGAAGGAAAAAGCAGGCAGCTCGAGGCCAGCTCGCTCTGCCCATAGTGACTGCAGGGGCTGCCGTGTCACCAGCTGCAGGAGCAGGTGCCCGCACAGGGCCCGTGTGGCCGGCATGATCCTTCTGGCAGGGGTGCAGATGGCCCACCCGGGAGTGGAGTCCTTGCTCGACCCTGAGAGCTGGGAACCTCAATCCACCTGGGCCTCCTGGAGGTTAGGCTGCCCCGGGTCTGTGTGCGCAGGTCATCCAGTGGCCCTGATACCTGCTGGGCGCTACCTGTTGGGAGGCCGGAGTGCTAGCAGAAGGGGTGACAGAGCCCCTCGGGCTGCTGGCCTCAGCGATGTGGAAGGTGGAGGTGACAGACTCCAGCAGAGCAGGGGCTGGGGTTGCTCCTTGGGGTGTGTTCAAGTGCTGCCCCAGGGCTGTGCCACGCCTCTGGCTCTGCGTGCCCGGCGGCGGTCACCTGTCCTCACTGTGCAGCCACCAGTCCCTGGGTCCTGGCTGCTTCTCTCATCCCCTGGTCTGCAGTGACTCAGATCTACACTGCAGCCTCCGAGGCAGCTGCTGCTGCTGCTGCTGCCCGCACACCTCCTGCCCGCTACCATCGTGACTGACCCTTGCTGCTGTGCAGCCCCAGTGCCGCTGGACGAGGCCAGGCAGCTTGGCGCACACAACCCTGCCCGCGGGCTCTCGTGTGCTGTGCTGCTGTCTTGCGGGTCCCAGGCTGCACGGTCCCAGCGTGACTCTTCTGAGCTTCGTCTGAACGCGCTTCTCTCTGTCCTAGGCGGGTCCCCCAACGGTGTGACACCAAAGTTCTCGAGGGCGCAGAGGCTGCAGTCCTGGGCATCTGCTGGCAGGTGAGTCACATTGGGCTTCTTCCTTGATGTCAGAGGACGCTGTGTCCCCAGCTCCTGAGAGGGCTGCCTCTGGGACAGGGGTCTTCCCCACGCCAGTGCACAGCCGCCTTCGAGCAGGCTCGGCCTCAGCTGAGCCCCTTCCACCCGAGCTGGGGTCCTCACCGTCCCTCCTGTTGCTGCCTCTACTGTCACTCCTGGAGGTCGGCTGCCAGCACTCCATGTGCTCTGGTGCGGAAGAGGAGGCCTCCCATGTCCTGCATGGTCCGGGGCGGGGAAATGGGAAGGACTCAGCCCCTGGGTTTGCACCTGCAGCGCCTGGGACCTGGCACTGCCTGGGTCACCACTCTGGCCTGTATGGGGTGGGTTAGGCCCGGCAGAAGGAGTCCTGGGCTAGGACACCAGAGGTGGGTGCTCCTGGCTCTCCTTGGACCCGCCTGAGGCCCAGCGGGGCCTTGACATTCCTGGGCTTTGATTTTCTTGCATGTGAACTTGAGCCTCTGCACTCCGTGGTCAAACCAGATTCCCTGTAGCAGGCACCGTGCTGAGAGGCCTTCTCCCCTGCACTGAGGGCGCAGGAGCAAAACAGAGCTGGGCAGCCACTGACCACCGCACCTGCCTCTCCCACCCTGGTTTTCTCCTCGGGCATGAGAGAACAGCTCCCGCCCCTGGGGTTCTGTTGAGGATGTACCTGTTGGAGTTTTTATTTATTATTGTGGAGCGGCCGTATCAGCACATATCCTGAGACGGGGCAGCAGGTGGGCAGGAGCCTGACCTGTGGGCACCTCTTGCTGCAGGCCCTCGGGCGGAGTCTGTCCTCTGGGAGTGCTGTTTAAAGCTTGTTTCTACACTGCGGGGCTACTGTATAAAACGGTCACAGCCTGGGGCAAAACGGCAAAAACAAGGCTCTGCAGGCCCGATGTCTAAGAGTATGGTACCATCGGGGCTCTGCTCGCTTCTTGGGTGGCCTTCCCACCATGTGCTCACACGACAGGGAGCAAACGGGCTCTGGGGCCCTCCACGTGAGAGCCCTGGTCCCCCTTCCAAGAGCTCTGCACTCCGCTGCATCACCCCTCTAACCCTGACACCGCTGCCAGGAATTCGGGGAGGACTGGGAACCTGGAGTCCATCACCAGTGGACTCGGCCTATCTTCACCTGCAGTACTCCAGGTGGGGCCGCGGGATCGAGGGACGCGAGGCGGAGAGAACCAAGTGCTCAGGCTCCTGCACCGCGCGCCATTCCTCAGAGACCCTAACCCTAAGCATGGGGGCACACAGGAGACCGGCTCAATCCTCGCCTTCCCCACAGTTGCTGCAGGCCTGGGCCCCTAAGGAGACTGCCATCCAGAGACGCTCCCTGCTCTCTCCCGAACCTCCCAGGAAGTGCTTTCCTGCACTGCTTGCATGCGCGGTGCAGCCGGGCTGAGGAGGTTGTCTTGCGGATGCCCGTGGGCGGGGAGGGGCCGGTGTGCCCCGTGGGCGCCTCAGTGCTGTCTCACGGCACCCCGCCTCTGTGGGGAAGCCCGACTCAGGCCTCGTGGGCTGCACCTCAGCACGCTGGCTGCCAGGCATCTCACTTCATCCAGGCCACCTCAGCTCACCCTGACCTCATCCCTCCAGGGCCGTGGTTCATAGCACTCCTGTGAGACGTTCTTCGGGGCCAGCTTCACAGAGCCCCTCGGGCAGCACGAGGACCCCCGTGAGTGCAAGACGGATGTCCACGTTGCCCACACCCGCCAGCAGGCGCCTCTCTGGCCTCCCACTGATGACCCCCAGAACCGTGCCCAGGGCCCTGGTGCCCCCGCTGTGTACCCCTGCCCGGCAGCTGTCTTCTGAGCCCCGGAGAAGATCCACAGTGGGGTAAGAGCAGAGGCCGCACACCCCACACGGGGCAGCACCGCCAGCCGCCTGCCCTCGCGCTGTTAGAGGGGACAGGGCAGGCGCTCCCTGCTCTGCCATGGCTCTTACTGACAGTGCGGGACAAACCCAGGCGGGACCAGAGTCTGGGAGGCCGGGTAGGCCGAGCTCAGCGTCTTCTCTGGGCTCTTCACTGCCTGCTGTTCTTGCAGGGGCCCTGTGAGAGCCTCTCTGTAGTCAGTGGGGTGATAGCCCTCGGGTCCCCACCCGCCTTTGCCATCTGTCTCTTGTGGTGCCTACACACCTACATACCCACCCCTGCCCCCAGCACGCCCGCCCTGCTGCCCCTGTGCCGCCCTGGCCCTGAGCCTTAGGACACAGCCACCTTCCTCCCGCTCTGCTCCTCCCAGCCCCTTCCGCCACCTGCGTCCGAGAGCGTGTGGCCGTTGCCTGAAGGCTGTCAGGCTCCCCTGGGCAGGCAGCTCCCCGAGCTGGGGCTCTCCGCCATTCTCTCTCTGGAGCTTATGAGCCCCTGGCACATGGGAGGAGCTCAGGAAATATTTATGAGCATAGCCCTTGTGAACACAGCCTGGTCCCAGCTCCCTCGACTGAGGCCATGTCAGGAGCCACCAGCCGAAGCTCTGCCCGGTGGCCCTGCTCTGGGGCGTGTAGTTCACAGCTGCCAGGGGAGGGATGAGTGGGCACAAGATGAAGCCAGACAGCCCGATTCCAGCAGAGGGAAACCTGGGAGCCACCAGCCCTCCCGTTAGGCAGAGGCAGCTCCAGGTCCGGAAGGTGACGGTGTCCACAGGCACTGGTCTGTTGAGCTGGCAGCAGGGCTGGGCCCCTCTGCCCAGGACGCTTCCAGGAGTTTCCTTCCCTCCACAGCACCGAGCCGGCGAGGGACAGTGGCCCGGGGCAGGTGGCCCCCTCACCTGGCGATGGCTTCTCTCCTCCTCCCCCTGTGCCCCAAGCCCTTTGCTTCTCCCCAGAGAAAAGCGATCCTTTCTCAGAAGGCCCCGTCACAGGGCCAGCTCAGGACGAGGCCAAGCCCAAGGAGGACACCCACCCCGCTGAGGTAGGCAGCGGCAGGCGGGTTCCTGCCCATGTCGGCGGTATGCAGAGGCCGGCTGTTCTGGAGGATGGTCTCGGAGTCTGATGCCACACTCACCCGGTAGCCCGGGTCTTTCCCAGGGGTGAAGGAGGCAGTGGGTCAGAGGGAAGGAGGCAGAGAAGGCCTGCAGCTCTCTGCTGGGGTGGGCAGGGGCCTTCCTCAGGGCGGTTTCGTGAGCAGAGCCCGCATCTCCCAAGGTGGCTGACACAGCAGTGCCGGACTGTCCTCCCCTGCGCATCCCTGCCCAGACCCTGCTTGTGGACCTTGGGCTAGACCAGCTCACCATCTCTCCCTGGGCCGAGAGCCGACCCCTGGCAGACCTCCTGCTCATCGACCTTGGCGGCACTCCAGGAGCTGACGTGCCCTCGGGGCCTGCAAGCGGACCCCTGATTGACCTCACCACCAACACCCCTGACATGAGCAGACACGGCGAGTCCAAAGCTCTGCAGCCCGAGGGACAGGTGAGGGCCAGGCTGCGTGTGCCGACTTCAGCCTGGGTGCTCTTGGTCCCGGGTACCTGGGATCGTGGTGCCTCTTGCACCCCAAAGGGCTCAGGTCCCAGCGCATGACTCAGCTTTGGTGGCCCGAGCTTCTCAAAGGTCACCACTGCCGTTGAAGTGTCCTGCCAGGACCCAGTGAGCTCTCAGGGTGCAGAGCTGGTGTCCCCAGGCCCACAGCCTGTGCCTGCGGTGTTAGGAAGGAGCACACGTGTCTAAGGCTCTGAGGCCAGAGTGTTCTTGTCTCCCCTTAACATCGTAGCCCTGCCAGTCAAAGTTTCCTTTACTCATCCCTGAACCTGGGGTGCCCAGCTGTTTTCCCAGCCCCCACCCCAGCTGGAGCTGGCGTGCAGGTCGCCGGGGCGTGTGGTGGGGCGTGTGGTGGGGGCGCAGGCGGCTGTGCTCACCTTGTCATTTGCACTTCTGCAGCTCATCGACCTGTGCTCGCCTCTCATCCAGCTGAGCCCCGAGGCTGACAAAGAAAACCTGGACTCGCCGCTCCTCAAGTTCTGATAACAGCCTGAGAGCTGCTACGCTGTGTGAAAGGAACAGCGGGTCCTAAAGCGGCTCTCGACCCTCAGAAATGTGGTACAGGAAACTGATTTTTTAAAAAAGGCTACGTGCATTTTCTGCGCCTGGAAGGGGCGGCTGGGGACAGTTCTGCTTCCTCAGCTCCTCTCCTTCCATTCCCAGGCTGGGATGCAGCGCTCTAAATGAAGAATGTAAGGTTTCTGTATGTAAAATAGCAAGCACCTAATCTTAAAGTTAAATCTGTATGAAATGTTAAATAATCTAGATTTAAGTTAAGTTGTAAAATAAAAGTATATTAAAACATACTTGCTTTTGATGCTTATCTTTTTTTTTTTTTGGGTTTTTCTCCGGTACCGGGAACCGAACTCACGACTTGATGCTTATCTTAATTTTCAAGTGAATATAGCTATTCTCATCTCACCCGTCACTATGCAAGACCTGTTATCTGGTCATTAGTGTTTTTATAAGTGATTTTGAAAATTCAGTGTGAATAAAAATTGGTGTAAATCCGGAGCGCAGCTCACCACGGCCGCACCCCCCGCCGCAGGCCTGGCAGTCTGCATCTGTCGGGCACCTGGCTGTCTCTGGTGCAGCTTCTGAGGACCACATCTTGGCAGCTGAGGGGGAGACAAACATGGGTAACAGGAAAGGCCCGGCCCTATGCAGAGCGCACGCTGTTGGCCAGGACGGAAGCTCAGTGCACTCAGCAGGGACACTGTCGGGGGTCACCTGATGGGGGTCGTGGGAACTAGGGGCACTGGAAACCAGCGCCTGCCTGAAGCCTCTCATTTGCTGAGTCCAGTGTCCTGGAGGCCCCTGGTTTGCGCGTGTCTCTTTACGGTTTGAAGAGTCCTTGATCTTTGTTCATTGGCCTCATAGCAGACAGATGAGACTGGCAGGACCCCACTCTAGCATCTCTGTGTCAGGCCAGGTCCTCCCTGTCCACAGCTGGGGAAAGAGATGACGGTGCTGGACTTCTCACCTCTGTGGTTAATGTGGCAATATGGAACGGCCACCGGGAAGCAGCTGCTGTGGCATCCAGAGTGGGGAATGTGGCTGGCATGGCCATGCTGGCAGCGAGGCTTTGAGCAGAAGGCAGGGAAGTGCAAGGGTGAACTGAGCTGGGGGGGCGGGGGGCTGCCTCAGGTCGACCAGCAGGCTGCGGTGGGCTGTGGCAGGTCCTCCCATCGAGTTACAGCACCCTGGGTATTAGCACCACGGAGGCCTTACCTAGCCTCTGCTTTGATCCCTCCTTTCATGGAGAAACAAAACCAAAACCCAGAAGTGAATTCATTCAACAGACAGGGTCTCTAGCATGGGTCAGAAGACATGGGTCAGGAGATTTCCCAGGGATCCAGCGTGTACAAAGCTGTGACATCCCCACCTCCTTGGGGCCTGAGGTTTGTCAGGAGAAAGACGGCAAACCTGGGACAGCTGGCTGGTGTCTTGGCTGTCTCGACTCAAACCCTCCCCTCCACCTGCAGCCCTGGGCCCTGGCTCTCCCAGTGCCTTCTACCTCCTGCAGTTGGGCTGTCCTGAACCCAATGGGGCCGCCCTGTGTACAAGTACCTGGAGCACAGCAGCCCTTCCAGTTCTCTGGACAGCCTGGAGAAGGCCTCCTAAGTGCACGGGTTGGGCAGGACAGCACCTGCACCCCGAGCTGCAGGCAGTCCTCTGCCTCCCTCTGCTGTTCCCTCTGCAGTCTGACAGCTTCCCGAGATCCCTTCCTCGCCTGGCACCCAGGCCCCAGCCTGACCACTCAGAGTGCAGAGAAGCCCCGGGCTGTCAGTACCATCATGCCCCTGGCACTCAGGGCTGGCTGAGGGCTGTCACCTTAGCACAGCACCAAGTACACTGGCTACCAATGGGGCATAACCCTGCCACTCTTTTCTTGTTTTTTTTTTTTTTTTCGGTACAGGGAATCGAACTCACGATCTTGTGCTTGCCAGGCAGGCGCTGTGCTGCTGAACTAAATCCCCGGCCCCCCTTGCCACTCTAAGATGGCCAATTTCCAGCGATTGCATATTTCTGTTTGGGCAAATGTCTCTCTTTTGCACCTCTGAAATCCACACACCTTACACTGCTGTTGGCAGAGGGAGTTTTGGGTTATCACCGCCTCTGCCAAAGCCAGTCCACTGCGACTAATACTCAGTGACCTCTCAGAGCTACTAGGTGGCCAGAATACCACGTGTCTAACTGAAAAGTCACAGAGGTGCGCGTGTGCAAGGTTTCGGCTGCTTTGTGGGGTGGCTGTAGTGCACCCAGGCCCAAAGCCCTTTTGGCTTAGGCAGGCAGGACCTTGCACTGCTGTCTTGGCTTATATCCAGATGTCACCCCAAAGCCCCCTGCGCTCAGAGGGGCCTTTGTAAGGGGACTGGGACGCTGGTGTGTGACACTAGACTAGTCCACTAACAGCTTTATAGCTGGGCATGATGCTGGGATGGAGAGAGCGCCCTGGCGGCGGGGAAGCCGCGGGCTGGGGCTGGGAAGGGAGGTAGGCCTTCGACGTCTTCTCACACCGTGGTGCACAGAAGGCCTGGCGGAACTCAGGGAGCGTGGAGAGCGTTTCCAGCCGGGCAATGAGCGCTGACCCCCGTGGCGGGGGCGGGACATCCGGTGCGAGGCGGAAGCTGCCCCCACGGTGGCGACCTTAGGTGGCCGTGAGACTGCGCCCGGATGCAGGCGGCGCGGCACGTCGTGTGCGCCCTGTCGGGCGGCGTGGACAGCGCCGTGGCCGCGCTGCTGCTGAGGCGGAGAGGTGAGGCGGGGAGGCGAGGCGGCCGCGGCCCCGCCCGCCCCCGAGCGGCCCTTCTGGAGCGCCCGCGCGGTCGCCGGCCGACTCGGCGTGGGAGGGGCGGGGAGGCCGGGGCCGCGCGCTGCGTCCACTCCGACGTCGTGCGCGCCGAGTCCCGCCTGTCTTCCGCGTTACGAACGTCCTCGGAGCGCGTGCCGTCCTTCCTGGCAGCCGCACGGAGCCCCGCAGGGGCCTAGGGCTCTTGGAGAGTCCCTTGGCAGAGTCCCGGGCGGGCTCCGGGGCTGGGGAGTTGCGAACGCGGTTGCTGAAGTTCGGCGAGTTCTGTAGAGGGGCACGGGGCCGCCCTCCCGGCGTGACCAGGGGCAGCGAACGCTGTGCGTGACCGGGGTTACCCCGGGGCCCCGCACGGACGCGGAACTCCGAAGTCAGTCTCGGGTTGTTCTTCCGGTTCCTGAGCGGTGTCACGGAGCCGAGGGGAAGGGCTGGCACAGCGTACGCATGTTAGCCGGGGCTGGAGAGGACTAGACCGCGCCCCGCAGAGCGCCGGCCGCCCCAGGCGAGGAGGCAGCGTAGTGTCGAGGTGGGATCCCCAGCTTGGACGCTGTTAGGGTTTAGGGACTTGAAGCTGTGCCCTTGATGGGTTCGGACAGGAGCCGTAGCGAGGTGTTTTGGGAGATACCAAAGGCTAGCTGTGCCCTCCAGATTCGCCTTTTAACCCTCCGCCTCCAGACTGCAACTTCATAGTCCAGGTTTCCTCGGATTTTTCTCCATGGAGGGAGCCATTGGAGTTAGGGAAAAAAAGCGCAGCGCTCTCACTTCGACATTGAGGGCTCTTTGTGTGGGTGTGGGTGTGGGTGTCTTGTTGTGTGCACCCTGGAAAGTTTGAGGAACCAACCTGCACTGTCTGATCCTGTGCTCGCGTGCAAGAGTCACATCTTTTATTTATTTATTTATTTCCTTTTTTGAGACAAGGTCTCCCTATGCAGTTCAGGCTGGCCTTGAGCTTACTTTGTAGCCCAGGCTGGCCTCGAACTCACAGTGATCCTCCTGCCTCAGCCTCCTGAGTGCTGGGATTACAGGCCTGCGCCAGCACGCCCGGCTCAAGGGTCACATCTTTTAAAGGGAAAAGTGACCAGGCAGTGAGGCTATGGGAACAGTGTAGTTTTAAAGCTCTGTGTGGGGGCCAGCAAGCTTGAGGTCTTGAGTTCAATTCCAGTAACAAAACAAAACAAAATAGAAACTGTGTGTAGGGTTTACTCACTGTACAAGTTCGTTTTTAGCTGCCATTTCGTGAGGGTGCTAAGTGCTGGGGGCACAGGGTTCAATTAAACAGTCCCTGCTTCTGCTGAAGTGAATTGCAGGGGAGTCAGGTGGGATAACAGGCTGTGTGCTAGGTTCTGAAATAGGAGCAGCCCCAGGTGCTGCTGTGTGCAGAGGCGGGAGGGCCTGCACACCTGCTGGGGGGGGTGACTCCCTTTTCATCGTGGCAAAGGTTGGGAGCACTGATTTAAGTCTCCTTGAGCCAAACTGCCCTGTCTTTCCATAAATTTAGCCTAACAGAAAGAAACAGATTTCTCATCCAGGGCAGGTGCCTGAGTAGCTTGCTGAGATGGTATAATGGGGCCAATGTTTCAGTATTTGGTTGTGTAATTTGTCACAAAAGAAAAGAGGAAAAGTGAGTCATTAAATATATACTCGGTAGAACCCTTAAAGTAGACAAAATATTTTGTTTTATTTTTTGGTGCTGGGATTAAACCTAGGGCATACAGAGTGTGGGCTTTGTTACTGAATTACAACGCTAGGCGGATAAAGCATCCAGCATTTTAAGTGTCTTTACACCTGATCACCAGGACTCCTAAGTCTTAAACAGTAACGGGGAAGTTTTGAATGTGCTTCCTTTGCTAATAACTGAGTGGAGCTTGTACTCGCGTTGAGAAGCCGGAGCTTCTCCTGACCTCTGCCTCAGCACACATTGCTGAGCCCCCACGCATTGTGCTGCTGCGTGGTTTAGGGACACAAAGATGGGGGCTCAGGCAGAGTTTCAGCCATTCTGTGTTTTGGTGACAGGGCTTTTATAGCGCCCAGTGGGGACCTAGGGAAAGGAGTGCCCGGAAGGCCGGCACTAGGGTTGTCACCCTGAGCCCTGAAGGCCTCGTGGCAGAGCTTGGATTGCGAAGAGACGGTGTGTCAGGGTCTGGTCTGAGCACAGAAGCACTGCTTTTTTACCTGAGGTGGACCAGTGGACTCCACTGTGCCCCCCCCAGGTTACCAGGTGACAGGGGTGTTCATGAAGAACTGGGACTCGCTGGACGAGCATGGCGTGTGCGCCGCCGACAGGGACTGCGAGGATGCCTACAAAGTCTGCCGCATCTTAGACATTCCCTTCCACCAGGTGTCCTACGTCAAGGAGTACTGGAACGACGTGTTCAGGTGAGAGCTGGCTGCAGTGCGGAGGCTTCCTGTGTGTTACATCGCTTTGCCCGTGGAAGGACAGATACAGTCAGCCAGGCTGACAGATGTGTAGCCCGGGCACTGCCTCTGCAGGGGTCCCGGAGTCTGTGGGAGCCTGTGGCCACACAGTGCCCCTTGTGGCAGTCCTTCCGTGGGCCTTGAATTTACAGTTGTCCTGCCTCAGCCTTTTGGAGTGCTGAAATTACAGCTGTGTGCCACCACGCCCCACTCAGATAGTATTAGCTAGTAGATTAATTAATTAGTTAATTTTTCTGGTACTGGAGATTGAACTACATCTCCAGGCCTTTTTTATTTTGAGGCAGAAACTTGCTAAGCTGCCCAGGCTGTGCTCGGACTTGTCATCCTCTTGCTCCAGCCTCCCAGAGAGCTGGTATCAGAGGCACTCACCTCTGTGTCCAGCTAGATGTTCTGTTTAATTGCCATCTCCCTCACTCAGCACAGGAGCTGCCCCTCCTTTCTAGTGGAAGAGCAGGTAGGCTGCCCCGCCACTGTTTTTCAGTGCTACCTGACCTGGCTTCCCTCAGTCTGCCAGGAGCCGTCTTCCCGTAAGCTGGCGACCTCTTCAGTGTTTATGCGATGCTCCTGTGGAAAGTTTATTTGGTCTGCGAATGCATGACAGAGACCAAGAGAGAGGATGTCAGGTAGTTTGCAGCTTAGTGGACTGCTTGACAATGTCCAACAACGAAAACAAGTGGAGCTGGGCGTGGTGGCACACTCCTCTAAGACCAGCTATGAGGACCCAATGTTAAACCCCTGGGGCAGGTATGGCGTGGCTCCCTGGAGCTGTGGGGTTCTGCCCCGCCCTTCAGAAGTGGCAGTGTCCTCCATGTCCAGGCTGTCTGTTAGGACAGAAGTCCCCTGAGTTGGGATGGCCAGACACACTGCACGTCTTCAGAAGTGTGTGAAGAGCTTTCTCAGTGTCTTTGCCTGGTTCCCTGGGGCCCCAGACTGGCACTGAGAAGGCCTCATAGAGCCTTGGCAGTTTTATGGCTGCTGTGTGAGGTTGAGCTCTGTCCTTACCTGAGTCTCGCTGTGCCGGAGCGGTGCAGAGTGACCCCAGAGCGGGGTAGATGGTGCCTAAGGCCCAGGGGCGGGGCAGCGCCTGCTCCTCGTCCAAGCTTGGTGGTCATCGTGGAGTCAGATGCTGCGCACAGCAGGCGCTCAGCACGCTTTTGGAGAGAACACGAGATGGCCCGAAACGAGGGCTCTCCTGTGCGGCAGGAGGTTGTAGTTTTGGTTGGACAGTGAATGAGAAGGGCTCAACAAGCAACTCAGTCCATTCATTTTTCAGGGACTGTTTCACACCTGGAACTGAAGAGACCTTTTCTTTTATTCCAGTGATTTTCTGAACGAGTATGAGAAAGGCAGGACTCCCAACCCGGACATAGTCTGCAATAAACACATCAAGTTCAGCTGCTTCCTCCATTACGCCATGGACAACCTTGGTGAGGAAGTGGGGTTTCTCCATTTGTTTTTAAAAATCATTAGTTTTCTAAGATAGCCAGAGGCCAGAACCTTGGAAAGAGTTTTGTGTTTCAGAAGGGAAGGGAGCAGCGAAAACAGTCTTATTTTGTAAGCACTTTCTAGTGCAGTGCAAATGGCAGGAGAGGATGCTGTTTGGCAGCGGCTTCAGGTGTCCCAGGGAAAGGCAGCTGGGTCGCTGCCGAAGAGGCAGAAGGTGACAGTGTCTCAGGAGGAGGGGACTGGAGAAAATAAGATTCTGGTAGTAAAATATCAATGACCTTAATGAGGTGTTAGCAAAAGAGAGAGAGGGCAAGCAGGTGAGCCTCTTAAGTGTAGCAGGAAGCGTAGAACTTCCGGAGAACGCCAAAGACCCAAGCTTTCTGACGCCTGGCCTTGCTCAAGGAGCACAAGCGTTGGCTGCCTGCTCAGATAGCTGGGGGCCAGGAGCAGGGGCCTTGGGGGCAGCTCTGCTGACAAGGAGATGCTGTAACTGGAGCTGAGGCGGTACAGTCTACAACCCACAGGACGCCAGAGGACGCTAGGCCCTTGAGATGAATCTGTCTCCATGTCACACCGAGTCGGGACCCATCAATCCCTGCCTGGCTCCCTGCTAGGCCTCCTGCACCCCTGCACAGGTTCTGCCCTGCTGGAGGGCCTCCGGCTCCAGATTAGTTGTGTTTAGGAGGAGGCTTGGCCCGAGGTCAGGAAGCACAGGTTTACTCATCTTGCTTCCACTGAGACCTTTCTCCTGCTTCCAAAAGCAAGTTTCTGCTTTGTCCTGAGAACGGGCCCTATTCTAGTCCTAGCTCCCTGTTCTGTCCTGGGTCTGATCCTCTGTGGCCTGTTCTGAGGCCCACTTTATGGTGCAGACCCTGTGCCAGCTGGTGACTTGCCTGCCCACCAAACCTGTAGATGTCTACTCTCAAATTCCAGCTTTCTGGATTCCCTCTGCGTGTTTGACATCCCTCTCCTCTTTGTCAAACCGCCCTAATGCCGCATGGCTCGCGGAAGCCTCTTCTTGGTAACCGTTCCTTTCTCCTGCCTTGGGGTCACCATAATGAATTTCTGAAGCTCCTGATGCCGCTGTCTGCAGAGCACCCTGCTATCCTGTGTGTGGCCACGTCCCGTGTGGTCGTATGCCCTTGATCCCGCAAGATAACACTTCCTGCGGTGACAGAGGTGACCAGGTGGCACCTGGCAGGCATTGAGAGAGTGACCTAACGATGAGATGATGGCAAAGCATTGGCTTGTGAAGCTCAGAGTTAAAAAAAAAAAACAAAACCTATAGAAAAGTCACGAATTTGAACGTGGGCTAACACCAAAACCATGAACTATAGGTGCCCTTTGCTGACAAGGCTCAGGGATGAATTCTGCCATGCAGACGGGAGGGAGCTGGCATGGTTGCCGTCTGGGTGTCCTGTGGGTGACACAGCCAGTGCTTCCATGTTTGTCAAGGACTGTGCAGTCGGAGCTGGTGCAGAAAAGCAGATAAATCCTCCTGGTCTGCCCTGGTCAGGCCATGCTTGTCATTCAAGAAAAGTGACAGACGGAAGCATGGGCTAATTTTGATTTCCAGGGCATCTGGAAACGTGTCCCCTGATGAACTGTAGGATTGCTGTGGGTGATCCAGGTGTGCCACATTCCCGGGGTGACCCCAGAGGGTGGCAGGGCTGGGACTTGCAGAAGGATTTCTGGGAGCGGCGCACACAGCTCTTCCGGAAGTGTTTGCCTTGGAGGTGTGCAGTCCCTGTCAGCATTGCTTTCTGGGAGTCCTCAGTGGCTGCCTGGGACGCATTGGAAGGGATTCCGCAGGGAGCACTGCCAAGTCTGAGATGAGTGCGTGACAGCGCAGCGCGGAATAAGTCACATGAAATACAGTCCCGTGACATCTCAGGGCTTCTCCTAGAAGAGTCCTATACTCTTTGTAGTGTGAGTGGAGATAACGCTAAAGTGGGTCTGTCTCATTGGAGAATGAGTTGAGGTGTTCTGTGTTCCTGAAGGTCCTTCCTCAGTAGTTCATGCACGGGGTCATTCTCATGTGCCTCCTGTTGTACACCCAGGTAGTCTGGTTTATTACTTAGTGGATCAGTTTTGCTCCCCTTCCAATACTGATGCCTGCCGTACTTAGTATCTGAAATTTTCTTGTGACAGAAGTGTCTTTCAGCATGATAAAATAGTACATATTTCTTAAAACAAATACAAAACTACTGAACAGTGACAAGAGGCGGAGACTCTTTCCCAGAGTCAAAGACGTAAATGTGTGGTCCTCGCTGTTCAACGGCAGGGTCTCAGAACACATCCCGGCCCCTCCCTCACGGCATAGGATCAGCTTTGTCAGTGCTGCTGCTGCTGCAGCCCTGGTGTTGGGGTTCAGTTCACGTCTCCCACTGGAGAGCGCTGTGGGCGCTTCAGTTTTTCCTCAGTACTCTGGGAAACTGCAGTGGGCTTTTCGTGCTCACGCCTGTACCCCGTCTCGCGACTTAGGCCAGAGTGAGGGAACAAACAGGTGTTGCTTTGGACAAGCTCTGAGAGACGCAGGGTTCCATCAGCTTCCACGAAGAGTTGAAGGTGGCTTGCTGAGCCAGGTCTCAGGCTTGGGTGAGTTCTCGTCTCAGGTCATTTCCTTGTGTTTTTAAAAACCTCACAGGAGCAGACGCGGTTGCCACGGGCCATTATGCAAGAACCTCCCTGGAAGATGAAGAAGTCTTTCAGCAGAAGCACGTGAAGAGGCCAGAAGGGCTTTTCAGAAATAGATTCGAAGTTAGAAATCGTAAGTTCCAATGCCCAGGTCAGAACTCTGTGTGTGCAAAGTAAAATAATTTGAGCATGGCAGGAGCCACGTCTGCGCACATGGCCACCCCTCTCTGTGTGCACCCATGTGGCTGGCCTCGTTGGGACTCACGTTTGAAAGGTGCCCAAGGCCTGTGATTGGGCAATCAGAGAGGCCCTGGGCAGGGACCAGGGGAAGGTAAACATTTCTAATCTGGTTTTAGACCTGCGTGTTGGATATTCTAAAAATACACAGGGAAATATTTGACAGTAATGTTTGGGTGCGCTAGGCTTAGCCAAGGTCTTTTGCTGCTTGCCAAGTTGCCAGGGCTTGAGAGCGGGTGTGAACAGCACGGGGCCAAGCAGGCGGCCATGCGTGCAGAGGCATGCGTGCAGACTCGCTCCTGAATGTCAGAAAGCAAGGCTTCCCTGCGTGGGGAGGCAGCAGTGCCGACAGCGAGCTGGGGTGCCACCTTAACCTGGCGTACATTTGTGTGTAGAGAGAAGGGATTCATGTAACTGGAACTGCCAGGTGAAAAAGTGGGACTGAGTCCCGTGTCTGCCAGGGCTGGCCATCGCCGCGGCGTGGTGAAGGGCAGCGTGTCACTGAGAGTTCTGAATTGAGTTTGGGATGCAGCTGGCTAATGGGTCCCTCAGCATGGGCAGCTTCCCGCACACACCTTCTGCTCTGTGCTGCTGTCCCCCATTTCCCTGAGCAGACTGAAGCTTGGGTGGCCTCACTGACCTGGGTACCCCAGTGACAGAGCCAGGCTTCCTGGTCCCTACTGCTGTTCAGCTGGCAGGCCCCACCACGGTCTCCGCCCATGGCCCCCCACTATTCTGAAGGCAGTGGTAGTGTGCTGTATGGGGCGCACCGAGTGTGTGGGTGCCAGCTTGCTGGAGTGCTCGGGCCTCCCTCTGCTCAGCCTGGATAAGAAAGCCGCACCTCTGTTAGGTGGGAAGGGAGGGAGTCATCTGCTGTTGCCTGTGCCCTGCAGCCTGTTTGCCCTCGCCCTGCTGCCCAGTCCCTGCTTCACCCCTCTGCCCACACTCCTGAGCACAGTCACCTCAGAAACTCCCATGCTGGAGGACATGGAGCCCCCAGCAGGACGCCCTGCCCCCGCAGGTGGCTGTCACCACAGGTCCCCTGCGCAAACCATGCTGCGGGCTGTGCTGTGCAAGCTTTCACTCGTGTGCTGTGGTCTGTGTGTCCCTTAGGAGGTGTCTCTTAGTGTTAGGCATAGGAGGGGTGCAAGCACCTCTGACCCAGGCCCCGGTCTCAGATGATCATGGGGTACCCGCACTTCCCGCCTGGAGGCAGGGCTGATCAATTCAGAGCCAAGGTCACGTGAGCCTTATGCAACCTTCACAGTGAGAAAGCGGTTAGGGAAGGTGCCGGGCAGCTGACACGTGTCCCTGAAATCTAGGTGAGGCTGTGTCACCGAGACAGAGCACAGCGTACCCAGGAGGCAGAGTCCTGGGAGCACGCCCTCCACTGGTGCCCTGCGTGGCACTCGGAGCCTGCATGTGGCACATCTTGCACAACTGACACTAGTTCCTAGAGGTTTTGCTAAGTTGTGGTCCTGTCCAGTTTCTAAAATTTGGCTCAATCTGTTTCCAGCTTTGTTTTTCCTTCTCACTTCATGTTATTTCATATGACATTTATCTGAAAGTCTTACAGTCTAAATTGTGATCTAAGTTGTGCACTGGAATAAATTTCCATGTTAGAGACAGTCCACGGTCCCTGTATTTTTTGTGTGAAACTCAGGGTGAGCATTTTCCACATGCCAGTGCTCTGGTGGTTTTCCCAGCAGACTTACTTAGGGTCGGCTTCTGCTCTGAGAGAGCAGGGCTCACGGAGTAAACACAAGGACGTTATTAAAGGCAAAATGTCATTATGTTTATTCTGCAACATCTTCTGTTCTTTACTCTTGGCAGCGGTAAAACTTCTCCAAGCAGCTGACAGCTTTAAAGACCAGACCTTCTTTCTCAGCCAGGTTTCCCAGGAGGCCCTGAGAAGAACCATTTTCCCTCTGGGGGGATTAACGAAAGATTTCGTAAAGAAAATAGCTGCTGAGAATGGACTCCAGCATGTGCTTCAGAAGAAAGAGGTAGGCGAGGGGTCTGCCCGGGATTCCACTGCGGCCGGGCGCTGGGAAGCTAGGGCCTGTGCTCCCTTCCGGGCTGCACGTCACAGAGGAGGCCCAGCAGGGCATGCGCAGCTGGAGGCCTGGCACTTGGGGAGCTGACATGTGGCTCCCACCTGCCTCACCCCCTGGCCCTCCCTCTGGGGCAGGCAGCTTGAGGGGTTCCCTGCTGTCCTCTCACCTCCTGCCGGCCCCCTCTCATTTCAGAGCATGGGCATCTGTTTCGTTGGTAAAAGGAATTTTGAGCATTTCATCCTTCAGGTGAGTGTCCCAATGTCGGGATGGGCACCCGCCGCACACCCAGAGCTCCATGTTAACGAGCCGCTTGTCTTCTAGTACTTGCAGCCTCGGCCTGGGAAGTTTATTTCCATCGAGGACAATACAGTCCTAGGAACGCACAAGGGTGAGTTGCACTCAGCCACCTTCCCTAAGCTCCTTGGGTCATCGGGTGAGTGTATACCTTGAGGCTGGACTGGGCCCCAGTCCCTTCCGCTCTGGTTCAGAGTCCGGGGGCCTGCCGAGCAGGCTGGGTGGGTACTCAAGGCACATGGCCCAAGCAGTCACCCGGACTGGGGCCTCGTGCGTGTCACGGTGCTGTGTGCCTTTGGACACTAGAGCATGCGAGGTGGCCTCAAGACTGCAGTAAACTCCACTCTGGTGAGAGGCACTGAGCTGGCCTCACAGCTGGCACCAAGGCCCGTGTGGGCAGATGGGTACAGGTGTCCCTTGGTGCCACGCTGAGGGTGCTGCTTATGCATTCACTGGCGTTTCTTGGTGGGCACTGTGGCCTGTGCTGTGCTGGGAGGACAGCCTAGGCCGGTCACAAAGGCTCAGCCCTGACACAGGGACAGGCAGTATGGGCCGGTGGGGACATCTTCTGGGGCATCTTGGCCTGTGTAGGCCTGACCTGGGAGGCTGGTTGGGAGGACAGCATGGGCTCAGATGGGCCTTGTAGGGAACTGCTTTGGAGCTCAGCCTGCGAGAGCACGGGAGGGGGTAGCTGAGCAGGGACAGTCCTCTGGTGCCTGTGCTGGTGGCTGGAGCGCAGTGAATGCCATCAGGTTGTGCCCATGCATCGGGGCAGGCAGAGCAGCAAGCCTGCCCTCGGTGTGGGGTGGGGACATGCGGGGCACAGTCAGAGAGACCTGGTACTGGGCAGTGCTTAGGCAGCCCATGCGGGCAGTGTACTTGATGGGTGGGCACTGGATCCCGTTTGCAGCTGCGGACACGGTCTCAGCAGCGAGGGATGGTGTCCCCAACCAGCCCTCTGCCCACACTCCCAAGCTGGCCCTGCTGTGGGCAGTAGGTTTGGACTTGGTCACTGCCTTGTGCCCTGCCCAGGCCTGGACAAGGGATGTGTGTAGGTGTGGTCAGGGCCAGTTCTGCAGCCTGCAGTGCCGTGGAAACCTTGGGCTTGATGGCGCAGCCACGTCCCTCCCATCTTGAGAGCTGCAGTGCTCTGCATGGCTCTTGTTGGCCAGCTCCATGGGGAACCTTCCACAGGTTGGTTCCTGTACACCCTGGGCCAGAGGGCAAGGATCAGCGGCCTGAGGGAGCCCTGGTATGTGGTGGACAAGGACGGCACCAAGGGTGACGTGCTCGTGGTGAGTGGTTGCCCCACCTTCGGGCTGGCGTGCAGAGTGGTGGGCAGGGGCCGCTGGGGTGAGGAGGTCCAGGCCCACCCTCCAGAACCCCGGTGTGAGCCCAAGGGGACAGACAGGCTTGTGTGAGGGGTCCATTAGGGTGCTGTCGTGTGCTGGTCACTCTGATCGTCCCATAAACGCCTGTTAAGTGCTGCTCTTCTGAGTTTACAGAAGAGGACAGGACTGGGGCCAAGGACTGTGGAAGGTCACATGGAGGGGCGGCGGTCCAGTGCCAGGCGGAGCTGCTAGGAGTAGTGCCCTGGAAGCCCTCATGGGCACAGATGAGCCGTGGGGGCTGGACAGGGCTGGCGGGCTGCCACGCTGGCCCTGAGCCATCCTGGTCCTGACCTGCTGCCTGGGCTCCTGCATGGAGCATCTCATGGGGGTGAGCTTGTCCCCTACTAGGGGACACTGGCAGCTTCTGGAGACAATTTCGGTTGTCACAACTTCAGTGGAGTTGATAAGGAAGTGCTGCTGGCACCAGTGGGTGAAGGCAGGAATGCTTGGGAACAGCTGTGCCCTCCCCTGGTAGACGTGTGGAGCCCAAGTCTCAGGAGGCCTGGCCTTGAGAAAGCTGCTCTGAGCCGGCCAAGCCGCTACCTCATGCTGTCACAGGTGCTGGGGATGGTTCATTAGACCCAAGGCCTCCCTCCCCTGCCAACAGGTAGCTCCTTCCAAGAAGAGTGATGCATAGATGTGACAGTGACTGCAGTGTGACCTTCCAAGGGTGTGTCTGCCTTGAGCACCCAGAGGCTTGTCCCTGAAGGCCCCTAGACAGTCCCAGGGCCAGCCCAGAACCCAGAGCCCTGGACCAGAAGCTCTTGGTCTTCCCGGCCCTGTCCTCGGAGGAGACACGGTTCTGGGTAGAGGGCCCAGGGAGCAGGTGCTTGGGGAGCAGAGGCCCTTGAGCACAGCCGCTGGTGACCAGGCAGTGAATGGCTCTGCTCCCTGCTTTCCTGGGCCTGTTGGTGCTGTGGGGTCCCTGGCCCTCCTAAGACAATGGCCCCAGGGAACAGGGGACCAGGTTCTGGGATCAGTGTGGAGGACAGTGAGACCTGGGGGAGTCGGTGGACAATGGCGCAGGCTCACCTTTGCTTTTCCCCAGGACCATCGTGAGGTCCCTCCCTCCTGTGAATTTCCACACGTAGAGCACAGTGTGCCTGGGCCAGGAATACAGCTCAGCGACACAGCACCTGCTTGGCAAGCACAAGGTCCTGAGTTTAATTCCCAGGACAAAAAAAAAAAAAACTAAAGAAAAACCAGTGTGGTTGGCACCAGTTATCAGGCGGTGTTCACTGTTGGGATCATTGTCACTAGTGATGTGTGCTGAGGGGCCTTTGGGGAGAGCTTGAGCTACCACAAGCCACTGTTCTGTCCTCAGGCCCCCCGGACGGACCACCCAGCCCTGTACAGGGACCTGCTGCGGACCAACCGCGTGCACTGGATCGCTGAGGAGCCGCCAGCGGCCCTGGTCCTGGACAAGATGATGGAGTGCCACTTCCGGTTCCGCCACCAGATGGCGCTAGGTAACTGGAGGGAGGGGTGTGCAGCTGTATAGACGGATGAGACCCTGTGGGCAGAGGGCCCCCAACCCGCTGCTGAGAGTCTGTAACTGAAAACTCGCCAGTCCTGTGCCTGCCACCGGGGGAACTGGGTCACCGCTGAGGCTCAGGGATGAGGGTCCAGCGTGGGGCAGGTTGGCACGCAGTATATGCTGCCCAGAGTGTGCTGCTGGTGGGCCCCTCTGGCAGCTGCCTTGTCCTTCCCTGGCAGAGGCTCAGCCCACATGTGCTCTAATGCCTCTCTCCACCCAGTGCCCTGTGTGCTGACCCTCAATCAAGATGGCACCGTGTGGGTGACGGCGGTGAAGGCCGTGCGGGGCCTCACCCCGGGGCAGGTGAGTGGGGGCTGGGAGTAGGGCCTCAGCACTGCTATCCGTGTGTGACCGGGCACTGGTCAGCTGTGACAAGGACAGCTGGAAGCTCACACCAAGTTCCTGTGCCCTCCCACTCCCGGGAACCCTGCCACATTCAGCAGTGTCAGGCCCCATGCTCTGTGGGCACCCCCAGCCCACAGCAAGGCCCCCTTCTCTCCAGTTCGCCGTGTTCTACAAAGGGGACGAGTGCCTGGGCAGCGGGAAAATCCTTCGTTTGGGGCCGTCGGCCTACACACTCCAGAAGGGCAGGAGCAGAGCCACAACAGCCCCCAAGGGCTCTGAGGACGGCGCGGGTGACAGCCCAGGCCTGTGTCCCACACCCTGATGGACGCAGCTGTGGGAGAGGCCTGGAGAGCCAGCTCAGGACTGGGCAGCCCAAGGCAGTTGGCGGTGCTGGGCTTGATGTTGCCTGAGCCAGGGGAGCTGGTGGGCCTGGTGCCACCCCATGAGGGGCCCTGCCTTCTGCACAGTGGGTGGCCCAGTCCTGAGGCCTGTTGCTAGAGTCCCTGTCTCACACCCGCCCCAGGCAAGGTCCCCTGTGCAAGCACACCGCAGGACACATGGAAGCTATGTGGGCCACAGGACAGCATTGAATAAAAACTCATTCTGTCTGGGACGAGGAGTCTGACCGCTGTTTGAGGGCTGGGGCAGGCCTGGCAGGCTCAGCTCGTTGCTGATGCTCCGACGGCAGAGGCACCTCCACTGCTTTTCCTTTTGTTCACACTTCCCCCAGGGGGGCTTCAGCTGGACAGAAGTGTGGCTGGAGTTCTGGGAGAAGCCCGTGTTTCAGAAAACGGTCCTCAAGCCCGACTGCCATCTTGACTGGCTTGAGAACTGGTCCTGAGGCATTTGAATAGCATACTTGTGGGCGTGTCCCGGTGGGTCACAGAGCTATGACCCTGGACTCCGGATCTGCATTACACTTCGGTACTGTGTCCTACCCACTCTGCTTCCTGGCCACCATGAACTGTGCAGCTGTGTTCTTTCACGTCCCTCACCACAATGCTGTGCCTTAGAGCCAACCATGGAGTGAACCCCTGGGATCGTGAGTCTTATTAAAACTCTCGAAGTTGTGGGTATCAGATAGTCTGTCCCAGCTTCAGGAAAGCTGACCAAGACGGAAGCAAGAAAAAGGAGTCCAGAAGTTAGGGTAACCCTGGGGAGCTAAGGGCCAGTTAAGTGGTTGGGGCCTTGACAGTAGAGTTGTCACTGGAACCCACCTCTCCCAGGGATGAGTGGGAGATGAAACTAGGGGTCAGAACTTAAATCAGGTTGCACGATGCTGACACAAAATGTTAAAATGAGGGTTTTCTCCTGGCCCAGGCTTGCTTGCATACAGAAACACCAGGAAAACGTGCAGAGACACTGGACAGGTTTTGTGCACAGGATGGCCCAAATGCTCCAAAAACCAAAGGTAGAGCAGCCACCACAACGTGCCCCAGGACTGAAACTTTCAAAACAGCTGCAGCTGCAGGGCCCCGCCAGGGAAATCAAAATATGAAGGGGCACTCAAGTTTTAAAACGGAAAATTATAGTACTTGAAATAAAATAACTGGATAAGCTTAGTAGCAGAATGGAAACGACCAAGAAAAGCATAACCTAATGTGAAAATTGATCACCAGCAGCCATCAGATCTGAACAGAAGGGAAGGGGTGAGCAGAGCCAGGCCAGTGGGACGGTACCCAAGGTCTGCATCTGTTCCTGGGCATTCGCAGCAGGGGAGAGCGGTACAGGAGGAAGCTGACGCTGGCTGCACTTGCTGACATGACAGGCATAGTTCCTGCAGTGCAGGGAGCCACAAGTCTGCCCAGCGTGGCATCGGCCCGGGGACCAGGCGCAGGACAGCTCGGGGTGCCATCCACGCCCCAGGTGTGATCTGTGCCCCTGTGGACGGTGCTGCACTGCCCCTGGGAGGGAGCAGGATGGCGGCAGAGACATCAAGGCAGGGATACAAATTCAAAATCTTAATTTATTGTAGGCTCTTCCCATCTGTGTTGCCATTCCAGTGTTCTGCGCATAATAAATACACATTTGTTAAAAACCTCCAGTGTTTAATCTTCCCCATAAAGTCTTTCGTCATAAAAATAGGTTTACATTTTTCCTGTCTTAAAACTAACGATTGTTCTTGTTTTGGTGGAAGGGTTGGTCAGATTTAAAAAGCTGTACCCCCAGGTCTGAGACTCTGCGAGGCGGGTGGACAGGAGAGCAGGTGCTGAGACCCGGGGTACAGCTGCCTCCTGAGTGGCACACCTTCCTCGATGGGCTCGCCCGTCCGAGCCGGGCCCCTGCTCTGGGCAGCCTGGCCCGGGCCAGCTGTCCTCCCTCAAACAGTCACTCCTTAGCAGTGCCCACATTTTCCTCAGCCTAGACTTCCCCAGCGCGGGGACGAGCGCGTTTCCCTCCATTCTGTTACTGTGCGCTCTCTCCTGTTTGGGAGCAGCTGTGAGACTGCATGTCTGGGCACCTGATCTGAAGAACAAAGGCAAAGCTGGAATCAAGTGTCTGGCTCACTCGCGCCGTCCCACAGCCTCGGGCCCTGCGGTGCCTGTGCCACAGCCGTCTCCGTATGAGTTTCCAAAAACAGCTCCACACGCATTGAACGTGCGGCTGTGGCTTTGTCCCTCTGCACAATTGGGCATTTGAAGCAAAATGATGTCATTGGTAGACTTTGGGGGTGGGGACCCCAGCCTGCTCAGGGAGGCGCGGAGTCTAAAGGAGCTAGAAAATTGGCAGGAAGGAATGTGACATCCTGGAAGACCTTGTGGCTCCGTCTGGATTGGGAACATGTGAATGCTCTAAGCCTCCCCTAGGAGCGGAAGGGGACAAAGGAACAGCTACCTGTGGTACTGAGCTACTGGGCAGGGCTCCAGTGGGCCCCCTTGGGCCTGGCGTGGGCCCACCGCCAGGGTGGGTAGGGGTGGCACCGCATCAAAAGTGACCTGCTGACCTGCCTGGTTCCAGATGCCCAAGCCTGAACCCGCTCCCCTGGGGCGGATGGGCACTGAGAGTACACTTGCTCAGAGCATGTGTTCTGGGCTAGGGCGGCGGGGTTGCCCACGCTTCCCTGCTCACCGGCTAAAAGCCACAGGGAGTTTGAAGGACTCGCTTTTGACCTCACTGCCAAAGTCCTCCCCACCGCTACCCTACTGGGACACAGGCCACGTCAGTGCATCCTGGGTTCAAGTACAGCCGTGCAGTCAATCTTGCGTACACAGAGTAGCGGAAGACTTCACAGACCTGCCAGACCCAAGTCAGTCCAAATGCAGGCTGTCCACAGGGAGAGCAGCCAGACGCACTCACACCTTTCAGCACGGCAGGCTGGTTTGGGACAAGTATGCCTTTGCAAGGGCAGTCCAGGCGCTGGCCACAGCCTGGTGTCGCAGGAGTGGCCAGGTCCCTCCTGTGTCCAGCGTCTCTGAGTCCTGGTGAGCTGAGTGGCGTGGTCGCTCTCCTGCCTGCACAAGGCAAGGCAAGGCCAGCCCAGGCTTGGCCAGCTCTTGCACTGGTCCCCTCGAAGTAAGGCCAGAGGTGTGGCTTTGGTTCTGTCTGCAGTCCGCACTGAGCTGCGCTGGCCCGGAGTCCATGTCTCCCTTGAGGCTGCCTGTGGCTTTGGCACTTGTCACGGACTGACCAGCCCTGGCCTCCCGAAGGGCCAAAAGCTTTGTGTGTGGGCGATCTGCTGTGGAACTGCCACGTGGGCTCTGCTTCGCTCTGCAGGCAGCGGCCCCTCGGGCTCCATGGTCCCAGGGCGCTGGCCCGGTGGCCTGTGTGGGTGACAGCTGGCCTCACGGTTTCCTGATGGTTCAAATTGAAGTTTCGTTACTGCCTCTGCGTGTGGGAAGAAGCCGCCAGGCAGGCAGGGTCAGTGAGGGCACAGTGGGGAGTCCGACGTCACACAGGCAGAACCTCCCACTCGGGGGAGAGGGACACCTGGGGCCCCACCCAGACTGCGCGGCCCTGGCGTCCAGGCTACTCACTCGGAGTCGGAGCCCTCAGCCTGGGCGCTGCCCACGCACACGCTCATGGCCACCCCGTTGTGCTCACGGCCCGGCTCCCTGCGTGGGCTCTTGATGGTGATGACACAGTCGGGGGTGCGGACGCCGTCGCCAGAGCCCAGGGAGGACGTACGCGAGGATGCGGGGCTGTGCTCGCAGTTGGCCAGCTTCTCCCGCAGCCGGCACTTGAGCGGCTGCTCAGGCAGCGGCGGCGGGTAGGTGACCTTGTTTTTCAAGATGCCTGGAGGAGGGAGGGGGCCCAGGTCACATCCAGGCGGACACTCGGGCCAGCACACTCAGGCGTGTGAGGCAAGTGACAGGGCCGATGGTCACCTCTGACCTGCCCTCCCCACAAGGTCCTCCCACCCCCACCCACTGGCACCAGGGCTGCCGTCTCCCCGGGCACCTTTCCTCTGCTCGGGCGGCGGGCCGAGCACAGGCGCAGGCCTGGTGGGGTCCACAGGGCCATCACCACAGTGGTTGCCCTGCTCCTGCTGGTGCAGCTCCACGCTGACCTTGGTCTCCACCCGCAGCGGGGGCTCGGGGCCGGGGTCCTCGCTGTCGCTCCCCGCCAGGCTCTCATCAGGCCAGCTGGCCGGGATGTGGTTGGCCAGGGCGTCGGCTGAGGCATGAGAGCGGCGCTCAGCCTGGCCCACTGACGGCTGCACCCCAGCCCCTGAAGGTGGGGAAACTGAGGCCCACAGACGGCAGGCTTCCATCCCCCAAGGCACCGACACCGGAAGCCACGTCCGGCCCCCCGCAGTGACCGGCACAGAGGTCCCTGGGCAGATGGTGTGGGGCCTCGTGGCCAGAGCTCCTCAGGCTGTCCTCTGGCCACGACTCGGGCAGGCCCTGGAGGAGGGGTCCCAGCCTCTGGTCCGCAGCCCAGCCTGGCCTGCTTGCCGCTTACCTTTGGGGGTGCTATGGACAGGGGCTCGGGCTGGGTCCCACTTGTCCTCAGCGTCCCCGCCATCATCCTCACTGTCGGATGAGTGGGAGGAGGCGTAGGAGCTGCTGTGCTCGTCCAGTGACATCTCACTGTCCGAGTCCGAATCGGGGCCTGTGGGGCGAGGCGGGCGGGTCAGGCACAGACCGAGTGGGGCCAGGCCACCCAGGCTCATGGGTGCGTATGCTTATGTGGCCGAGCTGTGGGCAGGGGGGAGTGAGCCAGGGGACCCATACCGTGGGGTTTCTTGGAGTTCCTGGGGATGTAAGATGAATCTGGCTCGCCGTGGCCGCCGCGTGCCGGCCCTGAGGACACGCTGAGCTTCTGCACCCCTTCGTCCCTGGGGAAAAGCAGGTGGGCTCAGGACTGCTGTTCAGAGGGACAGACGCTGTGTGGTGGGCACATGGACACATGGGCTCCTAAACCACCCGTATTCTGATCAACGGCAGTGGCACACAGCGCCTCCTGGGGTGCACGGAGGGCCGCAGCCCCGAGGCTGGCCCCCATTCCCACCCCACTCAGGCGGGCGCTGACCTGGTGGTGCTGTCCAGTGAGGCGGTGGACTCGCCCAGCGCAGTGCGCAGCATGTCGGGCCCCTCGCTGTACGTGTTGTTGCAGTTGAGGGAGCGCTGGGGGAGGGGCAGCAGGTCAGAAGACGCCGACCCCCAGCTCGCCCAGATGTGTACCTGGGCCGTGCCCCTGCCTGGCACACAGGAGGCCCACACAGAACCCACAGGAGCCTGGCCAGGCCAGGGGGAGCACGGCCTGGCCCACGTGGCTCCGGGGTCCTAGTCACCCTGGCCCTCGTTCTCCCATGAGAGCTGCTGCTCCTTTTCGCAGGGGCATCAACTCTGGGACATGAAGCCACAGCTGTCCCTTGAGGGGAGCCACCCAGCTCCCAGGCCCAGATGCCTCCTACCGTCAGCAGGGTGGCCCTCGTGGTGGCCGACTCATCCAGGTGTGGCTTCTTCCCAGCCAGCAGGGCCCGCAGGTGCTTCCGGACCTCCCTGTTGAGCACGCAGTGGGACAGCAGGACAAAGAGGCCCTGGAGGGGAGGCAGAGGTCAGCAGTGGGCACCGGGAGCCTGAGCCTGGGCTGGGCAGGGCAACTGGCATTCGGGCTGTGGGGCCCTCCCCACTGCTTGATTCCACTAGGTGGCACTTGGTGTGACCATAGAGGGCCACTCTCTTCCCAGGGACCCAGTGGGATGGGGCCAACCTGGGGTGTCGGGCAGGGACTGAGCATGAGGCATCTCCCTCACCCTCTGGCACAGTGCTGCCCGGGGACAGGGGCCCCTCAGGTGCCGGGACTCCTACCTGCATGCAGCTGAAGGCAGCGAAGAGGTAGTGAAGGCTGAGCGTGTCGCTGTTGACAGCCAGCAGCCCCAGCAGCCAGGTGGCGCTGATGAGCAGCAGCAGGAGGAAGGCCGTCCTCAGCAGGGCGCTGCGGGAGGGGCAGCCGCCCATTAGGTTGGCGCTGCCCTCCTGCCCATCCCTCCAGTCCCCTTCTTCCTCTCTGCCCTTTCTGAGCCCCTTCAGGGCCACGCCAGCCCTCCAGGGCAAGGCAGGCAGTATACGCTAGTGGGGACAGGCGCCTCTCCCCCAGGTGTCCGGGACCCCAGGCCTGGTGCACAAAGAGGCCAGGAAGCAGGTCTGCGTGTAAGCACGCACGTGTGCATGTGTGATTCCTAACCTGCCTGTCCCGAGCTGTGTGACCCAGCCATGGGACCCCCGCCTCTCCCTGGTAGTGAAAGTGGATGACGAGGTGCATCCTCCCCACCTGGGGATGGGGGGACTGGCTGCCCACAGGACTGTCGGGGCAGCACGGAGACCAGGCAGGACAAGCAGGTGGGCAGCAGCCCTGCTCTGTCACCCTCATCCCTGCCGCAGCCCATTTCAGACTTTGTGCCGGCTCCTCCCACACCCCTCCCCAACCGCTGGCCTCTTCTCCACAGAAGCAGCACCAGACCGCATGCCTCGTGACAGCTGCCCCGCTGTGGTCCTCTGCAGACCCCGCAGTTCCTGGACACCACGCTGACTATTCCTCCGCTGCACCTCTCCTCCCCGTCCCCAAACCTGGGCGGTTCCCTCTGCTGGGTCCCAGCCCCGGGCCCGTACCCTGGCAGCCAGGCTCGCCTTCCTTCCACCCAGGCCTCAGCCAGACCGGGTCACTGCCCGACCTGCCTGGTCCACATCAAGAGGAGGCTGAGCCTGCCAAGGGCCCCTGCTCCTCCTGTACCCTCTCCCTCCTCAGCCCCACAGCCCCACGTGTGCCAGGGCCCGGAAGGGACAGAGACCTGCAGACCCAGGGGTGGACACAACTTGAGCTCCAGGGCCCACCTGCCCCGCCCAGACTGCCTCCCTGGGCCGAGCGGCTGACGGGCCTGACCTGGGGGGACCGGCCTTCCACAGGGCTCTGCCCAGCACGGAAACTGGACATTCAGGGTCTCAGGCCCAGGGACTGCGGCCCCAACTTACCGGACCCCCTTTCTCTCATAGTAGCGGTGCTTTCTCTGGCAGGAAACCTTCACAGACAGGACAAAAATGACTGTGTTGATCTGGAAAAAAAGTCAGGCGGTCACCCCTTCGGTCTCACCAGACCAACCTCCAAATGCTTCTGCAGGTCCTCATCCTGCTTCTCAGGAAGCTGGGACCGTCCTGGCCAGGCGATAGCCAGCACCCCGTATGCCTGTGCAGGCACCTCCTGGGGCCCAGGGGACATGAAGTGTGACCCCCAAGCCCATGGACCTGAGGATGTCCCCAAGGTGGCCCTGGTGACATTACTGTGACATAAGCCTGGCCCTTCCAGCTGATGCACCCTTGGGCACCAGGCTCCCGAGTCCCCTGTGCCCCAGAACAGCGGTGCTGTGGAGCACACTCACAAGGATAACAGCTCCGATGGGCCCGGCGAAGCTCCAGATGAGAGAGTCGTGGAGTGACAACCAGCAGAAGTCGGGATTCCCGTAGCCCTGGGGGTCCAGGCCAACGGCTAGCCCTGGGCACATGGGGGGCAGAGGAGAGTGTGGGCCTCAAACGCGATGGCCACCCCCACCCCCAGGGCCGGGTGGGGCAGGGCCACACCTGACGCCTTGCGTGGCCTTCCCAGGAGGAAGAGCAAGGAGCCCCACGACACCTGCCAGGATGAGGCAAGGCCCGGAGCCTACACGGGGCCCTCAGGAGAGCAGAGTGAGGCAAGTCCCAGGCCAGCGGCACCCCACGGCCCCTCGGGAGCTGCCCTGGCCCCACTGTCCTTGAGGCAGAGCCCACAGAGGATCAGAGCCGGGAGGGCAGCGATGGGGGCAAGCAGCACCCTGCAAGGGGCCCTGCCAGGGCTGCTCAGACCCACCCTAGGCACCAGGGAGGGAGCGACCCAGACAGGTGGGGCACAGGGTCATCTCGGGGCTGGGTGTGCGACACAGACCACACACGTGGGGGGGTTCAGCACACACGGGGTCCCGTCATAGCACAGCAGCTTCCTTCCTAACCACCGGTGGCCAGCTGGGTGTGCCTAGGGCTCCCTCCTGTGGCCAACTCCCCCCGAATCATCCAACAGCCCCATTCTCCCTGCTTACGACCACGACTTGTTCCAATGACCTCCCTCTGGCCGGGACACATGGGGCTATTTCTGTGGCTTCTGGGGACTGCGTGCTGTGGCCCCACGGCACTGCAGCCTGTGTGATGCCCCAGCACCTTGTTCTGGCCTCAGGTCACATGCCAGCTGGCCACACTCCTGTCTGGGTCCCTATCTGTGCCCCCTCCCCACACTCCTGCCCTCCAGGACCAGCGCTAAGGGACCCTCCTCCCAGAAGCCCACGCCTGCCCCAGGTGACAGCGGCCTCCCTGTCCTCTGCACCCCCTTCAGGACCCGGTGTCAGGTAGGGCTACTGAGCCCCCTCTGCCCTGGAGGGGCGGATCCCTGAGGCTTGCTTCCTCCCTGGCTGCTAAGCCCAGGCCTAGAATGGACCTGAGCATATAGGGTGTACCACCCTCAGGGGACAGACGGCAAGTGGGGCAATGAAGGGTGCACTCCCCAGTCCCGGGGGGACCTGAGCAATGAAGACTGCAGGGGCCCCCATCACCCAGTTCCCTGGGGCCCCAGGGCTGGGCTAAGACCACAGCTCGCACAGCCAGTGCCTTCATCTCTCTGGGACTCCGCAGATTCACTTTAAGATCACATAGAGAGACACAGTGTTTAAAAAAAACAAAACAAAACAAAAAACGTTTTAAAGCAGTTAGAAATGCGTAGTATCTGGACGTGGATTCCAAAGCACTGTCGGAGGCAGTGGCTTCCCACACACAGAGGTGTGCGGGCGGCTTCTTCTGCCCGAAGCTTCAAGATGCCTTTAGATGGAGAAGCTGAAAACATTGCTTCTGAGAGCCTGTTTCTCAGCTCAGGGCTCTTACGGTGACACCACCCCTAGACAGAGCTGGAGCTCTGCCGGCTCTGCCAGCTCTGCACGAAGAGAACGTCCAGCCCTCAGGGCTGTGGAGTGGGGTGGGTAAGTCACCGCGGCACTGCCTCCTTAGCACACATTTCACTATCAGGAAGTCAGCGCTTCCCGCCTCTGAGAAAGGTCCCACTGCTGTGACAGCAGAAGAGCTGAGCTCCCGCTCACAGGTGACCCCTGGAGGCTCCTGGGTGGGAGCAGAGAGCGCTCAGGAGGCTGGAGACCAGGCAGCCCCAGCGCTGCACTGGGCCTGGGGGTAGGAATGACTCTCCCCAGTGCCTGTGGCCTCAAACTGTGCTCACATCAAAGGCACCAGGGGTCATAGGTGAGGAGGGAGTTCAGCTCTTCTGCTGTGCACAAAGAGGGGACCTTTCTCAAAAGGAAGCAAATGCTGACTTTCTGATATTTAATGAAATGCATGTTAAGGAGGCACTGCTATTCTATCCCGTGATTCACTCATCCATCCATCCATCCATCCACCCACCC